TTTTTGTATTCTTTGAAACTTTAATAAATATCATTAAAAAAAGGGGGGGGGGAAGATACAAGTTTATAAAATTATGCTCAGCATAGAGAAAGTGGATAAGGAAGAACCTTTCTCCGTCTCTCCAAACACTAGAGCTCATGGACATCAAAGGATGCTGAATGTTGGAAGCTTCAGGACAGGCAAAAGGAAGGGATTGGTCACACAGCACATAGTTAAACTATGGAACTTGCTCCTGCTGGAAGAAGTGATGGCCACCAACTTAGATGGCTTTTAGGGCGCATTGGACAAATTCATGGAGGAGAATAAGACTATCAGTGGCTACTAGCTACAATGACAATGCTATGCCTCTACAGTTGGCGGCAGTAGATGCTTCTGAGTAGCAATTGCTGGAAGCCACAGGAGGGGAGAGTCCTCTTGTGCTTGGGTCCTGCTTGCAGGTTTCCCATTGGGGCATCTAGTTGGCCATTGTGAGAACAGGATGGACTAGATGGTCAACTGGCCTGATCAAGCAGGCTCTTATGTTCTTATGGAGACGAGCTGGATATAAATGAAAATAAAATTGGGCCTAATGAATCAGAATATTGGTCTATCTAATTCAATACTGCCTATGCTGACAATGTGTTTGGGGGGTTTCAGGCAGGAATCTTTCCCAGGCCTATTTGGAGATGCTGGGGATCAAACCTGGGACCTTCTGCATGCAAAGCAGATGCTCTACTCCCTAAAACACAAGGAGTGGGAAAGATTCCAGCCTGAGACCCCAGAAAGTCACTGCCAGTTAGCATTAAAGATTCCAAAGACAGACCCTGGAATCTTCTGCCATGTGATTGTGGAGGCCTTTGTTCCTCTCATAACACTGACTGCAAAGCCAAGCCACTCTGGCTGGGGCAGACTCCCTATCTTAAATCACTGGCAATTGGCATCAGCCACATAGATGCATAGATGCATGGGTCATAGGTTCGAGTCCCACATTGCATTGCAGGGACTTGGAATAGATGACCCTTATGGTTCCTTCCAACTCTACAATTCTATGGTACAGTTGTACCTTGGTTCTTGAATAGAATCTGTTCCGGAAGTCCATTCGACTTCCAAAAAATGTTCGAAAACCAAGGCACGGCTTCCGATTGGCTGCAGGAGCTTCCTGCACTCAATCGGAAGCTGTGGAAGCCGCATCGGACGTTTGGGTTCCAAAGAACGTTCGCAAACCAGAACACTCACTTCCGGGTTTGCAGTGTTCGGGAGCCAAAACGTACGAGTATCAAGGCGTTCAACAACCAAGGTACAACTGTACTATGTTTTTAAATCAGGCCTATTTGCATTGGAAAATCTTCCGATACCCCTAGAGAGTGATTTAGGCATATTTATTTGGTAGGTGTTTAGTAAACAAAGTCTCAAGCTTTGGAAACGCTAAGCTTGCCTAATACTGTATTCACAATAACAAGTCATGCCTTGACTTAAGTCATGCCTTGCTAAATTTTCCAGAGTTCTTTGAGAATGTCAACAAGCCTGCAGCGGGGGTTTGTGTATTTGATCCATAGATTTTGTGTACTTTTGACTTTGAAAAACAGCTTGGACCCTCAAGTCTGATATCTGTTATACAGTACTCACATACATACTGGGACTAAGCCCCACCCCCTTGATCTCATCCATAGGGCTCAGCAGGGATTTTTCCAGGGGGGTTCCCCAAAGTAAACTATGAAGGGGGAAGAAGCAGGCTAGTTTCTTTGAAAACCAACCACCACCACCATAATAGTGCCCCTATATTTTGCCTTAAAATATAAAAGAGCTTCTAAAACTGCTTACACATACTTTTTAAAAATGGAAGCTGGAAATCTGGCCATTGTGTGTGGGATGCCCCCCTTGCTCACACGTATACATGCCTAGGCTTTGAACACTCCACCAAGATATCTAATATCAATTTACCTGGGAGTAAATGGTTGAACACAACGAGTGCCCACAGGAAAGTTCTTGGGGGGGGGGGGACAACAATGTAAAACACTAAAGAGGAGAGAGCAGGCTAATTTCTCTAACAAAAATGTAAATAATTTCCTTTTAGTGAGGTAGGCTCAGACCTGCTATAATTTTATCAATGTGTAATTCTTTTTATCAATGTCTAATTGCTTTTCCCTCCTGTTTTTATCTGTTCTTATTTTTAGCTGTAAGCCACTTTGAGTCCTTCTCAGAGAAACAGGCAAGGGTGTGTGACACACACACACACAGTATACTTGGTTTTAACGCTTGTTATTGTTATTGTTCTCGTAAAAAAAGAAGCAACCAGTAAGTGCAATTAATAATTATGGGTTGTATCCAATGCTAGTCCTACTTTAGAGTGGACTCACTGAAATGAAACCTGGTAGTTAATGGCATGGGCGTCATTAACCAGACCCACTTGAATCAACCTGCTCTAAGTAGGACTTACCTGGCTGCAAACATACCTTTCAATAGGTCTACTCTGAGTAATAATGACATCTACATCTTTTGCCTCATAGCTCAGTTTCTACAAATGCTAGAGATTTACTTTTTTTTTTTTTAAGGAAACCTTGAGATCTCTTTCCCTCGCCCTCTTGAGTAAGAGGCCCCCCTGCTCTCTCCCCAGCCTCCCCTTCCCTTCTCCCTGGTCGGGCCGCTGTCCCTGCGAGCTCCTCCCCTCGCGCCGCTGCTGAGAAGGCGGCAACAATGAGCCTCCTCTGCAGACCGGTTCCCTTCCCATCATGGCCGCTACCGGGTGGCCGCCGCCGCCGCCGCCCAAGTGCTGGCTGGCTGACACTGACTGACTGGACCCAGCAGCCCCAGGACGAAGCAACCCCCAGCCTCCGGGGCTGGAGGGCCGGGAGGGCGTGGTGTGTGGGCGCGCGTGTGTGGAGAAGCAGGGAGAGCGAGGGGAAAGCGGGGGTAGTGGGGCTGCCCAGGCGAGGAGAAGCGGTGGGAAGCCGCGCTGCGCCCCGTCAACGTCGCTTCGGGCCTGCTCTGAGCCACCTCCCCTTCCACCCCGCTCAATTCCTCCCCTTCGTTCACTTAACGCAAGCTGAGACCCCCTTTCTCCCCCTCAGTTCGAGACCTTCCCTTCTCTCCCCTCCCCATTGGAGACCCCTTTTCTCTCGGTCGAATCTGAGACTCCCCCACTCTTGCCCCCTCATTTGAGACCCTCTTCTCCTTCCCCAAATTGAGACCTTTCCTTCTCTCCCTCATTTGTGACCCCCTTCTCTTTCCCCGTTCCCCATTTTCTATCTCGATTGTGTGTGTGTCCCGTCCCGTCAATATCTCTTTTCTACCTTTAAGGCTTTGGGATATATTTCCACCCTTCCCCGCTGTTTTCATCATTATTTTTTGGATATTTGGAATCTTGTGTGCTGCTCTCCTTCTCTTTTCCCATTTCCCCCTCTTCCTCACATTTTCTGCAGGGAGTTGCACTATGTGTTCCCCTCAGTCTTTCTTACACACCTTTTGGATAATGTTCTCCCTCACATTTTTTTTTAAAAATTCAGAATCTGTGACATTCCCCCACTTCCTCATTGTTATTCATTTTAACTTTTACCCCTCCTTCCCTTTCAGGACTTTGATTTCCATTTAACTGAAAGAAGCTTTAATTAACACCGCCCCCGTCCCGCCCCGCCCCCCAAAAGTAGTAGGAATTTTCATTCTCCTCCTTCCTTCTTCATACGGACTCTGTATTCCTCAAAGTTTTGTTTTCCTGCCTCTCCTCTTCCACTTGGGGGGTGAGAGGGGAGATTCCCTCTTTGCTGACAAGCCCTCATTCTCCATTCCACGCATTTTTCATTCCATCTGTGTTTCCTCTTCCCCTCAGTCCCTTTCCCTTTCTATGTAGACTATGATTGCAAACAAACACTCTCTAACTCCCTGACTTTCTCCTGGCATTCAGCTTCAGGTGGTCTCAACTTTTCAGTAGATTTTGGATGCTGGGTGGGGATGTGGGGTGCTCTACTGCTTCAGAGTCGACTGTGCAAACCCCACTAATCCTCAATTTGATATCTTTTGGGGCATTCTGGGTGTCCTTTCAGTCTTTGGTCAGTTTTTTTTTTTTTTTTTGCTGGAGTTGATCCGAAGCATCTGCCTTCCCAAGGAATATCCAGAGAAACCTTTGCGAAGCAGTCGAACTGGGATGAAGCTGGCTTGGTCATGCTTATATGTGAAAACCTTCCTCCTGCGGTGCAGATTTGACCTACCACCTCCCTCCATCCTGGAGTTGTGACTCCTGTGTCAGGTGACATTCGTATATTTATGTGATCAGGTCAGGAGCATCTTAATCTCCCTTTTTGCTGATGACTTTAATATTTGCTTCTTCAAAATGACCCCCTCCTGCACAATTACGCATTTCACTTTCACTGGGACATTAGAGAAGTGCCACTGGGTGACTTGTGACTTTTGCTATGGGACAGGTAGAGTCTGGCACAGACCATGAAGTCCACTGAAATATTCCACTTTCTGTGGAACCCAACTACAGAGCCTCAGAAAATTTTAACTGCTTTATGCCTTTTTTGTGATCAGGGGAAGAATAAATGACCTTATCACACAGACACCTTTCTTTCAGACTTGAATAATACTTGAAAGCCAAATGCTGCCTGTTTTTTTGGCCGGTGAGAAGTAATTGCTATGCAAAAGAAAAGAAAAGAAAAGAAAAGAAGAATTTTGATACCGATCTGCAGCAAAATGACCTCTCCCTGCCCTGGGTGAGATCTAGTATCTGCTCACCCAGTGGAAGATCAGGGACAAGACTTCTTCTTCCCCTCTTCACTTAGAAAACTTAAAAAAAAAAAAATTAGTGGCGTTTGCGGCTGCCAAGTGGAACTTCTAATATAGTGTTCCGAGAAACAAGCAGTGTCTAGAAAAATGTGCTCTGCCTCTTGACTTGAACCGCATGCCTTGAGTCATCTAGTCCCCATCCCACGCTACCCCCAAGGAACACACTTCCTTGTGAAGGTATCTCTGCCAATCTGGAAGGTTGGTGTCTTCTCAGGTCGGGACCACCCACCTTTCAATACTTTATGGGTCAGCAGCCTGGAAAAGTTCTTGGGGACCAGCGGAGGCCGAGTCTGCCCACACTTCACTTTATCAAAGGCCCAGGGAAGAAGGAAGCATCCAGGCATGGGTCTGCCCACTGCAACGTCTTTCTGGTTCACGGTAAGGGCTTCCATCTGTGTCTTAATTTTAACTCCTTTTTCCATGCAAAAAATAATTGCGTAATTTGCATTCAGTGTTTTAATCTGTTTGCAAATGTAGCAAAAATATTAATTTGTGGAAGTGTATGACACATGGAATTAAGAGAACTGAAGGTTTGTACAAATGGGTCTGCTTTATTAATACTACATACCACATTCGACATTTGAGCAATTGAGGCATTTGGGGGTTCTGATTCTGGTGGAGGTTCTGATGAAACCAAGTCCTGTGTTTTCAGGTTGAAGGCTTCTGTGTCATGTGACACCTTCTAAATTGTAGCTGTACTCGCACCCACTAGGTTGTGGGATTCATTTTCATATAATAATGTAGGTAACAATATGTAAAATAAGAGGTCACTTTTTTGTGAGAGGTTGGAATTTAGAGAGAATGCCGTGGGTGTCATTCACAAAATGATGGCCATGGAGTGTTTGGCATAACACAAAATGGGGTTATTTCCCAATATCTTTTCTGAGCACCATAAAGGTAAAGGGACCCCTGACCATTAGGTCCAGTTGTGACCAACTCTGGGGTTGCGGTGCTCATCTCGCTTTATTGGCCAAGGGAGCCGGCGTACAGCTTCCGGGTCATGTGGCCAGCATGACTAAGCCGCTTCTGGAGAACCAGAGCAGCACACGGAAACACTGTTTACCTTCCCACCGGAGCAGTATCTATTTATCTACTTGCACTTGACGTGCTTTCGAACTGCTAGGTTGGCAGGAGCTCTGAGCACCATAGGAGGAACCAATAGGCACAGTGGAGTCTGCAGGCACCATGTTGATGACTACCAAATAAAAGAAAGAAAGAAAATATCTAGTGGTTTTCAGACTTCTCACCAGGGGACCCTTTCCATGTTGATCTGATGGTTTTCTGTATGTCTCCTGTGGAATCTCTGACTGCAGCAGTGGATTCTGAGTGATGTTTTAGGATGCACTCTCAGTTCATTTGGGGCACTGGCTGAGCCTTTGTGCTGACCTTGCATGAGCAACATGCTTTACTTTAAGGACCATCTGAGGCCTTATAACCTAGCCTGCTTACTTAAGTCAACCAGAGATGCTAATGGGCATTGAATATCAAAACCCCCATGCTGTGGAACACTCTTTTGGCAGAGATTCAACAGGAACCCTTGCTGTTGACTTTCAGGTGTCTCTTGAAGACTTTTGTTGATGCTTATCAGCCAGTGCAGTTAACAAAAAACTTCTTGAGTAGCCAGTCATTTTAATGATAGTTTTACATTGCATTTATAAGTTTTTGAGTTGCTGTACAGCGCCCTGATGTTTTGTGAAGGGTTGGTATGTAATTATTTTTGTAAATATTAAATAACACACAAACTACACTCTAAAACTTACCTTGTTCTCCCCTGTGGCTTCACATCGCAAAAGAAGATTGGCAGTGGAGGTCTGGTTGTATTCCAGGAAGGATCAATGGCAACTAGTGGTGATGGGTATGTTCTGCCTACACTATTGGAGGCAGTATGCCTCTGAATACCAGTTGTTGCGAATTGCAAGTAGAGAGAGTTGCTGCTCTGCTCATTTCTGGCTTGTGGGTTTTTCATTGGGGCATCTGGTTGGCCCCCGTGAGAACAGGATGGGCCCCTCTTGGCCTGATCCAGCAGCCAGTTTCCCCTTAAGGAGACCTGTTATGGTAGCAGAACCTCCATGCCCAGGGGCAGTCTACTGCTGAATACCAGTTGATGGGAAACAGCTAGAGAGGTCTTACTTGCAGGGTTCTCAGTTGGGGCATTCTCAGCTGGCGATTGTGAGAACAGGATGCTAGACTAGGACCCCCCCCCCCCGTCTGATCCAGTAGGGCTCATTTTACAATACTGATACTTTATACAGGTAGTTCTGGTGATGAAGTACAGTTACTTGGACATGATGCGGAGGTAGCTGGTAGGGTGGCTTGTGCATTTATTTCAGTGACTTCTTTCATACTGACCAGTAGATAGTCCTGACAGTTGCACATACAAAATGATGGAGAGGCAAATCAAATTCAGAGATCCACTGTGATGTATCAGTTAGAGTTTTGGACTTCGACCTGTGGGAGCTCCGCATTCAGCCATGAAGCTCACTGGATGTGACCTTGGGCCAATCACTGTCCCTTTCTCTCTCTCAGCCTATAACCTACCTCACAGGTTGTTGCGTGCAGATGAAATGAGCAGGAGGGAGACCCATGTATATCACCTTGGAGAAAAAAGGAGGGTATAAAAAATAAAAATAAATCTGCAATCCAAATGCTGGGTCCCCTCCACCAGAGGGAGCCTACAAAATTATGCATTCCCAATTGTTTAAATAAAAAAAAGTCATTTATCTGACCAGACCTTAAGTAGGCTGAGCCCAGGTGAAAGTTTCTCATCAGCACAATATGGGGAGAGGAACAAATCTCCTTTTTTGTATGTGCTGCTTTTCAGGAAGCTGAGCTCATCTGTTTGTTGTAACTGAAGGTGGAGTTCAAGGTTCCGGCTCCATCGCTTGTGGAATCCATGGATATCTGGGCTGAAAGGAATGAACTCATGGTCCTAAGAGACTTGTAATATGTGTTACAAAGTGGAGGAATCCAGAGTTCATCAGTAACACGCACACACAGAGAGGGAGAGAACTGGTGTGCCTAAAGCTGCCACTATCCAAGTCTCTGTATCTCTTGTATAAAAAAATTAAATCAGAATATAAGATCGTAATGTTAAGAATAAATGGGAGATGGCCTGGTGTGAAAATGATCTGCAGAATCATACTTTATACCCATGGGAGATGTTGCCTGCAACTCCTTTCCAGAATCTGCTGAGCTTTGAATTGCTTAGATGTGGTCGTATCTGGACCATGACAGTATTAAGAGATGCACTAGGGATATAAAAACATTGGAAGCTGTCTTGTTTAGAGTCAGATCATGGTTCCATCTAGCTCAGTATTGTCTACACTGACTGGCAGTGGCTCTGCAGGGTTTAAGGCAAGGGACACTCCCAGCCTCTGTATTATATGCAGAAAGGACACATGAATCTGATGATACAGTTTGATTGTGGATTTTGTCGGTAAAGAGCCCAGGAATACCATGTAAACTTCCAGTGTAGACACAAAGTGGGCTGGTCTCTTAACCATTACTAAGAGTGATTTGAATACTTTTATGGCCACTAGGCATTCTTCTGAGTATCAGTTGCTGAAAGCCATGGGGCAGGGAGTCCTATTGTGCTCATGTCTTGCTTGTGAGCCTCCCATCGGAGCATCTGGTTAGCCACTATGAGAACAGGATCCTGGGTCATTGATCAGATCTGTCAGCTAGGCTCTTCTTATGTTCCAGCCCCACTGTCAGAAGCAGTATGCCTCTGAATGCCAGTTGCTGAGAATTTGATAGATTTTGATTTTATATTTGTATTCCACTTTTCCAACAACAATCACATGCATGGGGAGTGTTTATCTTGTGCTCAGATCCTGCTTGAGGATTTCCCATTGGGGCATCTTGGTGGCTATTGTGAGAACAGGATGCTGGACTAGATGGGTCACTGGTCTGATCCAGCAGGGCTCTTCTTACATTCCTCTGGCTTCTCCAGATGAATTGAAGGTGAATGTGTTGGTCGTGACCACAGATTTTGATTGAGTAGCAAAACATCTGGAGACACCTTTGACCAAGCAGTGTGTTGAAGAATGGGCATGATATGCGCTAAGATCTTTGAACCAAGATGTTCTGGTGGTGTTGATAATGCACACAAAGAAAGACACACGTCTTTTTTACAGGAATCTATTGTGAGATGTCCACAGGGTGGCAGGAGGAGGCTGTGCTGGATGCAAGTGGGAAGCATTGCCTGAAGAAACTGTCACAATATGTGATATAGTTTATAGGTGAGGGAAGCTCAGGCCCCTGGGCTGAATCCATCTCTCCAGACCTCTCTATCCAGCCCTGGGATATCTCTCCAGGCCCTACTCTACAATTCTATGATTGAACGATTCATGCCCATTTCACAATTCTGCTCCCTCCTTGATTGTCTTTACTTGGCTGCAATGTATCCTTGGACTGTGACAATGCATCTCTCTCTTTTCTGGATGGAGGTGTGCATGTGTGTGTTTTGGCCACAACATAAAACATGAAACTGCTAAAGAGATGGGATTATGCTATCCCAGCATTGCTGTGCCTTTCCCTCCTGTGGAAGATAGTCATGGCTGTTGCTGGAAAGAGCTGTCTCAATTTTTATAAAGGAATATAGAAAACTGCTTTATGCTGAGCCAAACCACTGGTCCATCCAGTTCAGTACTGTCTACAATGACTCCAGGATCTCAGGTAGGGAATCTCTACCAACTCTACCTGGATGTACTGCTAAGGCTTGGACCTGGGGCCTTCTGCATTCAAGACAGATGCTGTAGCAATGAACTATGGACCCTTCCCCAAATGAGAGAGGGAAAGTGCCTATACTTCCAAACCCTTCTGCTTTTGGTTTTGAAAATGTGTTCCAGAAACTGAGGGGTTCCTAGAAGGTTTTCAGGGATTCCTCTGTGGATGGTAACTAGGAGCTTCCTTTTTTTTTTTTTTTTTTTTGGATGCTATTAAACTTGTCCCCACCCCACACATGCATAGGGGAGTCTTAGGCAGGATGTAGGTCAGACTCTGCCTTCAAACAAGTGACAGTAAAGGCCCCATAAGCCTAGCCAGCGCCCTGCATGAATGGTCCAAAATGAACAAGGGAAGGAGTGACTCTCCTATGAGGAAAGGTTGCAGTGTTGGGGGCTTTTTTGTTTAGAGAAAATTGACTAAGCGGCAACCTGATCTAAGTTTTTAAAATTATCCCTGGCATGAAGAGAGTGGATAGAGAAAAACTTTTCTCCCTCTCTCAAAACACTAGAACTTGTGAGCATCGAATAAAGCTGAATGTTTGAAGTTTCAGGACAGAGAAAATAAAGTACTCCACACAGTAGTTAAACCATGGAACTCACTCCCACAGGAGGCAGTGATAGCCACCAACTTGGATGGCTTTAAAAGCGGATTAGACAGATTCATTGAGGAGAGGGCTGTTGATGGCTACCGGCCATAATGGCAGCGATCAGACTCCCTGGTCGGAGGCAGTAATGTTTCTGAATATTGGTTGCTAGAAACTTCAAGAGGGGACATTGCCCATGTGCTCAGGTCTTGGTTGAGGGTTCCCCATTCGGGCATCTCATTGGCCGCTGTGAGAACAGGATGCTAGGCTAGATGGGCCATTGGCTTGATCCAGCAGGAAGGCTATTCTTATACCCTTAGGAGTTAACAGTGAACCAACTTATCGCATAACTTCTACTCATTAATTTGATTGTGGGTTTCGTTTCAAGGTTTTTTTAACAATGGTTAAATCTGGTGAAGGGAACAAGTGGGTACAGCAGTGAAGTTGCTGGTGCTCCTGTGTGAGTCCCAGCCTTCATTATCTCCTGGACCAATCATTGTTCTTCCTTTCCTCTTTGAAGGATTTGGAATTCATGTGCCAGGGGGGTAGGAGGATAGCTTCAGTTTGGAAGTGGTTCAAGTTTCTGCCGGGAGAATTTATCTTTACGATAAACTGCACGCATCCCCCAAAACCATCTGTGTTGACAGCGTGATGTGTTTAATGAGCCAGCAATAGGCAGCATGTTGTGTTCCTGATTTCATTTGCTCCTCATTAAAGAGTTGACACAGGACAGGCATGTGCAGTTATCCCCCCACTTTTTTTTGTTTTGTTTTAAGGCTATACTTGCCTGCTGTTCGTTTAAAAACCCTGGATCCTTTACTTCAGGACTGGAGTGACTGCTATGAGGAAAGTTTGCAGCATCTGGAGCATTGTAGTTTATAGGAAAAATGAGTAAGAGGCAACATAGTAGATAATGTTTATAAAATTATACATGGCATGGAGTACAGTTTTTATTCCTCTCTCATAATGCTAGAACTCATTGGCATCCAATGAAGCTGAATGTTGGAAGATTCAGGACAGATCAAAGAAAGGCTTTCATTGTGCTGCACAGAGTTACTGTGGAACTCATTTCCCCAGTTGCTGGGAACCACAGAAGACAAGAGTTGCTTTGCCATCATGTTCTGCTTACCTCTGTAGGAGACACTTGGTTGTCCACTGTGAGAACAGGATTCTGGACTAGATGAGCCACTGGTCTGATCTAGCAGTCTTGTCTTATGTTCTTATGGTTTTCCAAACTTTTGAACTCATAGACCCCTTGGTGAGCTTTTAAAGTTGCCATTGGTCCCCAATCCAAATTCTTAGTGATGAAAATGAAATAAAGTTAAGAAATAACAACATCTAATCAACATTTATTCATCTTCAACCACAGTTACAAGGAATAATAAATGTAAAGAAAATAAGGAAGTAAAACAATTGAAAATAATGATGATACCATACCAGTCTGGACCTTAGAAGAACATTGCTGGAACATTGCAGGCAAGTGGTCCATCTAGTCCAGCATTCTTTTCTCACCGGGGCTGACCAGATTCCTCCGTGGAAAACCATAGAGCAGGACCTGAATACAAGAACACTCTCTCTTCCTGCAGTTGCTAGCAACTGGCTTTCAGAAACATTACATTATCCATGCACTATATTTCTGACACAGTTCCAAGTTAAAGTTTTTGCACTGTATGAAGTCAATGAGAAAAATGTATAGGCTGGTATTCTGATGCCAGTGAAGACAGGTGGGCACCGCAAAACATTTTCATGTATGAGGAACATCCATCCCATGATAAATGCATGTCTGGAAATGCCCTGGGCAAATTAAAATGAAAGACAGTTTTCATTTGACATCAGAAAGAGAATAAAGATTACCGCTGACATTCATGATGGGGTTTTAAGCTCTCTCTCAATTTTTGAAATGCCTTCCCAATGACAGATATCTCTCTTGACACTACCTACTTGAACTTCGCCAGCTTACCATTTGCTGGCAGTCAATTTTCTCCTGGTTCATCCATTATAGTACATATTTCTCCATTTAGAAATAACAAACCTCAAAACAATCTGAAAAACTAGATTTCAGCGTAAACACTTTTACCTAATGTTTCTCTCCCCCACTCCTTAGAAGATCCATGTTATTTAGGCTGCCCTATAAATAAAGCTTAGTCATCCTTTTTACACTTGTCAGAAATGATCTTGGTCTGCGTTTAAAAGGCTAGAAATGTTGTGTATTTGTGTATATGTGTGTGTGTGTGTTTGTGTGTTTGTGTGTTTGTGTGTGTGTTTTAAAAATGGAGAAGGTTCTGCAATATTATCCTGCCTGAGAGCCAGTGGTTAAGAGCGGTGGACTCGTAATCTGGTGAACCGGGTTCGCGTCTCCGCTCCTCCACATGCAGCTGCTGGGTGACCTTGGGCTAGTTACACTTCTCTGAAGTCTCTCAGCCCCACTCACCTCACAGAGTGTTTGTTGTGGCGGAGGAAGGGAAAGGAGAATGTTGGCCGCTTTGAGACTCCCTAGGGTAGTGACATAGCGGGATATCAAATGCAAACTCTACTTCTCAGTTGAAAACCTCGTTTTCTGAGAATCACAGCTTATGGGTGTGATTTAAATTGTTGAAACCTAAAGCTCTGTGTTAGAAGCTCTTAAGCTCGCCCCTTCTCTGGCTGTTTCTGAAATGTGGTCTTAATGATGACTACATCTCTTGACACTAGCTAATTAGGAGCTGTTTTAACTTGCTTAATTAGGACTGTTTAAAAGCTTGAAAGAAAAGAATAACCACCTGCTTCTTCCCCCCCCCCTTTACAACAGCACCCAGTTTTCCTTAGATTGACTTAAGAGGACTGGTTCTTTTGTTCAAACTTACTCTTGATTGCTTTTAAAAGCTCTGGTATATTAGTGGAGATGAATTAGGTATGGGGAAACTTCGGCCATACAGATGTTGCTGAACATGTCTGTGGATGATGGGAGTTGTAGTTCAGCAATATCTGGAGAGGCAAATGTACCCCACACCTGAGATCAAGCTCCTGTGTTGGGAGAAGGAGAGCACACAGTCTCTAAAGGGAATAGGGAGTGAGGGAGAAGAAGCTGGTGCACAATTCAGATTTGAGAGCATTTACAAACCATCGTTTTTAGTTTTGTCGGCAATGGCAAGCAGTGGTTTGATCAAACCTGAGAGTCAGTCATTGACTTGGTTCAGAAAACCTTTCCAACCTTCATAAACCATAGTTTATGAAACCAGGAATGAGTACCAGGCTTTCATGCTCCTCCTCTACCTTCCTCCTCCCCTTCTATGTCGGCTTCAGTGCTTCCTATGTTATTATATATCGTGTCAGAGAGGGTATGGTAGAGTTGGAAAAGGTTCAGAAATAATGGTTCTGATTACCAGCTGCTGGAAGCCACAGGAGGGGAGAGTGCTGCTTCTATGCTTGATTCTTGCTTGCACTCTTTCCACAAGCATCTGGTTCAACACTGAGAACAGGATGCTGGACTAGGTGGGCCACAGACCTGATCCATCAGGGTTCTCCATATGTTCCTATAATCTTACAAGCTGCATCACAGGTCTGATTAGAATAATACTCAGTATATTTCTAGCAACTGCTGCTGACTCTTAGCATTTTTAATGCCTCTCGCTGTAGAAGTCCAGGCATACTGAGGTTCAACTGGCAAACCTGCTGATGAGGTGTCAGGCAGGTACTGTTTAGTGGCGTTTAGAACCTGAAGACGGGGATAAAGGATTGCCCTGTGTGCAGCCTCTGGAAAGCTGTATAGAGCAAGAAAACATGCTTTCATCTTGGGTGAGACATTTGAGGCTTTAAACTTGTTCCTTTCCTTAAAAAACACAACACCCATTACCAGTACTTATTGCAGCAAATAATGACAGTAAGTAAGTAAGCCTAGTTCTGCTTTGTAAAGTGTTAGCAATATCAAAAGCAACACGATGGCCAGAAACAATTACAATGTGAAAAACTTTATGGAATAATTCAAAACATCAAAACTAACAAACTGAAGTCTCTGAAAGTCCTTAAATGAATCACGGTGCCAGACTTTACCTGGCGAAGAACAAGCTGTGAAGCTTTGTATAATCAGCAAATGTCCAATTCTGATGTCCAGCTCTAACTCTGAACAAGAGTTTTTACAGTTTTCCACATGGCTTAACTCCTTACATCCATCTTTATCTTTCTCGGGTCATCATAGCTGTGTTTCTTGTATTTTTTTGGATGTTGAGGTTATAAAACATAATGGCTTCCTTGCTGTTAAACCTCATAAAAAACCCACTGATTGTAATTCTCTATTACACTATTCTTTTCACCCCAGACAACTGAGGGACAACTTTCTTTATGGAAAATTTTTACGCCTTAAAAGAAATACCTCTTTGAAAAATGTTGGGCTGAAGTGAAAAAAGATTTAGAAATTTGGTCAAATTTGAAGCTTTCACTGCTAGGCCGTATTGCTGTGATAAAAATGAATGTATTGCCTAGAATGTTGTTTTTGTTTCAAACATTGCAAGTTTTGGACAAAATGGATCGCTTCAAGAAGTGGCACAGAGATATTTCTAGATTTGTCTGGCAGGGCAAGAAGCCCAGAATAAAATTTAAAATATTAACGGATGCAAAGGAAAGAGGTGGATTTGCCCTGCCAGACCTTAAACTTTATTATGAATCAGCAGCTTTTTGCTGGCTGAAAGAATGTCTGCTTCTTGAAAACACAGACATTTTGGACTTAGAAGGTTTCAATAATGTATTTGGATGGCATGCATATTTGTGGTATGACAAGGTCAAAGCACATAAAGCATTTAAGAATCATATTGTCAGGAAAGCATTGTTTAATGTCTGGATAAGATATAAGGATTTATTGGAAAATAAAACCCCAAGGTGGTTGTCACCGATGGAGCGAAAGCACTGAAAAAGCTCAATATGGAGGCCAAATGGCCGAAATATTGGGAAATTCTGGAACAAGAGGGAGACAGATTGAAACTGCAGAGTTTTGAGAAACTAAAAAACAAAGTGCGAGATTGGTTTCATTATTATCAGATAATGGAGGCATATAATTCGGACAAGAAAATTGGCTTCCAGGTGGAAAAATCAAAATTAGAAACAGAACTGTTAGAACCCAAAACTAAGACTTTATCAAAGATGTATAACTTGCTGTTGAAATGGAATACTCAGGATGAAACGGTGAAATCTGCTATGATTAAATGGGCACAAGACGTTGGACATAACATAATGATGGCTGACTGGGAACAGTTATGGACCACAGGTATGAAGTTTACGGCATGCAATGCCTTAAGAGAGAATACTATGAAAATGATATACAGGTGGTACATGACACCAGTCAAGTTTGCAAAAATCTATCATTTGCCCGATAATAAATGTTGGAAATGTAAAGAAACTGAAGGTACATTCTTTCACCTTTGGTGGACCTGCCCAAGGATTAAGGCTTTCTGGGAGATGATCTATAATGAATTGAAAAAGGTATTTAAATATACCTTCTTGAAGAAACCAGAGGCCTTTCTCCTGGGCATAGTCGGCCAATTGGTGTTAAAGAAGGATAGAACCTTCTTTATGTATGCCAAAACAGCAGCAAGAATACTTATAGCAAAGTATTGGAAGACACAAGATCTACCCACTCTGGAAGAATGGCAGATGAAGGTGATGGACTACATGGAATTGGCGGAAATGACTGGCAGGATCCGAGACCAGGGAGATGGGTCGGTGGAAGAAGATTGGAAGAAATTTAAAGACTATTTACAGAAATATTGTAAAATTAATGAATGTTAGAATGATGTTAGAATGAAATTAAGTGGTTCTAGTAGCAATGTCATAAAGGTGTATGTAAAAATGGATGGTTAATAGGTGAGAATCTAAAGTTATAAAATATTAAGTTAAAGGACTAAGATATAAACAAAGAGGGAAAGGAATTGCTGAATTAACCAATTGAACTGGAATACAAAAAAGGGAGGTGAGAGGAGGTCAGGGAAGCAAGGAAATGAAATGTAAGATACAGAAGGATTAATTTGTTTTTAAGTGTTTCTTTTTTATTTTTTTTCTGTACTTTGTATGTTTTTTCCCCTTCTTTTTTATATATTTTTCCTTGTTTCTTCTCTCTTTAACTATGTAATTTTTTGTTTTTGAAATTTTAATAAATATCATTAAAAAAAAAAAGAAATACCTCTTTTGACCATGATTTCCATAACAGTGCAGATATTCTAGCTCACTTTCTTCATTCCAGAGGATATCCTCCCACCATTGTCAACAGGTCCAAATATAAATCTCTTACGAAGGTCTGGACGTTGCTTCTCAGTCCCTCAACCACCTCACAGTCTCAAAATCGCATTATAGGCTCATTAATAATAATAATAATAATAATAATTTTTATTTATACCCTGCCCTCCCCAGCGAAGGCCGGGCTCAGAGTGGCTTACAAGCAATAATAAAAACAAGTTGAATGATTACAACTTAAAAACAAAATTAAAATACAACATTAAAATATTGAAACATTAAAATATTAAAATGTAGCCTCATCGCAGAAGGAGAAGGAAAGGAAAAAAGAAAGAGAGGGAGGGAATCAAATTGGCTCCAAGCCAAAGGCCAGGTGGAGCAACTCTGTCTTACAGGCCCTGCGGAAAGAAATCGGATCCTGCAGGGCCCTGGTCTCATGAGGCAGAGCGTTCCACCAGGCCAGAGCCAGAGTTGAAAAGGCCCTGGCTCTGGTTGAAGCCAATCTAACTTCCTTAGAGCCCGGGACCACTAGGGTGTTGCTATTTATGGACCTTGAGGCTCTCCGTGGGGCATACCGGGAGAGGCGGTCCCGTAGGTACGAGGGTCCTAGGCCATGAAGGGCTTTAAAGGTCAAAACCAGCACCTTAAATCTGACCCTGTACTCTACCGGGAGCCAGTGCAGTTTGAAAAGCACTGGGTGAATATGCTCCCATGGCAGAGACCCTGTGAGGAGCCTCGCTGCAGCATTCTGCACCCTCTGGAGTTTCTGGGTCAGCTTCAAGGGCACCCCCGCGTAGAGCGAATTACAGTAGTCAAGCCTGGAGATGACTGTCGCATGGATCACTGTGGCCAGGTCGGGGCGGGAAAGGTAAGGGACCACCTGCTTGATGCGGCGAAGGTGGAAAAATGTCGCCTTGGCTGTTGCTGTAACTTGCGCCTCCATGGAAAGGGAGGCGTCAAGGATTACACCCAAACTCTTAACGGAAGGCAATGGCACTAATTGGGCCCCGCAAGAGAAGGGAGTTGGTCCCTCATCCCCATGCCATCCCGACCCAGCCATAGGACCTCTGTCTTCGAAGGATTTAGTTTCAATCGGCTCCCACGAAACCATGCAGCCACAGCTTCCAAGCATCTGGTCAGTGTGTTCGGGGCCGAGTCGGTGTGGCCATCCATCAGCAGATAGAGCTGAGTGTCATCAGCATATTGGTGACAGCCCAGCCCAAAGCTCCGGATAATCTGGGCAAGGGGGCGCATAAAGATGTTAAAAAGCATCGGGGAGAGAATTGCGCCCTGCGGCACTCTACACACCAAGGAGTGGCGCGACGACATTTCCCTCCCTAGTGCCACCCTCTGTCCCCGACCAGAGATAAAAGAGCACAGCCAGTTACGGGCTATGCCCTGTATCCCCACGTCTGCGAGGCGGTGGTCCAGAAGATCATGATCGACCATGTCAAAGGCTGCTGACAAATCTAAAAGGATCAGCAGTCCTGACCCGCCTCGATCCAGTTGTCTACGGAGATCATCTGTAATGGTACACTGTTAGAGTACACTACTCATGCAGACAGAATTATTAGAATTATATGCAAACATTGGCATGTACTCTGGAATGTACCAGGTTGTAATGAATTTCCTTTGATTGGCCTGAGACGGACCAAATCAATTAAAGATATGTTAGTACACACAGATATGAATTCTGAAAGAATTATAACTCGTACCATTAGCACTTCTGGGCCCACTGGTCACCATAAATGTGGCAGATGTTCATCTTGCCCATTTTCTTTACAGACTAAAGAAATTTATGATGAGAAAACCAATTTCAGATTTGTTATTTGTCAATTTAGTACATGTCAGACCAGAGATGTGGTCTACCTTACTCAATGTCCTATTGTATATAGGCTCTGCCACTTGAGCAGTTGGAGTTCGGATTGGGGAACATTGCTCACGCATACGTAATGCCAGTATGGAGGCACCTCTGGTAGAACATTTTGTTTCTCACAATCATTCAGACACGGATTTATTATTTACAGTTTTATGGGTGAATCAGAAGACAATTGGTATCAGAAAAGATTATGAGTGACAGTTACGGCAGCAAGAAGCCAGTTTTATTTTCATGTTTAAAACTATTCATTCAGAGGGACTTAACTCTGAATTAGACCTCAATTGTTTTATTTGATTATCTGCATCTTTGCTGTTACTTTGTACTGTGTCTTTAAACTTGGTCTCCTTGTTATTAGTGTCACCTGGGGTTGGCTATATACATTTTTCAAAAAATGTTGTCAGTAACACTGACTACATAATCACATGAGCACTGTTCCAGAGTATTTTTCATTCTCATGTATATTATATCTATTTGAAAAAAGATTGGGTATGTAACCTTTTTATGTTACAATTTATAATTTCTACACTGATTGAAGTTGTTGTTATGCATGTGCAGGTCATCGTTTGAATATTTTATTTTCAGTTAATGAAGAAATTACAAATCTTTCTACTTATGAGTGTTGAACTAATTGGCTGATGAAGAATTAAATGAAACAGTAGTTGTTATCCGGAAACACTGTTCAGCAGAGTTCAGAGTTGGACATCAGAATTGGACATTTGCTGATTATACAAAGCTTCACAGCTTGTTCTCCGCTGGGTAAAGTCTGGTACCGTGATACGTTTAAGGACTTTCAGAGACTTCAGTTTGTTAGTTTTGATGTTTTGAATTATTCCATAAAGTTTTTCACATTGTAATTGTTTCTGGCCATCATGTTGCTTTTGATATTAATGACTCATATTTTGCAACACAGGGGATTGTTTACTCATTGTAAAGTGTTAGAGCAGAGTTTGAAAGTTCCTGTGTGGTCAGTGTAATGTCATTGGGGCCAAATTTATGCCCCTTGGCAGAGGTATTTGAGTCCTGCATTTGCATTTAGATCCTTCTTGTGGACTTCTTGTGGACTTCCCATCTGGTGGCCACTGTGAGGACAGGATGCTGGGCTAGATGGGCCATTGGCCTGATCCAGCAGTGTTCTTCTAATACTATACGTACCTTCACTTCTGCTTCTTTTCAAAATAACAACTTAAGAGAGACAAGTGTTGATGGGCTTCAGCTAAGTAGCTCAGTACTTCCAAAATTGGAACCTGACCTTATTTTAGTTAGGTTGACAGACCTTTGATGACATCCAGATGCTGGCATGATGCATCTTTTGAGGCCTTCTTGCTGGTTCTGAATCATCTTAGCCGTACCCATGAGTCACTATCCTGGCCTGTGAGTGACTTGTAGGCATGGCATATTCTGGGTAAGAGCAGCTTCTTGTGGTTAAAAAGAAAGCAGAAGGACTTGTGATGGGAACTTTACTTTTTGGGAGATCAGGGGATCAGCCAGAAGAGCATTTTGCTATTGCACCTAAGGCTGTCTCCACAATGGCGTTTTTAGTTGGGCTTGGTTTAACACCAGTTAAGTGCAGCTGAGCTGAGGATCTGCACAGCAACTGTCTCTAACAGGTTAATGTTTTCTGCCCTTTGGGAAGAGCTACATTGATTGGCTTGATAAGAAGGAGAGTCTGTGCAATTTCTGAGGCATGTGTGAGTTTCATGTGAGGTCGCTGGCACACACTTTTTCTCCATGTGAACTGAGTAGAATGAAGGGGATGCCCTTAAAATAGAGTGTGTGGCCTGGGGAGAGTTTAGAGGGCCAGGCAGAGAGACCTGGAAGCCACATTTGCCCCCTAGGCCTAAGCTTCACCCTTCCTCCCTGCCTTCAAGCTTGGAGATTCTTTTTTATTATTTATAATTTATTTACTGCATTTATATCCCATTTTTTTCTGTGCAGAGCTGAACGTGGTGTACATTTAATCCCTACAGCAACCCTGTGAGGTAGATTAGGCTGAGAGAGGCAGTGACTGGCCCAGGGTCACACCCAGTGAGCTTCATGGCCAAGTGGGGACTTGAATCCTGGTCTCTCTAGTCCAACACTCTAACCCTGGCTCTCAAGCCTCATTGAAATAAGCTTTTCTTAAGCCTCATTGAAACAAGCATTAACTGTACAAGACCATAGCATCCAAATAGACAACAGGGAATCTGGGATTTTCTGCTCTTCCCTGGTGTTGGCTTTTGTATGAAAACATGCATGCTTGGCAAACAAGATGTGAAAGTGGATGAGAGGCTGGGAGAGTATGTCTAGCAGAGTGGCACACTCTCATTCCCTGCTGCTGTGTGCGTACAGTATTTGGTGCTGGCGTGGAAGAGCCCTCCTGTCCCCAGCTGTTTCTCCTGCACTGTCTCGCTCAGTAATAATGCTGTGGAGAGGTCTCTGATTCCAGTATTCTCATAATACTCTGCTCCTCCCCAGCCTTTCCTTGTCCAGAACCTAACATGTGGAAATGCTGCTCAGAGTATATTCCAATATATTGCAGTGACACCTCCCTCTTTCTCCTTTAATCTGGGTTCAAGCTTGACTTCCTGATTTTTTGCTCCTCATCTCGGCAGGCATCAGACTTGATTTTTTTCCTTTAAATTCCTGCAGCGTGCTTTGCATTTATAGGCAATTGGGAGCGATTTGGCAAGCGATCTGTGCAGTTCTGCCAGGGTGGTGTTGTGGTTAGAGTGTTGGACTAGTCCCCACTCAGCCACAAAGTTCACTGGGTGACCTTTGGTCACAGTCACTGTCTCTTAGTGTGGACAGTACTGGGCTACATAGACCAATGACTCATTAGAAGGCACCTTCCTATGTGTCCATTTAATTCAGCTCTTTAGTCATAACTAAGACAACTATTTTTTTTTGGTGGGGGGAATCATAGAATCATAGAAGAATCATTGTGGAAGAGACCACAAGGGCCATTGAGTCCAACCCCCTGCCAAGCAGGAAACACCATCAGAGCACTCCTGACATATGGTTGTCAAGCCTCTGCTTAAAGACCTCCAAAGAAGGAGACTCCACCACACTCCTTGGCAGCAAATTCCACTGTCGAACAGCTCTTACTGTCAGGAAGTTCTTCCTAATGTTTAGGTGGAATCTTCTTTCTTGTAGTTTGGATCCATTGCTCCGTGTCCGCTTCTCTGGAGCAGCAGAAAACAACCTTTCTCCCTCCTCTATGTGACATCCTTTTATATATTTGAACATGGCTATCATATCACCCCTTAACCTCCTCTTCTCCAGGCTAAACATGCCCAGCTCTCTTAGCCGTTCCTCATAAGGCATCGTTTCCAGGCCTTTGACCATTTTGGTTGCCCTCCTCTGGACACGTTCCAGTTTGTCAGTGTCCTTCTTGAACTGTGGTGCCCAGAACTGGATACAGTACTCCAGGTGAGGTCTGACCAGAGCAGAATACAGTGGCACTATTACTTCCCTTGATCTAGATGCTATACTCCTATTGATGCAGCCCAGAATTGCATTGGCTTTTTAGCTGCCGTGTCACACTGTTGGCTCATGTCAAGTTTGTGGTCAACCAAGACTCCTAGATCCTTTTCACATGTACTGCTCTCAAGCCAGGTGTCCCCCATCTTGTATTTGTGCCTCTCATTTTTTTTGACCAAGTGCAATACTTTACATTTCTCCCTGTTAAAATTCATCTTGTTTGTTTTGGCCCAGTTCTCTAATCTGTCAAGGTCGTTTTGAAGTGTGATCCTGTCCTCTGGGGTGTTAGCCACCCTCCCAGTTTGGTGTCATCTGCAAATTTGATCAGGATGCCCTTGAGTCCATCATCCAAGTCGTTGATAAAGATGTTGAATAAGACCGGGCCCAAGACAGAACCCTGTGGCACCCCACTAGTCACTCTTCTCCAGGATGAAGAGGAACCATTGATGAGCACCCTTTGGGTTCGGTCAGTCAGCCAGTTACAAATCCACTGAGTGGTAGCATAGTCAAGGGTCATAGCTCAGTGGTAGAGCATCAGCTTTGCATGCAGAAATGCCAGGTTCAATTCCCAATGGCATATCCAGGTAGACCTAGGATACAGTCCCGTTCTGAAACCCTGGAGAGCCTTTGCAAGTCAGTGTTGGCAATACTGACCTAGGTGGACTAATGGTCTGATTCAGTACAAGGCAGCTTCTGTCCAATCCTCATTGTGGTGCCTCTGAGACTGAGACTGTCCAGTTGCTGATAAGTGCTTAAAACAAAGCATATCCCATTTTTACTACTGGAGGTATGAACAAGATAATAATAATAATAATAATAATAATAATAATAATAATAGTAATCGTAGTAATAATAATATTTTTATTGGTACTCCACCCTTCATGGCCGGAGCTGGGCTCAGAGTGGCTAACATAATATAAATAATACAATATGCATAAAAACAAGCAATCAATTGATTAAAATGCATCCCAAAATTAATTAAAATAAATTAAAGTTAAAGTTAAAACTGTACAATTACAATCCTCAGGTTAAAATTGAAAGTGGTTAATACTTGCTAGGACCAACTGTTTCCAGTGATATTATAAGGACTTGTGAACGGGCTGGGAAACCGCCTTCGTGCTTGTTCTTATACAAAGAGAAAATGATGATAACCCCTAATCCAAACCCTTCAAGTCTATCAATACTTACAGAATCATAGAACCATAGAATTGTAGAATTAGAAGGGGACCCAAGGGTCATCTAGTCCAACCCCCTGTAGTGCAGGAATCTTTTGCCCAACATGGGGTGTGAACTCACAACCCTGAGACTAAGAGTCTCATGCTCTACCGACTGAGCTATCCCAGCTGCAGCTTCTTAAGTCACATTTAACTGTCTTTTCATTTAAAGTGCATTGTGTGATTAGTTCACTGTGCCTGTTAATGACCACCACTCAACTGTTGCTGAAAGCTGTGTTCTAAAAGAAAAAGTGACTGAAAGAACTGGGGGGAGGTGGAGGAGGAGGAGAAAAAGATGGTAGAGAGAAGTGGGGTCCTTGAAATGGGGTCAGTCCTTAGCATTTCCAGGTAGGTTTAGGAAATACACCTATCTGAAATGATAGAGAGCCACTGCCAGTAATGCAGAAGTTCCCAGGTTCAGTTCTTAATGGAATATCCAGGTAGAGGTGGAGTTGATTTCACTGAAAACTGCTGCCAGTCAGAGTAAACAGTACTGAGCTAGATGAACCAATGTATTTGACTCATGCAGCTTCCCATATTCCTAAGGGACAGACACACACTCTCTCTCGCACACAAGCTCCTTATTCTTGGAACACACACACTTCTTATTCTGTCTGTGTTCCTTCACCACCTGTAGAACAAATAGTTTAGGAAAATGTATTAGCACTGACCTGGATACCTGCGACACCTCCCCTCCTCACTGCTTTATTTAAATGAAGGAAATTGTAAAGCATACAGGATCTGTGATGAAGTTACCCTTTTTGGCTCGAGGGTATTGACCAAAGTTGTTTTACCTGACTCATCTGTATGGTTGGATTGTCTTTTCTTGGGTAAAGTTCAAAGATAGACTTAGACAGGCTGCGGTGTGTGTGTGTGGGAGAGTTGTGCTTTTTAAAAAAAAGCCTCTTAAAAGCCTGTGTTTTTCCACCACATTTCTATTATACTAGATGAGTCTTTGATTTCCACTTTGTGTTTTTTCCTCTGCCTGTTTGTTGAGATGTGACCTGCAGTTCACTGTAAGGATGGCAGTGTGATGGCGGCATCTTAATATAGGGCAGGTGCTCAAAAGCTCTGCGGCAAAACTCTCTCTTTTCTCTTGATTGATTTTCCTTTTCTTTTTTTAAAAAGAGGACACCTGCCAATATGGAACTATTTCTTACTACCTATCATAGAATCAAAGGAATGTTGGGTGGAAGGGATCCCAAGGCTCATCTAGTCTAACCTGCCACAATGCAGGAATTATAACTATGTGCCACTATTGTGGCGCTGAGTGGGCATTTCTGCAAAGCTAGGCAGGAGACAATCAAGAGAAAGTCATTATTCATGCAGCACATAGTTAAACTGTGGAACTTCCTCCTGCAGGAGGTGGCAACAGTCACTACCTTGGAGGACTTTAAAAGAAGATTAGACAAATTGATGGAGGAATATGGATATGTTTTAGCTCCATTGTTGGAGGCAGTAAAAACTTTTGAATACCAGTTGCCCAAAACCGCAGGACAGGAGAATGCTCTTGTGCCTTGGTCCTGCTTGTGGGTTTCCCAGAAGCATCATGTTGTGAGAACAAGGTGCTGGACTAGATCGGCTACTGGCATGATCTAGCAGCGCTCTTCTTAGGTTCTTATGATTTGGGTGGCCACATTTAATTTCAGTAGAGCCAGTGTGACGTAATGGTTGGAGTGTTGGACTATGACCTGGGAGATCTGGGTTCGTATCCCCACTCAGCCATGAAGCTCACTGGGTGACCTTGGGCCAGTCATCATCTTCTAGCCTAGCCTACCTCACAGGGTTGTTGTGAGGAAAAATGGGGAAGAGGAGAAACATGTGCACCATCTTGAGCTCACTGGAAGATAAAGGTGGTATATAAATAACAATAAATAAATAAATAATAATTTCTAGATGTTTTGCATCATCTTCCTTCCCCTTCCAAGCAATTACTATTTGTTTTATCTCCAAGCTGCAGCCCATTTCATTTTTTTTTTTTTAAGGAAATTCATTCCTGCCCTTGATTAAGCTCCACATAATAGCTTCCACTGCTCACTCATACATTCATTAAGAAGAATTAAACAAGGGCTGGCAGCCATTAGCAGAGAGCTAATAACCTCACCGCAGGAAAGCGCAGCAGCTTGGAATAAATGAACAGGAGCAGAAACAAATGAAATAACTTCATGGATTTATGCGTGACTAATTTGCTGCTTCTTTTTTTCACAAAAAAAGTCTGATTTACATGGATTTAGCACTCATGAAAAGAGCTGGATTGACAGGCCTTGAAGGACTGCTGTCAATGGCTGTCAAAACAGATGCACAGACCAGAGAACAGACCGGGACTTGCCAATATCCCTGCAAAGCGACATGTTTCTACCATTGGGGGGGGCACAGTTTTGGCACCTCATCCGGTGCCTGCTCAGTTTGCCTTACAGCTGAGGCTGTCACCAAGGAGGCCTCTGTTTGGTGGGGCTCAGGGAGATGGCATTAATGAGACCCATCGATTGTCTAGGAAATAGAGCATAGATACCAATCTCATGTATGTGGTTGGGCTCATAGAATTAGCATCCTGGGACGAGTTTGAACATTGGTATTCAGAAGCATACTGCCTTCAACAGAGGAGGGATAATTTAAAAAGAGCCATGCTAGATCAGGCCAATTGGCCCATCTAGCCCATCATCTTGTTCTCACAGTCGCTAGCTAGATGATTGTGGGACTCCAAAAACTCAAAAAATAGGAGTTCAGCACATTAGCACTCTACCCACCTGTGAAGAGGAAGAATATAGTGTCATCCTGGCTAGAAGCTACTGATTATCTCATCCTGCATGTGTGTTGTGTAGTGGTTAGAGTGTCAAACTAGGACCTGGCAGTCCATTCAGCCATGATAGTTGTGAGGATGAAACAGGGAGAGTGGAAGAACCGTGTACATCACCTTGAAGCCTTTGGAGGAAAGAAGTTGAGATATCAACATAATAACCATAGTCGATTAGTTGAAGCCTCTTTTAAAGTTGTCCAAGCTGGTGGTCATCACACAGCGCACCTACGAGTTGCAAATGTAACTATATGCTGCGCAAGGAAGTCCTTCCTTAAATTGTGTGTCCTGAATGGTCCGATGTTATGCATTGCCTTCTGAAATTGGGGCGTATCCTATACAAGAGCATTGTAAATAGGTGCCCAAACTGTAGGGCCACAATTCTAAAAAACTGGGGATTGGGGTGTACCTGAAAAACAATCCATGATGTGGGCTCCAACAAACTTTCTTTGGCCCATCACAACTGTGCGTGTTGTGTGGCATCAGAAATGTGCGGTGGAAAAGGTTCTGAGACGTGAATTCTTCTGCTGCACTCTTTCTCTGTGCAGTCCTCCACCACCACTTAATTTTTTTATTAATTGGGAACCCAACAAATTAATTGGGAACCCAACAAATGAGCAAGTTTAAAGCATGCAACCTGGAATGGATGTAATCCTAGGCCAAACTAAAAAATCAAACTTGTAATTAACCTTAATTTTTTTCCAGGTGAGTAATCTCTGCAGAGTACATATAAATCTAGGCTCACTGTTCTTCAGGCGTGCTAAAATTAGCATGCTGACAGCATGTACACACTCTTAGGGTGCAATCCTGAACAAGGATGTAAGCCCCATTGAGCTCAGGGGTAGGAAATTGCATAGACTCGTGTTGCCGAAATCTGAGTTGCATGAAGTAAATCATAGTATTGTAGAAGAGACCTAAAGGCTCATCTAGTCTAATCCTTGCAATGCAGAAATCAATGGTATGCTATTTAGTTTTCACAGGTTCCATCTGATGATAGTCCTACTCATAATAAATCCATTGAAATGGATGGCTGTGACGAACTCAGGTTCATTAATCTGAGTAGGATGCCTAAGTACAATTTAGTTGGATACCACCCTACATCTTAAAATAGTTACAAGCTTTCTGATGATAAATAATGTCTAAGCATAGCTATGCATTTATTTGCATGTTGATTTATTTATTGCATTATAGCCCACCTTTTTCTCCAAGGAGTTCAAGGTGGTGTACCTGGTTCTCTCCTTCCTCATTTAATCCCCACAACAACTCTGTGAGGTAGGTTATGCTGAGAGGCAGTGACTGGTCCAAGGTCACACCCAGTGAGCGTCATGGCTGAGTGGGGGGATTTGAACCATGATATTTCCCAGGTTCTAGTCTGATTCTGTATAACCACTGGCTTATAATTTTAGCCTTAGAGGAAATTCTAAACAAACTGCCCTAGGGTTGTTCTTGGATTTGTTACCTGTGATTCCTACATTGCGGGGGTTGTACTAGATCAGGAGTCAGCAAACCTTTTCAGCAGAGGGCCGGTCCACTGTCCCTTAGTCCTTGTGGGGGGCTGGACTATATTGGGGGGTGGGGGGAAGGATGCAAGAGCACCATGAGCTCTGGTGGCTGCTTACCTGTGTCTTGCAAGCAGCAGGGGCTGGCGGGACGATGAGCATTGCGCAAAAGGGCTCCAGAGAGGGGCTGCTTAAAATGGCAGCCATTTGAGCGCTGCTGCTGCTGCTGCTGGCACCAACAAAGCCCAGCCCCCTTCCTCCTCTAGGCAGGGCAGGGAGAAGCCAGGAGGAGGAGGGAGGAGGCGTAGTTGGCGCTGCCGTGTGAGGGAGAGGGAAAGAGCGTGCGTGCTGGTGATCCACGCGGTGATTCCCGGACTGTCTGCGGGCCGGATCCAGAAGGCAGTTGGGCCTGATCCGGCCTGCGGGCCTTAGTTTGCCGACCCATGGAACAGATGAAGTTTTGTGTCCCTTTCCACTATAAAGGTCTATGATTGTGTTACTCTGAATTGGATTTTGAGGATTCTGGGGAGTTTTGACAACCAAAGGTTCAAACTGTGCCTCATTCCCTTTGAAGGACCTTCTTCCCTGCTCAATTTCTCCACTAACCTTTACTTAAAAGATAAAAAACTCAGACATAGAGCAAAATGCCGAAGCTTTCTCCAATGATAGCTTTTATGACCAGTGTTTTCACAAATGGCAGGACTGACAACCTCAATTTTCTTCTGCTGTTTCCTGCGTTAGGGGCAGAAGCATCTTGGTTCACAAATAACTCAGATCCCGAAGATGATATTTTATTTTCTTGTTGTTGTTGTTGAGACTTTGCCCCCTCCCCCCCTTCCATCTCAGCCATTTCGGGCCTCATTTGAGACGCTCATCCAGCCGAGAAACAATGACACAATAATCGCCGCTATTGAGCAGGAGTTGCAGTTTTGAAGTTTCTACCTGGGTTGCTCTCTTTGATTGATATTTTAATTTGTTTTTTTGGCAGATGAAAGATAATGAAAATCAGCTTGTGGCTGAAAGCAGCCACACTAGGGAATACTTTATTTTATTTTATTTTTTGCTTTTTATGTTATCCTCTTTACCCATTTCCCCCACTTTCTCCCCATCTCCAGCTTTTGCATGTAGAGCTTTAACATCGTGTTGCACATTAAGGTACTTAATGTAGGGAAATCATTTCACTCTTGAGCTCCCAGTTAATATATTCCCAAGGAACTTGCTTAAATCTCCGTGAGCTGTTTCTGTGGAAATTTACCCCTCCTTATTCTATTAACTGCAGATGGAATTTGGATGGGTAGGGTGAGGGGCTTCTGAGTCCTGAGGCCAAAACGTGACACTCCCAGCTTTACGCTTCTATTTGAGGTTGCTTGATTGTTTGAAAAAGACAAGGATGCTTGTGGGGAAACAGAGGGGCCCTTGCGTGCTTTCACATCCGTGACTGTCTGACAGGTGTCATGGTGTCCTCCAGAAGTTGTGGTTCAACTCCCAGCTCTTGTTGGATGGCTTTAAAAGAGGATTAGGCAAATTTATTGAGGACAAGGCTGTCAACAGATAATAGCCATGATGTCTCCACTGTTGCCTCTGAATACTAGTTTCTGGGAGGGATCATTAATGCGGAGAGTTGCTGTTGTACGAGTCTTCCTTGCAGGCTTCCTACAGGCATCTGGTCAGCCACTGTGAGAAGAGGACACTGGACTAGATGAGCCATTGCCTAATCTAGCAGGGCTGTTCACATTTTCTACCAGTTGCTGGGAATTCCATGTAGGGAGAGTGCTGATGTGGTCATATTCTGCTTGTGGGCTTCCCATAATGGGCATCCAGTTGGCCACTGCGAGGACAGGATGTTGGACTAGGGCCATTAGCCTGATCCAGCAGGTTTGTCTTACATTCTTGTGTTTTATGTTCTTATCATCCCTGACTATTAGCCACGCTGTCAGGGGCTGATGAGAACTGGGAGTCCCAACAACTTTGTAGCCATATTGGCTAATCCTGCTTTACACAGTGGTCTTAACTGAAATAATTTAGTGGTGCTTATGCACCACTCAGGACTTCTTAAAATAATGAAAATGTCATAAAAGAACTAATTTGTAAAAAAACCCCCAAGATGCATGAGTGTGTGTATGTGTAGAAACTAGATTCCTGTACAAAAATAAGTTTTAAAGTTTTATTACAGTACTACATTTTTATCCCACCCTTTACTCTAAGGAGCCCAAGTTTAGGTACATAGTCCTCCCCATTTTACCTTCACAACAACCCTGTGAGGTAAGTTTGTCTGAAAGGCAGCAACTGGCCCATGTTTACCCAGTGAGCTGCATGGCTGAATGGGGATTTGCACCCTGGTCTCTCCTAGGTTCTACTCCTCTTTTAATCCCCAAAACAACCCTGTGAAGTAGGTTGGGCCGAGAGGCAGTGACTGGCCAGAGATCATCCATTACGCTTCTTGGCCAAGTGGGGTTTGAACCCTGGTCCCCCAGAGGCCAACACGCTTAGCTGATACACTACATTGGCTCTCATCCAATTTACATTCATTGCTCCACTAGCACCTCTGAGTCTGCCCACCTTTCACACAAGACCCCCAGAAAGTTGCCAAGATGAGAATGTGGCCCTTGGTCTGAAAAGGCTTCCCTTGCCTCTGCCCTACATCTTAACTAGCCAAGCAACATGGATTGCACAGGTGCAAAGCTAAAGGAGTTAAATTTGAAATTCATTTAAGATACTTCAGGGTCCAGTGGGAATAAGCCCAGCTTTGCTAGTTAGAAGTTTCTTTCCTCCAACAATTGTAACATTAGCTCAGCTGAACTCGTTGACATTTGGTCTGGCAATGAGCCTGCTTTGAAAGCAGAGAGCAAGTTGCTAATGGCTTTCTGTCTACATTCCTGGTCCATTTTCACATTTATTTATTTTTTATTCTTTACATGGGAGCAGGTTGCACAATCTGGCAACTTGCTAAAAACGCGTTGCCATCTCCAGTGGGATTTGTGGCAGGTCAAGCTGCCTCTGGGCTCCTCAACTGGGCAGACAGGAAGAAAGCACGGTGGGTGGTCATTTCCAATGCCAGTCCTACCCACTGAAATCAGTAGGCTCACTGAAGCACTGAGTTTGTTTCAGAATGGCCATCCACATTGGCTGCCTCTTGTGGGAGTGAGTTCCATAGATTAACTATATGTTGGGTGAGGAAGTCCTTTCTTTTATCTAGCCTGAATCATCCAATGTTCAGCTTCATAAGACATCCACCTAGTGTTCTGAGAGAGGGACAACACAGCCTTAATCACTGGTAACCATTGATAGCCTTCTCCTCCCTGAATTTGTCCAGTCTAAAGCCATCCAGGTTGGCGGCTAGCACTGCCTCCTGTGGGAGTGAGTTCCACTTTTCCACTGCATTGCATGAAGAACTTTCTTTGATCTGAATGTTTTTGAGTTGCTCTGAAAACCTGAAACTACTTCAGCAGTGACACAGCTTAAGACAGTGGGGTTCATTTTGGTTTAAACAAATAGCATGATTTTGGGTAGATTATGTTCCTAATGCAAACTGTAGTTTAGGAGGCAGACATCAGCTATTGTTGATAGCAGTGCATTTTACTTCCACAGTCAGAAAAAGAGCTGTTGCAGTTAGTTTAAAATAAGTCATCTAAAATGCAGTTTTGTATATCCTCAAAAAAATTTCACTGGAATCATCCTTATCTCAGGGGATTGGACTATGGTTCAATGATATTGTTGGTGGTGGTGGTGTCCCCCACTTACGTGCAGTTGGCTCGCGCATGATAAGTACTGTGAGGGGAAATAAATAAATAGATTAAAACAAGGAAATGGTGGAGAAAGCTGGTTTGTGGTTCATGAGGAGACCCTCCTTGGAGCTCAAAGAGGACTTTAGTGAGGTGGAGGAAGCCCCGAAGAGACCAGAGGCACAGCAAGGTTTGTTTTGGATGCTGAGCTTCCTGTAGTGCAGCAGTAGTAGCTGCTTCTCCGCGTGGCCTAAAGCCAGACCAAGAGATTAAAATCTAGCTGGAGAAAGAGTTAAATATTGATTAAATATAATAATAATAATTTTTAATAAAAATAAATTTAAAGGGTAAGTTTTACCACCCACTGGAGGAGTCCACAGATGATTAAAACCTAAGGCCTTGCAGAAGAAAAAAAGATAAAGATGATGTCAGGCGGGCCTTGCTGGGGAGAGAATTCCACAATTGAGGAGCCAACACAGAAAAGGCCCTTTTCTCATGTTGCCAACCTCTGGCCCTCATGTGAAGCGGGTACATGGAAAAGGGCCTCAGATGACTACTGCAGAGTCTGGTTCTTATAGGGGGAATTAGAACCCAGTGCACAGTGTTGGCTATTCCTGGACTATGCCATACTGGTGATAGTGTTTGATTTGCAGATTATGATTGCTACATGGAAATTTTCATCTTTGATTCAATAATGTTTCATCTTTAAAAGGACTTCATCAAGATACACAGTCAGATTCCATACCACGCCCTCACTGGATTTCTGCCTGATTAGTGGTTAGCTAGTGCTGGGAAGACTAAGCCCATCTGCTTGGTGCTACTTTGCATTTGCTGCCTTGGTGGTTTTTTTTAAGGATCTGTTTTCCTTCAGGCAGATGCTGTGCTGTAATTTTCCCAGAAGCTGCCTGCCACTTCCTCTTAGGTTTCGGGCAGTCTGTTTTATTCCTGCCTGGGCCCATGTCACATGGACATTGGCTTCCTGCAAAGCATTGAGGAAGTCTTTTTTTGACCCTCTTCCCTCTTCCATCCATGATATAGGTACTTAATCTAAAACAAATCAAATAAATCATAGCAAGTTCCCTGAGCCACAATAGCATTTCAGTATCAAATCTACTCCTCACTGTGTGCATAATGAGACATGTCTGTATGTTCTGTCAGCCTACCCTAATTTATTTGGCCTGTAATCTAGGCCAGACCATGCAATAGAGAAAGAGAAAGATTCTATAAAGCAAGAGAAAAATATACCTCTATTTTAATCCTCTTCATTGAACACTTTTGTTGGTGTGCAGTAATTAGGATTAGCAAAATTCATGTTATGTTACTGATATTAGGGGGTGTTTATATTTGTATATGAGATAGTTACAATGTCAGACTAGCATCTGGGAGAGACCAGGATTTGAATTTTGGGGTATGGAATCCATTAGATGGCCTTGGGCCGGTCACCATCTCTCACCCTAATCTCTGCCTCACTGAGTTGTTTTGAGGATGCAATGAAGTGGAGGAGAACCATGTACACCATGTTGAGTGACATGTTTGATGGTGTTTTAGCAACACATTTTGGGAGGTGGGGATTTATTCCTTCTGCTCTCAGTGCAGTTGGTGGGCACTGTCAAAGGGTTGGACAGGGCTAGGGTCGGAAGGTCAGCATCACAGAGCTTGTTGTACTTGCTGTGGGTCACATCTCATCTTGCTAGTTATAAATCGTTTTGTGGAAGGAGAGTAGGCTGGAGGTGCATCTGTGGGAGAGGGGCTCAATTCAGTTAAGCCAGATGTGATCAGCGAAGTGGGCATGGGTCATTGCCTACGTTGCATTTCCCAGGGCCTGGAAGAAATTGCTGTCCAGGAGGTAAAAAGCTGAGAAAGGGGCATGGAGCATATGATGAGGGTGCCTATTCAGGAATGTGACCCCCGATGCATGCTACAGGCTGATTCCAGGCATAGCTTTGTTCCTGGCTCTCCTCCTCCAGCTCATTCATGGCCTGGCATGAGATTCAGAGCAACTCAGAAGGGCTCATTACACTTATGAAATTGAAAGACATACACAGAGAAACAGAGACACGCAGAGAGGCAGACTCATTGCCAGTCCTGCAACTGGATCAGGCCACAGGAACATCTAGCCCAATCCTATTCTTGATGCCCCAATGGAACGCCTTGTAAGCAGGACCTGAGTGCAACAGCAACATTTGTGATTCCTAGCAACTGGTATTCAGAGAAAGACAGCCTCTGGGTATGAATGTTCTATGCCCAGCTATTATGCCTGCCAAGGAGCTGTCAAACGAGCCAGGTCAACCATGGGGCAGGTACACACACGGCAGGTGCGGAATGGAATTAGCTTTTTAGTAACAGAACATAACAACACAGTAGATCCTCTGGTTCGTGTTAATGAATCTGAGACATTGCTGAAACTAGCTCCGTCCATATCGCTTTAGTCTCACCCTGGATCCCTCCCAAGCAGAAGAAGGGGAAAGCACCTCCTCTGGGCCTGCTGCTCAACTGCATTCAGGATTCTCCTCAAGTGGGATGTCGGAGAGGGAAGAGAGCCAGCAGGAATTGGACTGTCCTGCTACTGCTTAGCAGAGGCAACCTCTGACTCTCTGCTCATACTGTGAGTCTCAGCCTCTAACCCTGTCCTGGAAGCTCCTCTTCCTGACCCTACTTGATTACTCAAACCCCCTGCTTCTAGCACCTCCTAGGCCATCCCTTCTGCAGACTGTTCCTCAGTGTCCCACCACCAGGATCCGAGATCTAAGTATTGTAGTCATCTTTGGTACCCTCCCTGGAGGGCTGTTGGGCAGGTGACTTCCACTGCTCTTCCTAACCCTGCCAGTCACTAACAATGGCTAAGTAAAACCTGGGTGCTGGATCAGGCCAGTGGCCTCTCTAGCCTAGCATCCTCTTCTCACAGTGCAAAAATCAATGGTATGCTGTTTAGTTATCACAGGTTCAATCTGATGATAGTCCTACTCACAATAAATCCTCTGTGGGATAGGTTAGGCTGAGAATCCATGACTGGCCTAAGGTCACACCTAGTGAGTGTCATGACTGAGTGGGGGGATTTGAACCATGATATTTTCCATGTCCTAGTCTGATACTTTAACTACCAGAGCTATAATCCTAGATAGATTTAACAATCAATGCCTCTTAACAGGGAACTCTGGGAACTGTAGCTCTCTGAGGGAGGAATAGGGGGCCTCCTATCAAATCTCAACTCCCTTAACGAACTGTCACTTCCAGAATTCTTGGTAGGAGGAAGCCTTGGCTCTTTGTAAAGCAGTGTTATAACGTTTATTTTTTAAATTTTTTGTATATATTGAGTTTAAATATTTGTGCAGTTATTCCATTTGTTATTCAAGACATAATAAGCTGCATACATAAAAAACCAAAATGATTCAATATCAGATAATACTGCTACATTAAGTCTTAAGGTCTTTAAAGATGACATCCCTCCACCTCATTGCGGCTCCTTACTTCTTTCTTCTTTTTTTACTGTGTCTCCCCAACCCCTTTTAATTCATTAGTCTTACATAATATACATTTAAAGTGTTTGGTGTGAATACGGCTTGAGCAGAGTATACCTCTGTTTAGAAGGGAGTTGCTTTATTTCGAAGAAGCTTTGCTTTACTGGCTTGAAGAGATGGGCCTTAGCCTCTGAAGGAGGAGACTAGGCACATCAGCTCGGTGCTTTAAGCTGTGTCTCAGGCCCTGCATAAGTTAACAAGGAAGAACCACTGACTTAAAGTCAGGCAGCAGGGTTCCTCCTGAAAGCCAGACCCCCCCCCCCCCAAAAAAAACCCGGAACAGGCTAAAGAATAATGGAGGGCAACTCTCCCATAACCACTTTGGGATGTCTGTTGCAATCCATTCAACAACTTAGAAATTTCATGCTGCCTTCAGAAACAGCAGAAACAGCTCCTCCAACATTTCTGAACATGTGCAGTGCATGGTGCTTCTGGACATGCACAAAATGCGATCAGTCACAGTTATGTCTGGGACCAATAGGGCAGAAAGCCAGCATGCTATCGTTGTTAGATTGCTGGATTATGACCTGGGTTACCAGGGTTCAAATCCCCTGCTCAGTCATGAAACTCACTAGGTGCCTTTGGGCTAGTCACTGCCTCTCATAGAATCATAGAGTTGGAAGGGACCACAGGGGTCATTCTTGCAGTTCAGGAATCTATCAGTCTAACCTACCTCACAGGGTAGTTGTGGGAATTAAATGAGCAGAGGGAGAACCACTCGTGCCACCTTGAGCTCTTTGGAGGAAGGGCAGGATAGAAATATAATGAATTAAATTAAATTAAATTTAAAAATCCAGGCAAGCAAGGTCAGGGACTCCAATCTAGTCAGGCAAAAAAAGCACAGGGTGCAAAACAGGGAGTTGGTGTGGCCTCAGGAGACAGGGTGGTGTCTCTCTCACCTAATCCACCTCATATGGAGGGTGTGAAGATAAACCCAGAAGATGAAAAAACCTTAGGAAAAATGCCCACTTGGATTTTCCAGCTGCTGCAGGCAGGGGCAACATTTGCCCACTTCATTTTGGAAGTGCTGTGGCTTCATATATATACTCTTCCATTTTCTATTGGCATTTCAAATCTTGTCTTTGTTTCTGTGGTGCTCCAGTGAATCAATATTTCTATCAAAGGTGCATTTGAGCTCTTGTGCCCCAACATGAATCTCCCCACCGCCAACCCTTCGATCTCATATCATTTATAGGAGGACATACTGTCAAGAAATGTTGCTGCATTGCATTTATTTTTATTGCCCTGCTAACACTTTCCCAAAGTCCTGGATGAAATAATCCTTAGTCTCTTGAGGGTCATAAAAAAGTCCTCAAGAGGTGTCTGAAAGACAGGTAAAAAAAAAAAAGGTAAAGGACCCCTGGATGGTTAAGTCCAGTCAAAGATGGCTATGGGGTTGCAGTTCTCATCTCACTTTTCAGGCCGAGGAAGCTGGCATTTGTCTGCAGACAGCTTTCTGGGTCATGTGGTCAGCATGACTAAGCTGCTTCTGGCACAACGTAACACCATGACGGAAGCCAGAGCGCATGGAAACGCTGTTTCTTTCCCACTGAAGTGGTACCTATTTATGTACTTGCGCGGGTATGCTTTCGAACTGCTAGGTTGGCAGAAGCTGGGACAGAGCAACAGGAGCTCCCTCCGTCGAGTTGATTCGAACCACCAACCTTCTGATCGACAAGCCCAAGAGGCTCAGTGGTTTAGACCACAGTGCCACCTGCATCCCAGTCTGAAAGTCAAAAGTGAGGGTAACTGCTGCATTGAGAATCATAGAACCATAGAGTTGGTAGGTACCCTGAGTGTCATCTAGTCCAACCCCTGCAATGCAGGAATCTCAAGCAAAGCATCCATTTCAGATGGCCATCCAATCTCTGCTTAAAACCCTCCAATGAATAAGAGCCTACCATCTTCTGAGAGCGTCCATTCCACAACGGTTCTTGTCACAGATGTCTTCCTGATGTTTAGTTGGAATCTCCTTTCTTGTATCTTGAAGCCTTTGGTTCAGGTCTGGAGCAGCAGAAAACAAACTTGACCCATCTTCCATGTGACAGCCCTTCAGATATTTGAAGATGGCTATCCTATCACCTCTCGGTCTCCTCTTTTCCAGGCCAAACATGCACAACTTCCTGAACCTCACAAGGCTGGATTTCTATACCCTTGATCTTGGTTGCCCTCCTCTGCACAATTCCAACTTGTCAATGCCCTTCTTAAATTGTGGTGCCTACAACTGGACACAGTATTCCAGGTGTGGTCTGACGAGGGCAGAGCAGAGTGGTACTATTATTTTCCTGGACACTATACTTCTGTTCATGCAGCCCAGAATAGCATTTGCTTTGTTTGCTGCTGCATCACACTGCTGACTCATGTTAGGCTTGTGGTGTACTAAGACCACTTCTGCTGGAAGAGTGCAAAACATGACTTGGGACAGGTGACACTAAAATGAGAAATATACTAGCTGCTTTCATTTAATTTTATCTTTCCATGGATTGTGATTCCAGCTGTGATTCCTGCATTAAAGGGAGTTGGATTATATGACCCATTGGGTCCATTCAAACTCTACAATTCCAAGAGGGTTTGTATTTTATCTCCACTTCCACTTGTTGTTCTGGGTTGTTGTTGTTTTTTTTTAAAAGTGCTTTTGAATGTTTTGTTTTCCATTTTTAATGTGGGAAGCCACCTTGGAAATCTTCTTTGAGGCTGAAAGAGGTGTGTTGGGGTGGGGTTGGGGGGAATTCCCTAAATAGACAATACTTTGCAATGTTTTTTGTTTTTTTAATGCATTCCCTATACCAAAATGCTGCGGCTTGCAATGGTGGGAAGGAATTTTTAAACTGGTCATCGCAGCAGGAAGTTGCTTCTTACGGCATATTAAATGCAGTCTGCAGCCTTTTTTCAGTTGAAATCAGGCAGAAGGGGAAGGTAGCAGCTAACAATAGGAGCAGATGTGGAACTGAGCCGTTGCTGATCAACTTCCGGCATCATAATTACTTAATTACTGAGTTCGGAGTTCTGGGACTAGCCCCAAAATGCATAGTTCTTGTGAGCTGATTTTGTGTGTGTGTGTGTGTGTGTGTGTGTGTGTGTGTGAGAGAGAGAGAGAGAGAGAGAGAGAGAGAGAGAGAGCATTCCTCAGGCATAGACTGTCCCCAATGGATGTGGCCTTTCAAATGGTTTCTGAATGGCAATTCTTGCTTTGGGCACTCGGTGGGGCTCTTCCAAACTTTTTAAAGATATCCTGTCTTCTAAGAGGAGAAACACTGTAAAATTACAGCTGTGAAATTTTTAATAGTGCAAAGCAGTTACCTAAAAGGATGCAAGCAATAAAGGGTATGATATTTATAATCCCAATAATTTAGGATTGGTTTAATTGGATTTTCATTTAAGTGTGTTATTTTCTCGGGCTGTTCATCCATTGCACTCTAGGTTTGCTGACCCCTGAGGTTTCCCCAAATGTGGGAAACTTGATTGCATATTTGTTATTGTGCTAATAATAATAATAGCAATAATGCAAGTAATCCAAGTAAATCAAGTGTAAATGTTTGGAAATTTAAGTATAGCAATAACAGTAATGATTGTATTTAACGTTCAAAGAACTAATGTTTGGTTAAAGGTAAAGGTAAAGGGACACCTGACCATTAGGTCCAGTTGTGGCCGACTCTGGGGTTGCGGCACCCATCTCCCTTTATTGGCTGAGGAAGCCGGCGTACAGCTTCCGGGTCTCGTGGCCAGCATGACTAAGCCGCTTCTGGTGAACCAAAGCAGCACACGGAAACGCCGTTTACCTTCCCGCTGGAGCGGTACCTATTTATCTACTTGCACTTTGACGTGCTTTCGAACTGCTAGGTTGGCAAGAGCTGGGACCAAGCAACGGGAGCTCACCCCGTCATGGGGATTCAAACCACCGACCTTCTGATTGGCAAGTCTTAGTTTAACCCACTATACCCGCGTCCGTATAACAGTAATGATTGTATTTAATGTTCAAAGAACTAATGTTTGGTTATGGTGCTGTAATTGGTTGCGTCATAAAACTGCCATCAGCCTCTGAAATTAGGATAGTACCTCACTAGTTGTTGGAAAATTCTGGTATGTATGCAAATGTTAAACTATAGATTTTACTCCTGCAGGATTGGATAAATTCATGGAGGAAATTAAGACTATCAGCAGCTGCTAGCCATCATGGCTAAGCTCTGCCTCCATGGTTGGTTGTGATGCTTCTGAATACCACTTGTTGGAAGCTACAGCAGGAGAGGATGCTCTTGTGCTTGGCTGCTGCTTGTGGGTTTCCCAGTAAGGCAGCTGATGGCCACTGTGAGAACAGGATGCTGGACTAGATGGGCCTGATCACAGGCCTGATCCAGCAGAGATTTTCTTACATTCTTAATAGTGTCCCTCAGCTGATAGTTAGGTATCTTCTGTCAATGCATGAGGTAGGGTGCAGGAAGCAATTCCCAGTGTTGGAAGCTACACACAAACACACAAATTTTCCTCAAATTTTCCTCACCCAGAGTCCAAACAAACTCTCAACTCACCCACAAAACTCTCACAATGAGCAGAATTCATGGAAACAGCAAACATCACCCTATTATCTCATTCTAGATGTGCTTTTTATGGGTAGGCCCAAGGTGGTAGTTCCTCAGGCTGCCCACAGCTGTGTTCCATTCAGTTGCACTCACCACACCCAGGTCGAGGTATAGCCGGTTTGTTGAGTTTCCTGGGGGTCCAAAGAATGGGAGGAAGGCCCCCTCTACTCACAGCTCTTTCTTCACCCTCTATCCCAGGCATTGGCAAACTCTGGCCCTCCAGATGTTTGGGACTACAATTCCCATCATCCTTGACCACCGGTCCTGTTAGGGATGATGGGAATTGTAGTCCCAAATATCTGGAGGGCCAGAGTTTGCCTATGCCTGCTCTGCCCTTTCCTCAACCAGCTGCTTTACTGTCTCATGGCAAGGTTTGCTTTTGTGGATGGTGCTTCCTCAGGCTGCCCACAGCTATGTCCTATTCAACTGCACTCTCCACACCCAGTTCCAGAATGTAACCAGGGGAGAATGAATAAATGGAAATTGCTTTCTTCCCCATTTTGCTTACGGAAGCCCAACTGTCAGCTGAGCGGCACTGTTGGATGGAACCCACTGTGAGGATAATTTGCTTGCTGTCAAATGCAAGGCCTTTCAGGTTCCCAAAATTGGAATTGTTCTGCTTACCTATGCTAGCCTCAGATTTGCTCTTAAACCCCTTTAGTGTGAAAATAGAACAACTAGGATTCTGAGCTCCCAAAGTTTGTAGTCTTTGCTTAGGTGCAAGACTCAGTCTGGGTGTGTTCAGAAGTTGTCTTTATGTACTTCTGGACTGTCTGGCTCCCTGAGAATGGTATTTAGAGGCATACTGCCTTGGACAGTGGTGAAGAACATAAGCAGAGCCCTGTTGGGTAAGGCCAAATGGGAACCCATGTAGTCCAGCATCCTGTTCTCACAGGGGCTAACCAGATGTCCCAATGGGAAGCCCACAAGCAGGATCTGAGCTCAACAACAATTTTCTCCCCACTTGGAATTCCCAGCAACTGGCATTCAGAACTGAAGGCAGAGAGCAGGATCACTGCTTTGCTCCCAGAAATACCCAGATTTTAATGCGTTTGCTGCCACAGGGCCCAGCATCCAGCTTTTCATGTGGATACCATCTGCAACCTATAATGCCCTTGTAGATAATGCCTGGGGAGCTGGGTTTACATCTCATTTCAGCCATGGACTCACCGGATGGTCTCCAGCTAGTTAGTCTTTTTTTCAGCCTAAGTCCCTCTATCTGTAAAATGAGCATGTTGGTGACTTCCCTCACAAGGTTGTTGTCAAGTCAGACAGGCGGTCCCCCACTTGTAATAAGACAACATATACTTCTTGAAGCTAACATTTTTCTTTCCATTCTTTTAGTTCCCCCCAGAACATTTTCAGTGCCCCTATCTTGGACATTGTGTGTATGTGTATGTGTATGTGTATGTGTATGTGTATGTGTATGTGTGTATCTTCTGGAAAACCTCCCCAGCCCCTCTATTTTTCTAGTGTGGGTGACGTCATTTGGCCTCCACAGTTGCCAGGTGAACAAAAGAGCTGATCTCGAGGGCTAGAGCAAGTGGAAATAACGTGGCCTGAGCCATGTGTGCACAATTTGTCCAGATGATTCAAGGTGCCACCATGGCAACTGGCAATAACAAAGAGGGAAAGAAACTGGAAAAGCAGCTGCAAAGGAGACTTCATTTTAACAGCGCCGTGGCCGTGATTTTATAGGGCTTGGACAGTTTTTTTCTGGGATATCTCTCATCTCCCCCTTTCTGCTGTTCCTCTCATTCTCAAGCTCTACACAGTCCATGGCAGGACTGTGGGACCTCAGGCCCTGGGAGTCAGTGTGGCCCTCAGGAGCCTTCCCAGGCAAGGGACCTGTCCAAACTACGCCCGTCATCAGAAGGAAAGAGCTGTAGCTCAGTGGGTAGAGCATCTGCTTTGCATGCAGAAAGTCTCAGGTTCAATCATCACCATCTCGAGTTAGGGCTGGGAAAGGATCTCTTGCCTGAAACTCTGAATAGCTGCTGCTAGAGTTTCTGAGCTACATAGACTGCTGGTTCTCACAGTATAAAACAGATTTCCATGTTTCTCCACAATGGCTTAATGCCCTCTGAAAGTGTTTTTATCTGAATGGGATGTGTCTTTGAATTCTGATAATGCCTCTTGCTTGTCTGGATGTAAGGTAGGTGTGATTGATTGATTGATTGATTGATTGAATTTATACCCTGTTCTTCCGCCACAAGGAGTCCAGGGTGGCAAACAGATACACACTTTAAAACAAAAACCAAGCAAAAACATTCTAGAGAAGATCAAAACATCCTTAAAACATTTAGAATTAAATGCATCAAGAAAGGCAGTTACAGCTAAAAACATTTTAAAAGGCATTTACAGTTAAAAAGCCTATTTCCAGCCAGGAGCCGGTATTCTTTAGCCACTAAAGGCATGGGGTAAACAGGAATGTTTTCAGTTTCCTTTTGAAAGTTAATGGTGATGGAGAGATAGGCACACTACACTAGGGAGGGCATTTTGCAGCAGGGGAGCCACCACTGAAAAGCCCCTGTCATTATAATAATTACCAGCCAGGCAGCCCCCAGAGGCAGCTCTACCAACAAGGACTCACCGGCTGATTGTAGGATTTGAGATTTGTATTGTGGAAGGTGCTGTTTTAGATGCTTTGGCTCCAAGCTATTTGGGGCTTTATATGCTAGGACTAACACCTTGAATACATCTGTGTATTCAACATCTTGAACATCTTGAACATCTTGAACATCTTGAATACCTCTGACTTTTGCAAAGCTGAAATGTAGCTTACTATACAATGGTCAGAGTTGGACCTGTTGCTCCTAATACTTTTTGCCTCCCACTTTTTGCCCACTGCTTGGACATGGCCTTCAGATTAAAGAAAGTTCCCCCAACACTGATCTCAAGGGCATTGGGTGGCTCTGTTTTTGACTTTTTAAAAAAGTGGCTATTTTTACTTCCAGAGTTTATTTAGCCCTGAATTTTCACTTCAGGCAACTAATTGTACAGTTCATCTCACTGTGTGAAGACATTTGGTGCCAAAGGTATTCTAGAGATGGCTGTGTTTTCAAAATACCTGCACACCATGTATTGCTTTTAGGAAATCCTGCAGGGTTTGGAACTGGATTTATTGTCGCTTAGGTACACAAAAGGTACCTCTGTGTGCCCTAGCCTTTAATAACAACGAGAAGACAGTTATATTGTAGGATCTCTCCTGTCCCCTAAGGCTTTGAAACCTTTCCTGTTTTCAAAGAGAGACTTCCTGCAAAGTGAAATTTCCTTTTGTGTTAAATAAAACGTACAATATTGCTTGAATCAAAGGTCTTCCCACAGCTTAATAATGGTCAGTTTTGGTACGGTGAGTGTGTGTGATTTTCTGTACAGATATCGTTTCCAAGCTTAGCTTAGTTTGGGGAGGAGTAGAGTGGCTGCAGAGTCATATCTAAGGCTTGGCTAGGCATGCTGTGCAAACATGGTGAAAGTTAAAAACCAAGGTTCATAAGCCAGCAACAAACCATGGTTTCAGATTGCGGTTTGTTGGCAGTAGACAACAGTTAAACTGCTAGGACAGGGTTCCTACCCAGTGTTAAACTGCTGGGGAGAGGGTATTTGGACCTGGGAAATATGCAGGTGGGGAAAGTGTAGAGCATGCTTCCCCGCCCCCCGGCTGGGCTCTCATGATGCATATCTGTGTGGAGAAATGTGTAGTTTTGGTTCTTCTGAGGTCCCTTCTCTGCCTCATTGCTGTCTTTAAGGCAGATCTTGTGACCAAAAACAAAACCAGTTTCATTACATCACCAGCATGCAATTTGATTTTGATGGGCAGCACTTAGATTTATGTTTTATGTACAAGAGGTTTTTGCCCTCTGAAAGCAGCCGACTTTAGAAGCATTATGGTACATATCCAGTGAAGCGGAGCACTGGAAGATTCAGAACAGACAGAAGGAAGGAATTATTCATGCAGCACAGAGTTAAACTATGGAACTCCATCCTACAGGAGGCAGTGATGGCCACCAACTTGGCTGGCTTTGAAAGAAGATTAAAAGTAGAAATTCATGGAGGAGGAGACTACCAGCTATAATGGCTATGTTCTACCTTTACTGTTGAAAGCTGTAATGCTTATTAATACCAGTTGCTGGAAGGAATTGTTAGCGGGGGAAGTTGCTATTGCACTCAGGTTTCTGCTTGCAGGCTTCCCATGGAGGCATCTGGTTGGTCACTGTGAGAAAAGGATGCTGGACTGGATGGGCCCGCTTTTTCCTGATCCATCAGGCTGCTCTTACAGGCTTATGTAGTCCTTCATGTTCCAAAAGGAAGCCTTTTGGGGTGTTATGAGTGTGTGCCAGGAGATAAAGTGTGCTTCTGTTATCAGACATTTGGGAAAGAACACAATTCTGTATCCTCTTGCTAACAGTCCCTTTTTGGGAAATGTGACTCCGTATCTTTGTGCTCCTTGGCTATTCTCCATCTCGCAGTCCATTTCCATGACGGTCCAAAAACCTGTTGCTTCAGCAGAAGGTGCCAAGAAAACTCTATCCATGTGTGACTGGCCTTCTAAAAGAGTTTTTCTTTCCTAGCCTTTTCTAGATTCCTTAATATTATTTTCAACATCTGGAGGGACACATGTCCTCCCTGTTCTTCAGCACCCATGAAACAGATAAAGAGAAGGAAGAGACACTGCTGTGTGTGAAATTGTTATTATTTATTGTATTTCTACTCCACCTTTTTCTCATCACGGTTCTCCCCCTTCCCATTCAATCCCCCCCCAACAACCCTGTGAGGTAGGTTAGGCTGAGAAACATTGTCTGTGATCCAAGGTCACCAAGCGAGTCTCATGGCTGAGTGGGAGTTTGAATCTGGGTCTCCCAGGTCCTCACCACACTACTCCATTCTGGTTCCTAGGCTTGGCTTAAAGATAAATTAAGCATAGTGTTGGGAATTGAACCACCAGAAGGTCATGTACTTGGGGGTGGAGGGAATCACGTTAGGCTTGGGCCCATTTTGTTGCTATCAGCTTTGATTTAATATTTGTATTTTGCTTTTCAAACAATAGTGTTCACAATAATACTTTTTTTTACCTTTAAAAATTTATCTAATAAAACCTATACATGGCTTGATTGTTAAAAAACACCATCGAAGCAATTTACAAAAAAGAGAAAGCAATAAAATTATCAGTAAGAAAAAATAAACAATAATTTAAGATATTCAAAAAGTTTTTTAAAAACAGACTAAAACTGTTTAAAACACATATCAATTTTTAAAGTATCTGGGTAGGGTTGTCTAAACAAGAATATTTTTAGCAGGCACTGAAAAGAGTACAGTGAAAGCTGCTACCTGATATCAATAGGCAAGGAGTTCCAAGGTATAGCTTCTGCCACACTAAAGTATCAAGTTCTTACAAATGTGGAACGGGTATTATGTGGCACCTATAACAATGCCAGTTCCACTGATTGAAGCGCTTCAGTGGACTTATATGGGGTAAGGAGATTTTGTAGGTAAACTGGTCCCAGGTTGTTAAAGGGCAAATTTGTAGTGACTACAATTCAACACAAACTCAGAGTGATTCAGAATATCAGAAATGGTTGCTGATAACTAGCCCTGTGCCAGTTGATGTCCTCTCTCTCGTTCAGTAAGGAAAGGGCTCCAAGCTTTGATAAGGCCCACTCAAAGATGTTGGGAGTTGTAGCCCAGCATGGAGGATCACAACTTCTACATCTTTGCTCTAATTTGGTGATTGTACTTTTTTTTTATGTTGGCGTCACGGTGTGTATGATTTTGATTTTAAAGACGTTGGGTTGGGTTGTAGATTTGAAACATATCCAGTGAAATAATGGGGATAAGGAAAATATAACTTGCTTCGAGAAGGGTGGTTACCCAGTTCTGTGTTGTAGTAAACAAGGCAGGTGGCAGCTTTTTAATGACAAACAGGTTTAAGAATCACAGAATTGTAGAGTCACATTAGAAAAGCCTGCTGGATCAGGTCAGTGGCCCTGTTCTCACAGTGGCTGACCAGATGTTTATGGAAAGCTTGCAAACATGGTTTGAGTACAACAGAAACTCTCCCTACTTTTGATCCTCAGCAACTGGTATTCAGAGGCAGACTGCCTCTGATACTGGAGGTAGAACATCAGAAGAGTCCTACCACAATGGCTGGGCAGATGCTACTATGAGAAACATGCAAGGAAGACCACTCTCGCTACCTGTGATTTCCGGCACCTGATATTCAGAAGCATTACTGCCTCCAACCATGGAGGCAGAACATAACTATTGTGGCTAGTAGCCTTTGATAGCTGAATCCTCCACAAATCTTTCTAGTTCTCTGTTAAAGCCATCGAAATTGGTGGTCATCACTGCCTCCTGTGGAAGTGAGTTCTGTAGCTTAACGCACTGATCTAATTTCAGAGACTGATTGCAGTTTAATGATGTGACCAATTGCAGTACCATGACCAGACACTAGTTCTTTGAACTTTGAATAAAATATTTAAAAACTTTTACCTATAAGAAAAGCCCTGCTGGATCAGGCCAATGGCCTGCCTAGTCCAACATCCTGTTCTTGAAGTGGCTAACTGGATGCTCCAATGGGAAGCCTGCAAGCAGGACCCAAGCACATGAGCTTTCTCCTTCCTGTGGTTTCCAGTAACTGGCATTCAGAAGCATCCGACTGTGGAGGCAGAGTGTAGCCATTGTGGGTAGTAGCCATCAATCTTTGTTACAGTTTAAACTTCAATAGACTAGAGTCTGCCTCGTCAAGAACTGGCTACTCTCTATATTAGTCCCCAGTTTTTGAAGAACAAACAAACTAAATTGAGGCAACCACCTAGATTTGCTCCTGTTTTTTAAAAAGTGCACATGTGAAGCTCTTCCATCCTTAAAACATAAGGATTCTTAAAAAGCTCTGTTGCACTTTGACTTTGTAAACATCTCTTCTCGTTGAACTGTCTCTTGCCTTACAACACCATTTGTGGGTTTCACAGTTCCAAAGCTGTCCCTTCCTCCGTAATTGCGATTGTCAGTTTTTTTTCAATTTAGCAGCCTTCAATTCTGCCAGCAGGCCTTGTGAAAGCTGCATCTCATGTGACTCAGATCATCTGATCCTCTAGGAGCCAAAACAGTCACCAGAGAGACCAAAACACGCCTTTACCTCTTGGAAAAGCTTTGCCTATCCTCCTCCCTCTTTTCTTTTCTTTTCTTTTCTTTTCTTTTCTTGAGCTGTGCTGTGATGGAGGAGGTGCCCTTTTAACCAGTTTCAGCAGGAATTATTGAAAACCCAGTGATCTTAACATTCGTCTGGTGCGTTTTTTTTGGTACAGATTTCTTATTTCATTTTATAATGGACATAAAACTGAGAGAAGAGATATAACAACAGATGAAAACTAAAAGGTGAAAAGCAAAATTATAAAAGAGGCACATAGAATGAGTACAGTTGCACATGATTTAAAACAACAAGGGTTTAAGTAAAGAATATTAACATCTGATTTTCAAGCATAATTCCAGATTTGCTAGACCTGTGGCAAAGGTTGTCTTGAAAGCGATTGTTCTGTTGTATATGTAGTAAAAGAATGCCAAATCTTATTTAAAAAAGACTAGAAGGATCTAGTCATTGAAATACCAAATTATGTACTATTTTCTCCATTATATCTACATTCCAGAATGAGCATCAAAAATATTCCGTAAGTTCCTCAGGCACATGGAGACCTTGGTACATGCAGTTCTGAACACTGATCTCAGGTGGTACGTTTCCATTCCCTATTTCATATTAAGTGGTGAAATAATATTCTCATATCACTGAAGAACCAGCCTCGCACATCGAGCCCCAGATGGCACCAACCCCTTCAGAACAGCTGGTTTCACTTAATGCACTCTCTTTAAACAAAACCCGTGTTACTGGAAGCAAGTTTTGAAATAGGCCATAGTATTCTTGGGTTCTCTGCTGCTTTATGAAGAAGTAAGAGGAGAAGGAGGGAAGGATTTGAAAGAATTTCACGTGGAATCTGTATTGGAAAAGCATTTAGGGAAGCTTTTGTGATGGAGCATTTCCAGTCAGGAAAGACAAAGGAAAGTGTTTATTCACACAGCAGAGAGTTACAGGGTGGAATTTGCTCCCTCAAGATGTAGGGATGGCCACCAGCTTGGAGGGCTTTTTAAAGAGGGAGGATAAGGTTATCAAAGGCTGCTAGCCATGATGGCACTGCTCTGCCTCCACTGTTGGAGGCAATATACTTCTGAATGCCAGTTTCTGGGAATTTCAAGTGAGGAGTATGGTGCTGTGGTGCTCAGGTCCTGCTTTTGAGCTTCCTGTTGGGGTATCTGGTGGCCACTATGAGAACAGGATGCTGAATCAGATAGGCTCCCTTTGGCCTGGCTCTTCTAAGAAGATCTATTGTGATAGCAGAACTTCCATGCCCAGGGGCAGTCTACCTTTGAATCCCAGATGAAGGGAAACAGCAACTGGAGAGGGGATGTTGCACTCAGGTCCTGCTTGCAGGCTCTTCTTCTGTTGTAATCTATCTGTCTGTCTTTATTTTTTAAATTTCTATTCCGCTCTTCATCCAAGGATCACAAGATGAATATAGAAACACAAAAATGTGTAACATAGTGAGACGCCAAAGCAGTTTAAAAGGCCATAGATGGTTCAATTAGCCAAATGCCTGGGATAAGAAAAATGTTTTTGCCTGGCCTTAAAATATATGTAACAGAGGCACCAGGCAGAGCCTCCTTGGGCAGAGCATCCCATAAGTGGGGAGCCTCCACAGGAAAGGCCCATTCTTCTGTTGCCAGCCTTCGAACCTCTCACGGAGGAGGTACACTAAGAAGGGCCTTAGATGTTGATTGCAAGGTCCAGGTCAGTTCATATGGGGAGAGGCGGTCCTTGAGGTATTGCAGTCCTGAACCATTTAAGGCTTTATAGGTCAAAACCAGCACTTTGAATTGTGCCTGGAAATTAATTGGCAGCCAGTGTAGTCGGATCAGGATCAGTGTTATATGCTCAGACTGTTTTGCCCTGGTGGGCCAGAATTCTGGCCACAGAATTCTGCAGAAGCTGAAGTTTCCGAACTGTCTTCAGAGACAGCCCCACATATAATATATTGCAGTAATTAACCTAGAGGTTACCAGAACATAGACAACAGAAGTTAAGCTATCCTAGTCCAGATGGGTCGCAGATGGGCCACCAGCTGAAACTGATGGAAGGCACTCTGTGCCACTGAGGTCAACTGAGCCTCAAGTGACAGCAAAGAATCCAGAAGGACCCCCAAGCTGTGTACCCACTCCTTCAAGGGGAGTGTAACCCAATCAAGAGCAGGCAACCTCTCATCCATCTGGTCTAGGGAACCAGCCACTAACAGTGCCTCAGTCTTATCTGAATTGAGCTTCAACTTGTTGGCTCTCATCCAGTCCGTTACTGAGGCAGGATCACAGTCCAGCACATCCACTGCCTCACTTGCAGATGTAAAGGAGAAGGAAAGCTATGTGTTATCTGCAAATTGCTGACTATGTACTACAGAACTATGTACTACTGGTTGACTCCACTCAGTGTTTTCATGTGGATGTTAAACAGCATAGGGGATAAAATTGAACCTAGAGTAACCCCTGCATTAAAGGCTCCATGTGGCCGAAGAGCACTCCCCAAGCAACATCCTCTGTAAGTAACTATCAAAGTAGGACTGGAACCACTGCAAAATGGTGCCACCCACCCCTAACTTGAATAGCTGCCCCAGAAGGATCCTATGGTCGATGGTATCAAAAGCCAGTGAGAAGATGAAGAGAATTAACAGGGGCACATTTCCCCTGCCTCTCTCCCGACAGAGGTCATCATGTAGGCTGACCAAAGCATTTTCTATGTCCAAACTGGGCCTAAACTCTGATTGAAATGGATCAGTTTCATCCAAAAGCCCCTTTCCCACGAAGGGGAGATTGGCAACAGGCCCCTCTCGCTAGGATCCACTAATAATCTCCCTGGCCTAGCCAGCTGTCGTCTCCCTGCTAGTTTTTATCAGCCAAGAGGTACAAGGGTCCAGAGCGCAAGTGGTTGCCTTGAGGATCCAAGCACCTTGGAATCCCCCCTCTCCCCAGTTCTTGTACAGAATCCAAAGAGAATCTGGCAGTAGCAGTTGCTGCTGAGCTGACCGACAGGTCGAGACACTATTGCATTATTTCCCCTCTGCCCTCCTCATCCCTTTTTCTTTTTGGTATTGCATATTTTAGATTGTAAGCTACTGGGGCCGGGACTGTCTCCCTCAGCTTTTTTCCCCCTGAATGTATGTAAAACATTATAGGAAGCTTTCTGATGAAGAGCTGAGGCAAAAAAAAAAAAAAAAAAAAAGCTTTAAATCATCATCGTCGTTGTTGTCATCGTCATCATCATAAACTGTTGTGAGCAATTTGCATGGCAGTGAACTCTATGAGGTGGCTCTAAATGCCTAAGAATCTGTGGGCACCTCTGATGTCTTTTAAATGAGTTGTTGCTTAAATCCATGAATCACTTCCCTCATTGATTTCACTGGGCTGGGTGTATGAATGGAATGTTATCTATGGCTTGAGGGTTTTTTGTTCTTTTTGTTAAACTTCATATCTTAAAAATGTGGTGGCCATTTCACGCTGAGCAAACCCTGTTATTTTTCTCCCCTTCCAACCTCTTTGATGCCTTGGAGTCTTCCATGTGCCTTTATGGGTTCCCTCTCCCCCCCCCCCTGCCTTTTTGGGGCAGGGGATGGGGAGGAAGAGGACTGGGAGTGTGTTTAAAATGGAATCACTCAAGCTCCTTTCATAAATCTCCTTTTAAGAAGTCCTGAGGAGGGTGTTTCACACATGGAATATCCTCATTGGCCAACTTCCAGGTAACAGAGCCTTTTAAATAAAGGATCTGAGGTGAGGCAACAGTGACAGGGAAGTCTTTACTTGGGGCTTAGCAGAATAGCAGCCAGGCTTTCATAACTCTGGATTTCCTCCTCTGCATCCTTAAAAAAATTAAAATTAAAATTGGAGTTTTATTCCTTCAGTTGGCAACTACATTGGCTTGGTGGACCAATCTAGAACAAAATCCACAGTGAGGAACACAAGCCTCTCTCTACCGCCTTTCTCAGTCATTTCCCTGACCAGCATATCCCATAGAATCATAGAATTGTAGAGTTGGAGGGGAACTCAGGATCATCTAGCCCTGTTCCCTGTAGTGCAGGAATCACAATTAATGAATCCCTGACAGATGACCATCCAACCTCTGCTTATAAACCCCCAACGTAGGAGTATGCATCACCTTCCAAGAGAGTCCGTCTTACTGTCAGAAAGTTCGGAATCTCCTTTCTTGTAATTTGAATCCTATGCTCAGGACTAGGAAAGAACAGCTTGCTCCATATTCCACTTGACAGCCATTTAGATATTTGAAGATGGCTATCATAACTCTTCTCAGTCTTCTCTTATCCAGGCTAAACATGCCCAACTCCCTCGACCATTACTCACAAGGCTTTATTTCCAGACTCTTCATCATCTTGGTCACCCTCCTCTACACAACTTCCAGCTTGCCAATATCTTTCTTAAACTGGGATGCCCAGAACTGGACACAGGACTTCAGGTGGAGTCTGACCAAGGCAGAATGGAAAGAAGGTAGTTGTTGATCTAAACATGAGGCACAAAATGAGCGAGGTTGGATCTGCAGTGAAGACGAGCTCTTAAATCCTGAATCTAAAAATCACCACAGAGCAAGGGATGGCTTTGTAGCCTCTGAATAAAGTGTAAAATAGAGCCCTGTAATTTCTCTAGGAAGGTGTGATGTAGTGGGAGGCAAGTTTGATTAAAAAACACCACCACCATGTGCACTCCTATCACATGACAAAATATTCTTAGCCCCCAAGTGCATTGGACACTGTGTTTTCTACAGCTATTTTCTGGCTCATCGCCCATGAAACGTGATGAGAGGAGAGAAAGGCTCAGCATTCCAAAGAAGCAATTTTCTTGACAAAAGTCTAAGTTATTTGTTGTGTTTATCCTGTATGAGCTTTTGCGGTTCAGTGGAACTTTTCTCACTGTCATTGCCTGGAACTTTTTAGTTTAGAGAGAAGGCGAGTAAGAGGAGATATGATGGAAGTGTATAAAATTTTGCTTGACACGGAGAGAGTGGATAGAGAAAAGCTTTTCATCCCTTTATCCTAACACTAGAACTTGTGGACATCCAATGAAGCTGAATGTTGGAAGATTCAGGACAAATAATATGAAGTTCTTCATTCAGCACATAAACTGTGGAACTCACTCCCACAGGGAGGCAGCAGGGATGACTTTAAAAGAGGACTGGAGGAACAGAGTATCTATGACTACTAGCTGTGATGGCTATACTCTGCCTCCATGATCAGAGACAGTAATGCTACTGAATTGAGTGCTCTTGCTATTTGGTCCTGCTTGTGGGCTTCCTACTGGAGTATCTGGTTGGCCACTGTGAAAACAGGATGCTGGACTAGATTGGCTCTTGCCCCGATGGAGCAGCCAGGCTCTTCTTGCATTCTATTTCCACTGTCAGAGACAGTATACTTCTACCGTTCTCAGAATCACAAGTGGGGAGAGTGTTGCTGTTGCTTTTGGGTCCTGTTTGTGGGCTTCCATAGGTGTCTACTGTGAGAGCTGGATGCTGGACTAAATGAACCATTGGCGTGATCCAGCAGGGCTCTTACGTTCCCATCACCTGCTGACCTTAACTTGACTGTGCATCAGTCTGAGTCCTGGAAACCCTCTACAATTTTGGCAGGGTGGCTCACCACAGGGGCAGGGAAAGCTTTTTTAGCTTAAGGGCCACATTCCTTTCTGGGAAACCTTGTGAAGGCCACATGCCAGGGGTCAGCAGGATCAGATGCAAAAATGAGCAGCGCAGTGATTGCAAATTTTACCTTTCTGTGGCAGGCTAATTTCTACACAATCACATCCTTCTCTATCCAACAATAGCCAGTGTGGTGTAGCAGTTAGAGTGTCACTCATGAATCTCACTGGGTAACATTGTGCCCAGTCACTGCCTCTTAGGGTTATTGTGAGGGTAGAAGGGGGAGGGGTAAACCATGTATGCTGTCACCTCGAGCCCCTTGGAGGAAAGACAGGATAGAAATTTAATAAAATAAAATAATAAAATAAAATAAATCCAGGCAAGCAAGATCGCTGAGTGCAAGGATTGCAATCCAGTCAGCCAAAAAGCCCCAACAACACTCTGGGTGCAAAGCAGGGAGGGCGTGTGGCCTGGGGAGAGTACCGAGGGCCAAATAGAGAGTGTTGAGGGGCCGCATTTGGGCCGCAGACCCAAAGTTCCCCACCCCTGACTTAATGCCACAGTCCTTAAGGCTCTCCCCCCCTTAACACAATGAGTCTTGTGGCACCTTTAAAGACTAAAACATTTTTTATCTCATAAACTTTTTGTGTGCTGCAGTTCATCAGAAGCAAAGCTGCAGTTTTTAAAACAAAAATATATATTAAATGCAAACCCCACCCCCGATTTTCAAGTAGGCTTCAGAAGAGAGAAGCAAAGCACCTTCTAGGGTATGTAAGAATGTGAATATTTTCTCAGCTGTTTGCAACTCAAGACAGAAAGAGAGGCAGGTCCAGCTCTGAGAGAGAGGAGTCCTGTGGAGACCAGAGGAACCTGCCAGGGTTAGGCTGAGCTCAGCAGGAAGTGGGGTCTGTGGAAGACAGGAGGGCCTTGACACCATTTGGCAAATACATGGTGCCCAATGGCCATTTCCCACCTGCACTGTTAGAGACAGTGATACTTCTGAATGCCAGTTCCTGGGAATCACCAGTGGGGAGGGTGTTGCTTTTGCACTCATGCCCTGCTTGTGGACTTCCCACTGAGGCATCTGGTTTGCCACAGTGAGGAGAGGATGCTGGACTAGATGTGCCTTTGCTCTGATCCCACAGGGCTGTTATGTTCTACCTCCACTGTCAGAGGCAGTGTGACTCTGAATACCAGTTTTTGGGAATCACAGGTAGGGAGAGTATTGTGTTCATATCCTGCTTGCAGGCTTTCATTGGGGTATTTGGTTGGCCACTGTGAGAGTAGGATGCTAGGCTAGGTTGCCCCGCTTTGGCCTGATCTAGCATCAAAGCTCTTCTTTTTTTCTGCCTCTCCTGTTGGGGGCCAGCAATACATTGGAATACCAGCTGAAGGAATCAAAAGTGGGGAGAGTATTGCTATTGTGCACTTATGTCCGTCCACCTTTTAAGCTTCCCATTGGGGCATGTGGTTGGCTCCCTGTAGCCTGATCTAGCAAGGCGCTTATGTTCTTACACCCACTCCACTTCAGGCCTGGGGCCTTCGCTTGCATCCTGATGTCATCCAAGCTTTTGTTTTCCAAGATGTGCTTGGATCAAGCAAAACTGCTCTGCTGGATCCATTTCCCCGGCTGAACATTTGTTTGGATAACCTTTTGGAATGAAAAGGGGCTCCTCATTAAATGTGGGTTTGGGAAGGGTGCTATTATTCCCTAATAATTCTTGCAACTGCTGTTTTGGAAGCTGGGGGAGGGGGACATGGAGAGCAGGGGATGTTTCATTGTACACCCTTCAGTCGAAATGCATCTGAAAAGATCTGAGCTGGCAAGTTGTGTGTGTGTGTGTGTTTCTTTCAACTGCCCTCAAGACAACTCTGGAGAAATAATGGCTTATTCCTTGTTTAAGTCGCATCCCTGCTGTGTCTAACACTTTGTGTAAAAGTTCGGGCATATATTTTCTACTCCTTTTCTTCTTCCACTTCTTCTCCCTCCTCAGATGTAATTTGATCGCTCAGGCTTGGTCCTCTTAACTCTGGAAGAAGGCTTTTATTAACTGTTTCCTCCCCGCTTGGAGGAGTGAGTTTGTGAAGAGTGCTGCTGTCTGTAACAGGGTATGTCAAGGAAAAGGGCAACCCAAATGATCAAGTGGATGAAGCGACTCCTCTGCAAGGAAAATTTGCAGTGTTTGTGGCTTTTTAGTCTACAAAAAAAAGACAACTAAGAGATTACATGACAAAAGTTTATAAAATTATGCCTGGCATGGAGAAAGTGGATAGAGAAAATTTTATCTCCCTATCTCTTAACACCAAAACTTGTGGGCATTCAATGAAGCTGAGCACTGGAATATTCAGGACAGATAAAATAAAGGACTTCTTCATGCAGCATATTGTTAAACTATGAAACTCTTTCCCAGAGGAGGCAGTGATAGCCACCACTTGAATGGCTTTAAAAGACAAATTCATGGAGTTGAGGGCTATCAACGGCTACTAGTCATGATGGCTAACTCTCTGCCTCCCATAGTTGAGGCAGCAATGTTTCTGAATACCAGTTGCTGGAAACCACAGGAAGGGGAGAATGCTGCACTCAGGTCCTGCTTGCAGGTTGCCCTTAATGGGCATCTGGTTGTCTGCTGTGAGAAGAGGATGCTGGACTAGAAGGGCTGTTGGCCTGATTCAGCACTAACCTATGGCCCTTCTCAGCTGAGGCTTACCCCTAGTGGCTATGACACAAAAGTTAGGAATAGACTAGTTGGCAGAAGTGGGATCACATGCCCAACATCTCTGTATGTCTGAATCTGTTGTGAAAACAGAGAATCTTAAGCGACCCTGGATTCAGCATGCAAGTAGCAGATGGAAATATCTGTGCTCTTGAAAAGGAAATCTGGAATATCAAAGAGACCCACCCATCCTAGATTTTTTGGTTTTGCAAGTAGTGGAAACAAAATTTTCCCTCCCGGTTTTATCGCTCTAATTTGGGCCTGAGGGAAGGGAGCCATGAGGCTCTTTAAGAAGGAGAAGTTGGCATCGAAGCACAAAACTGCTCAGATTTCCTGCTCATCTTCCTTTCTTCGGCATGGAGTGTGTTAACCTTGTTGTCCCTCTCTTGAGCGTTAATAGGGCCAGTCTTAGTAATCCCATTTAGTAATTCCACTGGAATTCTTATGGAATTCTGCATTCCTGCAGCTGCAGCAGTAGACAGACCTCATGCTATGGAAAGCAGGAGGGGTCAGAATTGCTTAGTTTCAGGATATGCTCTTGTGATACTCCCTGCAGTGTGACTATGCTGCAATTTCCCAGAACTGCTGTCCTCAACTTGGGAGGGTCAGGATTGCCCCATGATCTGTGTTACATAATATTCAGTCTTGTTTTGTTTTTTGGTACCTCTCCCCACTGTTGACAAAGCAATATTTGAAAAATGTTATGATATACCATATAGGTTTTTGGCCCAGTGCTGTGGGATCCACTCTCTCTGGTCACTTTCCCCACCCAGATTAACCCACCTACTCAGACAGACAGAAAGGGAGAAAGTGTGCTCACTCTCTTTCACATACTAATAGATACATACTTAGCTTTTCCAAGAAGAAGAAGAGGATTTGATATCCTGCTTTATCACTACCCGAAGGAGTCTCAAAGCGGCTAACATTCTCCTTTCCCTTCCTCCCCCACAACAAACACTCTGTGAGGTGAGTGGGGCTGAGAGACTTCAGAGAAGTGTGACTAGCCCAAGGTCACCCAGCAGCTGCATGTGGAGGAGCGGAGACGCAAACCTGGATCCCCAGATTATGAGACTACCACTCTTAACCACTACACCACACTGGCTCGGGTCGGGTGAAAAACTGGATCCAGAAGAATGAACAGTTAGTATGTCATACTAGAGACCAGGGATTGAATCCTCACTCAAATCATTTATTTAATCAATTTATTTAATCAATATATTGGGTTACTGCTTTTGGTTTGATTTTATATGTTGTGGTCTTGTTGTGAACCGCCCTGAGACCTCCAGGTATAGGGTGGTGTGTAAGTTAAATGAATGAATGAATGAAGTTCACTGAGTGACCTTGGGTCACAGCCATTGCCTCTCAGCCTATAACATACCTCACAGGGGTGGAATGGGGATTAAATGAGGAGGGGGAAAACTTTATACACCACCCTGAGATCCTTGGAGAAAAAAGGTGGGAAATAGATTCAATCAATCAATCAATCAATCAATCAATCAGTCAGTCAGTCATCAGTCAAAGAAGCCCTGAGAAGCACATAGAGTTGAAAGAGGGAGTTGGGAGGAGCATCACTCCTCCAATTTCCTCCTTCAGCTCTAAGCACTTTTCATAGGAGAAAAGTGGCAACTGCGCTCTCCATCTCATGACCAAGGGAGGCAGTGAGTAGGGTGGGGCTCAGAGACACTGAGGACACCTGGGGAAAGATCTCAAGGGCCACTGTGACCATGGGTGCCATTTTGAAAATAGGCCAGGCACAATGTGACATATAAGGGCCTTGGGGGGGGCTGTTTGTCAGCCTCCATGAGAAGCACTGGTGGCTACCAGTTTGTGGCTGGATTGTGACTATTATTATTATTGAATTTATATACCACCCTATCAGGGTGGTTTATGGAATAAAATCTATCCAGTGGATAGATTAGCAAGTGGATGAGTACCACACTAAATATGTATAGCAAGGATAAAGCTCATGGATAACAGAGACAGGTTAATGAGAAAGGTTCATTTATTTCATAAAAGAAAGGACTTCTTCACACAGTGCACTCACTCCCAAAGGAGGCAGTGATGCCCACCAACTTTGAGCTTCAGAAGAGGGTTGGGCAAATTTGTGGAGGATAAGGCCATCAATGGCTACTAGTCATGCTGGCTATGCTCTGCCTTTGCAGTTGGAGGTGGTAATAAATCTGAATATCAGTTGCTGGAAACTGCAGGAGGGGCAGAGTGCTGTTGCACTCAGGTCCTGCTTGAGGGCTTCCTATATGGGCACCTGGTTGGCCACTATGAGCACAGGAGGCTGGACTAGAGGGACCATTGTCTTGATCCTATAGGACTGGTCTTACGTTCCTAATATGGACTCCTTTCTTTCAGCATAGGTTTTTTTTTGGGGGGGGCAGACGAATCTCCTGGCTTCCATTAGGATTAGCTTCTATATTCTCACTATATTCTCACTTTTCTTGTCTTTGAGTTCTGTTTTACCATCTCCAGAAAAAAATCTGAGAACCTCTGTCTCATGCTGCTGTGAAGCTAGAAAGCAACAGATAGTTGTCTAAACATGTCTACCCACTACCCACCCCTTAAGAATTTCTAAAGGGCTGAGGCCACCACCTGTAGAGTCTCAGCTGACCCTTTTCTAGTGAAGTGGGCGGGGGAAGAGAATTTCAGTTTTCTTAGCCTTTCAATAAGAAGCTGACCAGTTCATGCTTGTTGAACCAGTACAAGAACTGGAGCACAATGATCTTTCAGAATTCACACTCCTCTGAATTTTGCAACCATATACTCCATGCAAGCAGTAAGTATTAATAAAGAGCCACTGTGGTATGGTGGTTAGTGCCAGACTAGGGCCTGGGAGACACCAGAATTCAAATCCCCACTTGGTAACCTTGGTCACTGCCTCTCAGCCTCACCTACCTCATAGGGTTGATGTGGGGATTAAATGAGGAGATATAGAACCTTGAGCTCCTTGAGAGGGAAAAGGTGAGATATAAATGCAATAAATAAGTAATAAAAAACAAAAATGCACAAATTAGAAAAATGTGTACGATGGTACCTCGGGTTAAGTACTTAATTTGTTCTGGAGGTCCGTTCTTAACCTGAAACTGTTCTTAACCTGAAGCACCACTTTAGCTAATGGGGCCTCCCGCTGCCGCCACGCCGCCGGAGCACGATTTCTGTTCTCATCCTGAAGCAAAGTTCTTAACCCGAGGTACTATTTTGGGGTTAGCGGAGTCTGTAACCTGAAGCGTATGTAACCTGAAGCGTATGTAACCCGAGGTACCACTGTACATTAATGAAGATAATATACAAAAATGCATTAACTAGGGCGAGTTGCTTTGCAAAAATGTGTCTGGTCTTGGTCAAAACTGCATACAGAAATGAGTACGTTAGGAGATACTTACCCTAAAACACTTATGAATTTTCACAATTGCAGTTAGGAGATACTGACCCTAAAACACTGATGAATTTTCACAATCGCAGATTGCTGCAGAAGTGTGGAGAACTGGATTTAGGATTTGGAAAGTGAGAAACTCGAAAGAAACTGAAATTGTTAGTTTCATCCCTCCCCTCCTCTGCTTGGAAAGCGGAGCCATGAGGGGTTAACATGGGATGGGCGTTCCTTTCCTGATGTCACAAAGTCAGACAACCAAAGCCTGAAGGGGGCCCTTTGTTGGCAGTTCAATGTATGCAGCCTCTGCTTGAGTTGGATGTAGGACGGAGCTGGAAAGTGGGATGGCAAAATTTGGGAGCTCTCATTTGGAGTAATTAATCATAATAGAAAATCAAAGAATCATAAAAAATGGATGATCCACTGCGTTGACTTCTTCAGTTAACAGTTTTTAAATGAAGGCTGGATTTGTAGCCTTTTTGTGTGTGTATGTACCGGAGGGAACTTTTGTGTGAAGTTTTCAAGAGGAGAAGAGGAGGAGGAGGGGAGGAGACAGCAAGCCTACAAAACCAAGGGCCTTGCTCTAACCGATGAAAATGTTGGAGATCTGCCTGAAATTAGTGGGTTGCAAGTCGAAAAAGGGTCTCTCTTCATCATCCAGTTGCTACTTGGAAGGTGAGTTCAGAGCTGCAGGGTCATTTGGTGGGAGGGAGGAGAGAGAGTAGTTAATCTGTCAGGAGGGCCCCACAAAAGCAGAATTCTTAGCTCCATACTCACTTTGCCTAAGCCTCTGTTCAATTGTGCTTGTGCTTTTCCAGAGAGGGGCCAGCTGCATTGATAGGGGACTGGGCTGGAGGACTTCAGAGGGCCCTTCCCCAGAGTTAGCCTCCACTTGATGGTTTTAGTCCTTGCATGAGGGGTAGGGGGAGCTGTTGGGGGTGGGGTTAGCAGCATCAAAGAAGAAGCTTATTTTTTACGCAGTTTCTGTGTAACTTTCAAACCAGGTGATTTTTATTAACCACAATGTACAAAAAGTGTGTCCGATTCTCTTCCATTTATGGTTGGAAACTGACGAGAGCTCACTGACAATCTGCTAACAAAACCACGTATCTGTGCCTTGGGCTTCTTTCTTGCCGGGAGCAGCCCAAGAGGTTGCTTTTCAGAGGAGAGGATGAAGCCACCCAGGCCTTTGAAGAAGAATTTTAAGTGAGACCCATTCTTGAAGAGAGATTTGCATAAATTGATCCAGAAAGTTTATATGTATGTGTGTCTTGGGGTTGTGTAGTGCTGTTAGTTTGTTTTTTAATTCTTCCTTTTTGACGCAGATATTTTATTTGCATCATTTAAACTTCACTTCTGTTGGCCTTCTGCGTCTTTTAACTTCACATATAGTCTTTGGGACATGTCCTTAAGATCAGCACAAGACCTTAAAAAAAAAGCCTTGCACAAGACCTAGAAGTGAAAAGACAACCTTTTTTAAAAAAGCTATACTCTTCCTTTGGAATATTAGAGCTCAGGATTCAGTTTTCAACTTGTGTCACCAATTGTTCATTTGGACTTGGTCAAGTTCTTTAACCTTTTGTCCCAGTTCCCCCAGGGATCAATGGCACGTTTTCCCCCATCCAGATTTTTTATTCTTTCTCTTCTGGCATTGTTTGGACTGTTCAAGCAGACCATGGCTTTCTTTTCTTTTCTTCTAGGGCTTTGGACAGTGGGTTGGCTGAGGCTTTTGGATGTGGCTCATATACAAACATCATGCATGCCAGGAGCCTCCTCTTGTTCATCAGTTTAGCAAGCGGAAATGAGTCCCCGTGACTTCCTTGAGCCAGTCAGCAATATCTGTTTCTTGGAAGGTTGGCCAGTGAATTCTCCACAAAAATAGTTCTGAAAAGTGGATCATAAAAGCAGATCTTAATAAGTACCTTCAGAGCAGGAATTGTGGCCTGCTTGTAATCATTTGTTATATCTGGGGTTCCAGGAGTTATTGAGTTTGATTTTCAACACTGAGCAAAAGCAAAGGCACCCCCCTTTACTCAAAATTTCCATCTTCTCAGTCAATTCTGCTTTTTTTTAAATAGAAAAAATGCCATCTTATTGTAACAGTTGTCTGCCATTAACATAAGTTCTACTTGGAGTAGAGCGGGGACACAAAGAATCAGGGCTGGGAGAAAAATAAACACATTTGTAATGCGAAAAATTTATAGGAGCATTCATTAAAAAATAATTATCAGGCACTGGCTCTATGGAACATTAAAGTGAAAGGGGTGGGAGGAAGGAATACCGGACACCTAGGAATGCAGATCTGACTCCTAAGAATCGGGACCCTATGCTGTGTCGTTCCATAGCCAGCTATCTAGGTTGGGAAAGGGTTGAAGGGTCCTGGGTCAAGATCCCTTCAACAGCTCCGCAGAGTATTATTATTATTATTATTATTATTATTAATAATAATAATAATATTTCAATTTATATACCACCCTTTATCAAAAGATCCCAGGGTGGAGTATAGCATTAAAAACATATTAAAGAACATCAATGATAGAAACAAAGTAAAAAGCATATTGACAGACAGCATAATAATAATTCTAATAATACTACTAATAATAAGATAATCATCATAATAGTCCCCACTTTTACATGCCATAGATTATTTAATAGCCATAGGCCTAGGTAGATAGGAATGTTTTTGCCTGGTACCTAAAGACATGTAATGATGGTGCCTGGTGAACCTCTTTGGGGAGAGCATTCCATAGTCAGGGAGTCACCACAGAAAAGGCCTGTTCTTTGTTGCCACCCTCCAAACCTCTCTGGGAGGGGGGAAATAGAGAATGGCCTCAGATGACAAGTGTAGGGTCTAGGTTGGTTTGTATGAGGAGAGGCGGTCCATAAGGTACAGAGGTGCTGAGGTGTATAAGGCTTTATACGTCAACATCAGCACTTTGAATTTGTCCTAGAAACTAATCGGCAGCCAGTGCAGTTGTGCCATAATTGGCACACACCGTACTCTTAAGCTTCTGTTAGAGCTCTTCAGGCTGTCAGAACCCAACAGATGCTTGCCATTATGTTTCGACCATTGACTTTCTTGACTAGACCACTGTAATTCTCTGTGTGTAGGACTGTTCTTGAAGACTGTCCAGAAACTTTGGCTGGGGCAAAATAAAGCTGCTAGAATAGCCATGCCAGTGGTGAGGACCTTCCAGTTTCTGTGACTAATGAATGCTACCCGGCTGTTTTGGCTAGGCCAAGAAAATGCCACCTATTCTACATCTGAAGTGGGGTGTGGGGCAGAGAGAGACATGGCTGGCCGAAAGGGGGCTTGCAGTTATCATTGATTAGAAGCATGTGAAAATCTATGTGCACCAACAATCAGCTGATCAATTTAGCTTGCAAAGCAGTTTGAACATTGTAACTTGCAACCGTTTTGCTTTAGTTATATTGGTTGCCAGTTTGTTTCCAGGCTGAATTTAAAGTTCAGTGGTACCTCTGGTTGCGAACGGGATCCGTTCCAGAGCCCCGTTCACAACCTGAAAGGAACGCAACCCCCTTCTGCACGTCTGTGCACGCGCAGGTCACGATTCACTGCTTCTGCGCATGCGCATGACGTCATTTTGCGCCTCTGTGTATGCACGAGCAGTGAAACCGGGAAGTAACCCTTTCCGGTACTTCCGGGTCACCACAGGATGCAACCTGAAGCAAACATAACCTGAGGTATGACTGTACTGTATCTGCTTTCCATGCAGAATGTTCCTGGTTCAACCCCCAGCAGTATCTCCAGGTAGGGCTGGGAGTGCCACCTGCCTAATACCCCAGAGAGCCACAGGCTGTCAATGTAGACAATATTGAGGTAGATGGACCGATCATCCAACTCTATATAAATAAACTTTCTATGTTTAAATGCATAATAAAAAAAGGGGACACAGATTTACATAAAAGGCAAATTTAGAAATAATGAATGAAGCAGGGGTGGCCAAACGCTCCAGATGTTGTTGGACTCCCATAAACCCCAGTGAGCGTTGCCAATAGTCAACGGGTTGGGAGTTGTAGCTGAGCAACATGTGAAAGTCCAAACGTTAGCTCCCTTTGCTTTATTAAGAAATACAGCACATTTTCTCACTCCATATCTGTAAGGGTATGTATATAGAAAAAGATAGATGGATAGATTCTGCTCTATTGTACCATAGCTGTGTGCCTGTTCAGCTTGCTGTCCTGGTGCTAACTGCAGATGAGCAACTTCAGGGCCTCTTCTGCTGTCCCAGACTTTCCTATAAGATGTAAGGTGGTGGGCACCAATAGAATGTCTTTAAAAGAGGATTAGACAAAGTCATGGAGTAGTAAGGCCATCAATGGCTGTGTTCTCCCTCCACAGGCAGAGGCAATCTGCCTCTGAATACCAGTTGCTGGGAGTCACAAGTGGCAAGAGTTGCTGTCAGGCTCAGGTCCTGCTTGTGGGCTTCCCATTTGGGCATCTGGTTGCCCATCATGAGAACAGAGTGCTGGACTTGATGGTTCATTCCAGCAGAGCTCCCTATGTTCAGACCTACTGTGGTACCAGAACCTCCATGCTCAGAGGCAGTCTCTCGCTGTATACCAGTTGCTAGGAATCACAACTGGGGAGAGTGGAGCTGCAGTCAGGTTCTATTTTGTTGGCTTCCCATTGTGGCATTTGTTTAGCCACTGGGACCAGAATGCTTTACTGTATGGGTCCCCTTTGGCCTGATCCAGCAGCCAACCTCTTATTATGTTCTTATGGCCAGACAGCCGTTTAAATTGAGGACTTCTCTCTGTCAAGGAAAGCACATGGTGTCCCCCCCACCATGTTGCAGGTCTCTCAAGAGCAGGGGTCAGCAAACTTTATCAGCAGGGGGCCGGTCCACTATCCCTCAGACCTTGTGGGGGGCCGGACTATATTTTGGAAAAGAAAAAAGAGAATGAATTCCTATGCCCCACAAATAACCTAGAGATGCATTTTAAATAAAAGCACACATTCTACTCATGTAAAAATATGCTGATTCCCGGACCATCCGCAAGCTGGATTTAGAAGGCAATTGGGCCGGATCTGGCCCCCGGGCCTTAGTTTGCCTACCCATGCTCAAGAGTTTTAAGCAGAGGTTCCCAAACTGAGGCTTGAAGGTTTCTTGTTTCAAGACTTCAACTTCCTCCAGTGGCAGGGCTCTTTATTGCCCTCCTTTGATGTAGCCACTGTCTGCATGGAGATAATTAAGCATTACAGAAACACCAGTAGAAAACATTACTCCAATTGTTATTGTTGTTTAAATTACAAGAAAGTAGTTTCTGATTAATCCTTAGGAAGAATGTTCTGATATTAAGAGCTGTTCAACAGTGGAACGGACTCCTTCGGAAGGTGGTGGACTCTCTCCTTCCTTGGAAGTTTTTAAGCAGAGGTTGGATGGCCATCTGTCAGGGATTCTTTAACTGTGATTCCTGCATTGCAGGGGGTTGGACTAAATGACTTTTGGGGTTCCTTCCAACTTTGTATGATTCTATTCCATACCTGGATATGAAAGACACTGCAAACTCACAAGCCTTGTCTGAGTGTTCAGCAGACATAATAAAGAAGTGGAAGGTGTGATGAATTGCTAAACTACAAACTGTATATGCTGATCAAAGCCTTGTAGCTTATTTGAGTTATCTGACACTGCCGTTCAGCAATCAGGTGGAATTTATCACAGCATAGTGACCATGTGACTGTGCCTCTTGCTTTGCCTTTATTGGGAGGGTGTGGGTAAAGAACCTCTGATTTTTGCACTGGCAGAATGTAGCCCTTGGTTCAGAGGTTAAGAGTTGCATTGGTTGGGAAACTGCCCTACTGGAAAAACCAACTAACTAAACGAAACTATCACAGGGACAAACAAAGGAGGCTGCCTTCACCCCATCACATACACACGCCTAGAAGACTATGACCCCCCCCCCAAAAAAAACCCCCACATATGAATCAATATAGTTACCTGAACCCAGCAACACCGCCCCCCCCCCCATCAAAACACACTGCAGCCAATCAACAACAACCAACCATGCCCTGGGCCCTCTGATCTCTCCTCTGCCAGCAAAAATAAGGCACCTATCCACGCAACACTTGCAAAAAACCCCCACTCATATACTTTGTAAAGGATGAAAGGATTTTTAAAATAACATTTTTATGAAGTCTCCAAAAACATTTTAAGGCATTTATCACCATATACAATTTTTTTTTAACATCCAAAGTTTCTTATTGACTTCCCACCCCATCTTCTTCGTAAGGAATGAAAGTTTACTATCCCTCTCACCCTGCTTCTTTTTTCTCCCCCTCTCTCGTCAATTCTCTTTCTCCCTCAGCCCCACATTGCCGGCAACAAAAAGGTCTCAAATTGACTGTAATTGGCTTGTATGAAATACTCTATGTCTTGAAAACAGAGACACTGGATGTACTTTTGTTACTAATGGAATATATTTTAATAAAAATTGATATTTAGAAAAGATTTGCATTGGTTGCCCCGTCCACTTTTTGCCTCTAATCCCATGCCTCACTGGTGCCATGCAGCCCCTGGAAGGTTGTCCAAGAGGGGAAGTGGTCCTTGGGGTGGAAAAGGGCTGAAAAAACAGTGATGGAAATAGTGTAGGGCAAGAGCATCTTGGGAAATATGAAAGACACATCCACACACACACACACACACTGAGATCTATCACTGATGCTGAGCTCAGGATACCATCATTTTGTGACACACGATTAGGTTTCGCCAGGAGCTGGGCTTCTTCAATTTTGTCCTGAGGTTGTGAAATGTTCCCTCTTGGGAGACTTGCTCATCCCCTTTCAGAGACTGACAAAAACATTCTTTAGTCTGCCTAGACCCGTTGATCCTACTACTGCTGTTTGCTCTGCTCTTTTAAAAGTTTTATTGGGTTTCAACTGGGCTAAATGTTGTGTTTTAATCATCGTGGCAGTGTCTTAGATGTTTTGTGTCAAAAACAGCTTTGATAACTACCGTTAAGAAGTAGTTGGAAGGACAGTTCCACAGTGGCAGAGCATCTGATTGGCATGCAGAAGGTCCCAGGTTCCATCCCCAGCAGCATCTCCATGTAGAGCTGGGAAAAGACAATCCCTGAAACTCTGGACAGCCACTGCCAGTCAGTGTTGACAGTATGGAGCCAGATGGACCAAAAGTCTGATTTTATATGAAGCAGCTTCTTGTATTCTTCTTTGATTCAGCTCTTTATTCAGAACCATGATGACTAGAATCTTTCTTGGGGGGGGGGGGGCATAGATGAATGGTAAAAATGCCTGTTTTGCATGTAGAAGGTCTCAACTTCAATCTCTGGCATCCCCAGTAGGGCTGGAATAAAACTCCCAGACCCAAACCCTGGAGAGCTGCTTCTGCCAGTCAGTGTAGACCAGGGGTCTGCAATCTTTAAGACAAAAAGAGCCACTTGGACCCGTTTCCGAAGAAAAAAAAACTGGGAGCTGCAGAACTCATCATTATAAAAATAACTTTTTTGTCACTTTTTTATTATTTCTTTGTTTGACCCCTCAGAATTACTCCTCCTCATAGAAATAAACGTTAAATTAACGTTACCTTTTTGTGTGTGTGTTCTTCACTCCCCTTCAAAACAGTGACCAGCGTACATGCCCCCTTTCAATGCAGTGACCAGCGTACATGCCCCTTACAATGTAGCGGGCGGGCAGGCAGGAAGGTGACGTCGGGACGGTGCATGACTAACGCACGCACTGCCCCCATGCGACATCACAGCCAGTACAGCGCCCGCCACAGTGGGGAGTGTTGGGGTGCACAATGCGCCTCCTCCCCTCGCTAGTATCCACCCCGGAGCTGCGGTAAAGGTGTAAAAGAGCCACATGCAGCTCCGGAGCCGTGGGTTGCCGACCCCTGGTGTAGACAATGGTGAGCTAGCTGGACCAAGGGTCTGACTCCACATAAGGCATCTTCATACATCCCTAGTGGGTAAATAGTTTTGTGAATTGTGGTGGATTTTTGTTTTTGTTTTAAGCCATCGTTGCTAGCTCGAGCAATATTGCTCCCTAATACAGTGGTTTCCAAAGTGGAATTTCCTTGGGGGGGCGGCACTGAGAGGCAAAGGGGAGACAGGGGGTGCTGGAGTATCAGACTTTGAAAAGCTAGTGTCACTGGATCAAGTCATCAGTTTTGTTGAATTAATCAAACTGAGAAGTTTGAACTGGATTTTTACTAAATGTGCAATTGTTACTGTTTTTAATTTTATTGTGCTGGTATCTTCCTTAGTGGCTTGTGCAAACTCTTTTTCTGAACAATCCTTTTTCTAGGGTAGGGTAGTGGGCACTGGGGATGAGTTTATGGAACCATGGGGGTAGTGGCCCGAAAAAAGTTGGGGAACTACTGTGTTTGTGGTGCTTAATCAAAATACCCCCATTATGGCTTCTATAAGGGTTGTCTCTCCCCCCTTCCCTTCCTGCTTGATTCCACCTGGTAAATATTATCTTAAATGGTTTGAAGAACCAAATGGTTGACAGCTGCAGCTCCCACCCTTTCTAGCTCTCCTCTTTCTTCCCAGTTTGGATACTTATTCGCACCCCCTTTTTGCATTGTGAAAAGGAGTAGATCAGATGCAGGGTGTGTGTGTGTGCTGCTGTCTGTTCTTGCTGCAGATGTGGTCTCAACAAACGAACTGCATCCATATGTCTCGAAGAGAGGATAAAATTAACTTGCTCTCGCTGTATTTTTATTTTAAAACACAAGTTACTTTTAAAGCAGAGAATTTTCCCATCAAAGCAAAAGCTAGTTCTTGTAAAAACTTAGCTCAAATGGAGCAGAGAAGGTGTGGTTGTTGGGGAACCCTCCCCAATTCAGTGCGCTCTGGTTAAAAAAAACCCCCAAAAAATTGTAACCAGAGAAGTGATTTCTTTCACTGCCAGCTATTAGATTCTGTAGACATTCCTGTATGGTGAAAGTATCTTGTTACAGTAACCCCAGAGTAGCCTAGTGAAGATTTGACGTTTGCTGTGGTTCTTAGAAAATGCTGGGCTCTTTCTCTACGTGATTTGCAAGGATATGTGTTTGAACCAGATTCCAATTTCCATAATTGGGAGAACTGAAGCATTATCTATACCCACCCACCCAAATTCAGTTCTGATCAAAATACAACAGATGAAATCCAGTACCAGAAAAGCGCAAAGTTTGTGCTGTTTGAACCCTTAATGCAGAAAGGTTGTAGCATTTTGGAATATTTAAGTCACACCCAAACTATACATTTAAAGTGATGTAAACAAAATCTGCTCCCTTTCCCTTATGGGGTATCCAAGAGCCCGTACAGAGTCCTTAAGTGGGTTCCCTATCGGCAGAAGAAAATAACAGAGCCCAACCAGAGAATATTGAGAAGCAAAGTGGCTAGTAAGCCTGATCTTTATTGAACTGTTGCAACGGGGTCCTCACACCACATGCAAGAGGGAGGAACGACCCAGAACAATGGTGTGCAAGCCCTTATATAGACTTTTTGAAATTGCTACCCTGTAAGCTTAAGGCCACCCCCCAGTACATCACACATACATCACAGAAAGAGCGGTCTACAGCAGAATCCTAAGGCCAGGATACCTGATAATGGTCACTGATTTCATTACTTGTACAGTCTGGCTACACTTTTGTGATGGTTAATACTTTAGTTCCTGAATCCAGGTCACAGGTTTACCCTATTCATACCCAAATGTGCCCTTAAGGCAGGATTTTCTGAGCACAGAGACAATAGGGAGGCTTTTCGTATTTCCATCCAAACTGCAGAGGAATATTTGAGGTGACTGAAAGAGTCAAAATGACTTTAAGACTGTTTTCCTATACTGTTTCAGACATGTGGTGTGTGTGTGTGTGTGTGTGTGTGTCTGGTCTGTGTGTCTGTGTATCTGTCTTTGCCTGGTACATTTATGAACATTTATTTTATATCTTAGACCTTATAATTCTTATAACAAAAGCATTCTAGTTCCACGTTAACAGACAGAGCTTCCACTCTAGGAATCCTGGGAACTGTAGTTTGAAGAATGCTGACCTCACAGACTTACAGGTTCCAGCAACCTTAACAAACATTTACCTAGATTCTCCATGGCTGTTAAAGTGCTTTAGGAATGCTTTAAATGCAGGGCATGGAGATCACCTAAGTTTAGAGAAAATCCGAGTAAGAGGTGACATGATAGAAGTTTATAAAATTATGCATGGTGTGTAGAAAGTGGATAGAAAAACGTTTTTCCTCCTCTGTGGTAACACTTGGACTTGGGGACATCCAATGAAACTTAATGTTGGAAAATTCAGGACAGATAAAAGAAAATACTTCTCCATATTGCTCGTAGTTAGACTGTGGAACTTGTTCCCACAGGAGGCGGTGACAGCCACCAACTTGGATGGCTTAAAATAGGATTGGACAGATTCATGGTTGAGAAGATGGCTACTAGCCATGATTTCTATGCTCTGCCTCCACAGTTGGAGAGAATCATGCTTCTGAATACCAGTTTGGAAACTGCAAGAGAGGACAGGGCTCTTCTACTCAGATCCTGTTCTGGGGCTTCCCATTGGCTCATCTAGTTGGGCACTGTGAGAACAGGGTGCTGGACTAGGTGGGCCATTGGCCTGATCCAGCAGGGCTCTTCTTAAGTTGTTATGGTCAGATCTGAAACTTCAGAGAGCTTCATTGGAGTGTTTGAGAATTGCTGTAAATAGTTACCATTGCTTTTAGTTTGTGTGCTGTCTTTCTGTGTAGATGTATCCCAAAACTGTTCACAGCTCAAGACTAGCAGTACAGGAGCAAGGGTATGTGTGAAAACATTATTACAATAAACTGGGACTGGAGAACCTTGTTCAGCACCAAAAGTAGTGCCACCTACTTCCAACTCGGACAGCCACTCCAGAAGGATCCCATGGTTGATGGTATTGAAAGCTGCTGAGAGGTTGAGGAGATTTACTGTAACAGGGACACATCTCTTCTGTTTCTCTCCTGATAGAGGTAATCATACAGAGTGACCAAAGCAGTTTCTGTGCCAAAACTGCTAAGCCCTGATTGAAATGGATCTAGAAAATCAGTTTCCTCCAAGAGTGCCTAGATCTGGGTTGTGGCTACCCACTCAGGAACCTTGTCCAAGAAGGAGAGATTAGTAACTGGCCAGTAGTTTTTCCAAATCCAGGGAGGATTTTTTGAGGAGCGGTTTTACCACTGCCTCCTTCAAGCAAGGAGGGACCATCCCCACTCGCAATGAGGCATTAATCACCTCCCTGGCACAGCCAACTGCTCCCTCTCTGCTACTTTTTATCAACTAAGTGGGGCAAGGGTCCATTCCGCAAGTGGTCACCCTGACCAATCCAAACATCTTGTCCACATCCTTGAGCCTTGCAAGCTGAAACTCATCCAACACAGCAGGACTAGGAAATGCTCTGTACACCCCACTGAGCAGAATCAAGATCCTGGTGGATGCAAGCAGTTTTATCCTCAAAATGCTTTGCAAACAAGTCACAGTGAGCTACCATTCGTTTCTACCACCTCTTTTAGGTCAGACTGTAAGCAGGCCCCATACTACCTGGGAAAGCTTCTGGACAGCACAATGCGGATGCAATGGAAGCAGCAAAGTAAGCCTTCTTTGCAGGCTTCACTGCCCACTAGGTAGGCCCAATGATGAGCCCTCACCATTGTTCAGTTGCATTCAGCCGGATCTTTCCTCCACTTGCATTTGAGCCATCTCCTAGCTTGTTTCCTCACCCTAACCTCTGGAGTATGCCAGACATCAAACTGCTTCCCTTACAAATGACATGCATTTCATGCTAACTGTTGCTGTCCAGACAGGTGTCTCTTATTTTGTTTGATGAAGCTAAACAGCTTTTGTTAAACATGGGACAGGTGTGTTAGTGTTTTGCATGAAGGGGGAAATAAGCCCCTGTCTTTCTCTCCTTCATTATGCATTTCTTCCTAGGCCTTCTGCTGCTTTATTTGGTTCCAGACTGTGTGTTTTCCATCCATCCATCTCCTCAGTCTCCCCAGTGAATCTAGTATCTTGCTTCCTCACAAAAGGCTTGGCTCCTGCCTATCACCCACTTAAAAGAAACACCCTGTTGTAATGAAACTGGGTGTGTAGTGTCATGGGAAGATGTGTTTCGCAAGTGTGAAAGGTCATATGCCTGCAGGATCCCTAACAATATTTATTTACACACACACACAGAGAGAGAGAGAGAGAGAGAGAGAGAGAGAGAGAGAGCAGTCGCTGTAGCAAGTTATTTGTGACCATCATGTGCACAGTGAGCGTGCATTGATTTCTTTTCCCCTCTGATTTCCATTGAGCATGCATAACAGGATGCAATATTAAAGCAGCAAGTTGGAATACAGGCGAGGTATCCTTTCTGAGTTGCTCAGACTTTGTGTTGGGCACCAGGGTACATGATCTGGCCGTATGTTCTCTTTGCTGATAGATTAAGACTCTGCCTATCTCTGTTGAGCAGATCGCACCTGTGTCTGATGTCACAGGTGCATGATGGTGATGCGATATTTAGAAAATTTGGCACCACCTCTGCCTGATACTGGAAGCCAAAGCTCTGTGGTGAAGCCCACATTTTATTCATGCATGCATGCATGCACACACATACATATATTCCAGAGTGGTTTACAACCACAGTAAATATATACTGCCCGCCGCCTGGCCACCTGCAGGGAGACAGTTCCACCCTGCCCTCCTCCCATTTCTGTGGAAGGAAAGCCACATTCTTGTCCATGGGATTCACCTCCCAGCTACTATAAAAGTCCTGCTGCACCTTTGGGACTGTGGAGACTCCAGTCCACAAATGCTGCCGCTGTAAGGAAATGTGCAAGTCCTCAAAAAGTGCACCAATATTTGTTCTTGTTGCAATGTGCTAAAGGTAGTCTGGTGGAGATTAGCTGTAGTGGAAAAGTTAACTGAAAAAGCAGACATTGAGGGGAGTCAGTCTGAAAAGTACAAGCTGAACATGAGTCAACAGTGTGATGCAGCAGCGAAAAAAGCTAATGTTATTCTAGGCTGCATCAACAGAAGTCTAGTGTCCTGATCAAGGGAAGTCATAGTATCACTTTATTCTGCCTTTGTCAGACCACAGCTAGAGTACTGTGTCCAGTTCTGGCACTACAATTTAATAAAGATACTTATAAGCTGGAAGTTGTGCAGAGGAGGGCAACCAAGATGATCAGGGGTCTAAAAATCAAACCTTATGAGGAACAGTTGGGGGAGCTGGGTATGTTTAGCCTAGAAAAGAGGAGACTGAGAGGTGATATGATAGCATTTTCCGTCTCTAAAGGGCTGTCACATGGAAGATGGAGCAAGCTGGTTTTCTGCAGCTCCAGAGGGCAGGACCTGAACCAGTGGCTTCAAGTTGTAAGAAAGGAGATTCTGACTGAATATCAGTAAGAACTTTCTGATGGTAAGAGCAGTTCAACAGTGGAATGGGCTTCCTCAAGAGATGGTGGGCTCTCCTTCTTTGGAGGTTTTTAAGCAGAGGTTGGGTGGCTATCTATCATGGATGCTTTAGTTGAGATTCCTGCGTTGGACTAGATTACCCTCATGGTCCCTTCCATCTCTACAATTCCGTGATTAAATGAAAAACCATACTAAAATAGTTAACATCAGAAATTAGCTATTGTGGAAATATGTATACTTAATAGCCTGCATAGGGCTGGTGGAATAGAAATGTTTTCAGCAGATATTTAAACGCTGAAACAAGGTGCCTGCTGAATCCCTACTGGCAGAGTATTCCGCAGGACTAGGCCAATAAAACTAACGGCTTGGCTCCTTGTTCTTGTCAAATGAGTCTCACCAACTGAGGGAATAACTAACAACCCTCCTGCAGGTGGTCTCAGTGATTGAGCTGGGATACACGGGTTCAGGCAGTCCTTGAACCACCCTGGATCTACGTTGTTCAATATTTTGTAAATTAATAGCTTGAACCTGGCTTGGTAGAAGATGGGCAGCCAGTGCATCTGTTTTAACAATGGTGCCATGTGCTGTCAGCCAGATGCCCCCATCAGCAGTCTGCCCACCACATTCTGCACCATCTGGAGCTTCCGAATCAGACCCAAGAGCAATTCTACATAGAGTGCATTGCAGTAATCCAGGCTTGAGGTTACCAGTGCATGGACTACAGTGGTCAGGCTATCCGTGTTCAGGAATGGCTGATCTGGCAAACCAGACTGAGCTGGTAAAAGGCACTTCTAGCTACAGAGGACACTTGAGCTTCTAGTTATAGAGATGCTCCTTCAGAGCTGCTGCAGTTCTTCAGGAGTGCTGAATACAGTACAGAATCCAGTCATTCTACACTCCATTTACCTTAAAAATATATATATATTGCTGTGCAGTAATACTGCTTAGTCTTGTATTTATCCTGGACTGTCCACACATCCTTCCGCTTTATTAGGTTTGTGATGCTTCCACTGTGTTACTGAATTATTGCCATATGGAGCAGACACTGTTGTGTAGTGCTACAAAAGTGGTTGAGTGGGGGACCAGAACATCTGGGGTATGAAAAGTTACAGGATTGCAGCAGGAAGTTACAGGACATGCATCAATTGGAAACAAACCTCAAAACATTTGCAGGAGCAAACCATACTGAAAATGGAATTGTGTGTAACCACCCGATGCCTTCTTACATGCAAATAATCATGAATGCACAATGAAATTGATGCCTGGAGGGACTGTGTGTTGTTCTGAAGTGTTTCTTCAAAGAAAGTCACTGGGTCAGGTGACCCAGAGGTTGCATTAGAAGAGCCTGCTGGATCAGGACATAGGCACATGTTGTCCAACATCATGTTCTTACCAGGGCAAGCCAAATGTTTATATGGGAAACCTGTAAACAGGACTGGAATGAAAGAGCTCTCTCTCCTGCTGCAGTTTCAAGAAACCAGTATTCAGAAACATTGCTGCTTCCAACTATGGAGGCAGAACATAGCCACCATGGCTAGTAGCCATTGATAGTCCTCTCCATGAATTTGTCTAATCCTGTTTTAAAGCTATCTTGGTTGGTGGCCATCATTGCCTCCTGTAGGAGTGATTGTCAACTGTGAAGAAGTTCTTCCTTTTTCCTGTTTTGAATCATCCAATATTCAGCTTCATTGGAAGTCCACGAGTTCTAGTGTTATTAGAGATAGAGAAGGTTTCTCCATCCAATCCGCCATGCCATGCAAAATTTTATAAATTTCTATCATATCACCTCTTACCCACCATTTCTCTAAGCTAAAAAGTCCCAAATGCTGCAACCTTTTTGTTCACCCAGTTTGGCGAGATCCTTTGGTGTTTTTTTGTTTTTGCATGCTGCTTACGTTGTGTCTGAAAACATGGACACTTAAATGTTCTTCATAATGATCTAATAAATATAGGGCTAAGATCTCAAATGACTAGCATAGGACTCAGTACCTCTTTTCCTTGATAAGTGAAATTGATTTTCTGCTATGAAACTTGAACCAAATTGGAAGTTAGCAATTTCAGGACCCCACTCATCAGTTACTACAGCCAGTTCCAAAACTGCTGCTATTTTGAGGGTGGGATTAAATCATACCCTGTCAAATTCAGGCTGGGCACAGTTGGGCCATTTGCACAGCAAACACAACCTCCCCCCCAAAAAAAATCAGACACTTTGATCAGGAGAGTGATAGAGAAATGGTTTGGTATCACATCTTCTAACCTTCCTGGAATGAATGCTCAGCAAAACAGCCATTGTTGTTGCCATTGTTCCTTGCAAAGTTTGGTGCAAGCAACATCAGGAGGGAAGCTGAATTAACATGTGACCTACGATGCATGTGAGCTCTGTGAGTGCAGCTTTCTCCCTATTGAAGTGCAGAGTATTTGAGGACTGGGACATTCGCAGAGAAACCAAAATGCTTGTTTACAAAGCTATTGTACTACCAACCTTACTATATGCTTGTGAAATATGGACCACTTATAAACGCCATCCCCAGCTCCTCGAAAGATTCCATCAACTGTGTCTCCGAAAATTTTTACATATCACTTGGGAAGACAGGCAAGCTAATATCAGTGTACTGGAAGAAGCAAAGATCACCAGTGTTGAAGCAATGATTCTTCAACATCAACTTCGTTGGACTGGTCATGTTGTGCGGATGCCTGATGATCATCTTCCAAAGCAACTACAGTGGTACCTCGGGTTACATACGCTTCAGGTTACAGACTCCGCTAACCCAGAAATAGTACCTCGGGTTAAGAACTTTGCTACAGGATGAGAATAGAAATTGTGCTCCGGCGGCCCAGCGGCAGCAGGAGGCCCCATTAGCTAAAGTGGCGCTTCAGGTTAAGAACAGACCTCCGGAACGAATTAAGTACTTAACCCAAGGTACTACTGTACTCTATTCCAAACTTAAAAATGGAAAGCGTAATGCTGGTGGTCAACAAAAGAGGTTTAAAGACTGTCTCATGGCAAATATAAAAAAATGTAGTTGCAACTGGGAAACACTGGCATGCGAGCGCTCCAGTTGGAGAACAGCCTTTACCAAAGGTGTTATGGGCTTTGAAGACACTCGAACTCAGGATGCAAGGGAGAAACGTGCTAAGAGGAAGGCACGCTTGGCAAATCCACACCGTGATCAACTCCTGCCTGGAAACCAATGTCCCCACTGTGGAAGGATGTGTGGATCCAGAATTAGCCTCCACAGTCACTTACGGACTCATTGTTAAAACCGTGTTTATGGAAGACAATCTTACTCGGCTACGAGGGATCGCCAAAGAAGAAGAAGAAGAAGAAGACGACGACGATTAGGGGTGTAATTCAGCATATTTTCCCGTTCTGCCCCATATTTGTTGCCTGCAGCCTTGGATCTGTTCTGCTGCAATTCACTTTCTATCAAAAACCATGTTATTTGTCTCACTGCCTGCTGTGAGGAAATCGTGTAGCACACATAATTAATCATGTAAATTATGTAACTTAGGTTGTCATTAGGTCATTCCTCCCCATTCATTCCAGTGCAAAGGAAAATAAATGCATTTAGGGGTGGGGGACCATAATCAATTACCTATTGTTTGCGTGCTGAAGGCAGCAAAAGTAGCAGCAATTATCAGTTGTATTCACTGGGTTGCTTTCTGTTGCAGACATAAAGTGAACACCGGCAATTTCCCCTCCTGTGTCTGTTTTTGTCGGAATGTTCTGACATCCCTAACCTTGAGGGAAGCTGTCATGGCGTGCCATTGTTTGAGGAAGTGGGCCTGTAATTGGCAGCCGAGGAAGTAGCTGCAGTGCAGAAGGAAGTCTGTCGCTTCACTTTAAAGGATGCTTTTGTGGGGAGGTGATTATGATGTCTGCAAGTCCACGGGACGTGGCACTTGTTGTTGATAGATGTTGGATGTTGTCTTTCCGTTGGACCTGCCTTGCAGTTGGTACAGCTTGGAAGCTGATTTCCCCTGTAGGTTTCTAGTGTTTGTTTGAGAGGAGAAATGCAAAGTTTAGTCTGGGGTGGAAGCTCCTGACTTCAAGAGCTTTTGTGTGGGTGGGTGGATATGTCAACTGCAAATAGGGATTGAAGGATATTTTTAATGTTCTGGTTCTGTCTGTTTCTCATCTCTATCCCTCCCTCTCTCCCCCCCGCCCGCCCCAAGTTCTCCACCTTTCTGCACCTATTTGCATTAGAGGGGAGCAGCTGAATTCTCATAAATATTTTTGTGTTAATTTCTCCCAACAAACTTTGTATGATTTTTTTTTTACTAATGGTACACATTTTTGCAAAGGCTTCCCTGTAATGTAATGTATTTCTTTAATCTGTTTGTTTATTTCATAAAATTTACACCCTGCTTTATTGTAAACAAAAAAAAGACCCTCAAAGTACACCTTCTTTATGGCAGCCTCACCTAAAGAAAAAACTTCTCAGTCATTGGCACCACCAGTGAATTTTTCCAGTCCTTTTTTAAAGCCATCCATGTTGGTGGCATTCACCACCAGGTGAGCACAACTTCCTTATGGCACTTTAGAGAGGCGCATTTGAATCTGATTTAGTGGAAAAGAGAAGGAGAGACAGGCACACACACAGATTTGAATGTGCCTCTCTAAAGAATTTGGCTCCCTGTTTGGAACAGATGCTTCTGCGAGGAGGAAGTAAAGGTGAAAAGAGGTGTTTTAAGATGTGTACGTGTGCTTCTCCTAGTGTGGAGGCTGTGGTGGGAAGTAGGGTGGGAAGTGGTGTGTTGTAGAGCACAAGTGAACAGGAACCCTGGAGAAGCAGTAGCAGACTGAGGCTGATCAGACCCAGTGACTAGTGAGCTTCGAGCTCAAGAGCCTCCTCCTCAGCAGCTCCCCTATGCCGCATGTGAGAGAGGCATTGCTCAAATCTGGAAATGTTGCATTGATTTAAATACGGGTGCCACCTTAACTAGTGACAGTTTCTGTAGCATAGTGCTTATTATGTTTGCCTAACACGCAAAAGATCCTCAGTTCAAAACCAGGTAGAAACAATTAAAGTGTCAGACAGGGACCCAGGAGAGACCAGGATTCAAATCCCCACTGGTGCCAAAGAAGGACAGAGTTTTTTTCATGTATGCTACAACAGCAGCAAGAATACTCATTGCAAAGCACTGGAAGACACAAGACTTACCTACCAGGGAAGAATGGCAGATGAAGCTGATGGACTACATGGAATTGGCGGAAATGACTGGCAGAATCCGAGACCAGGGAGAAGAGTTGGTGGAAGAAGATTGGAAAAAATTCAAAGCTTATTTACAGAAATATTCCAAAATTAATGAATGTTAGAAAGGTGCTGGAAAGAAGTTATATGACTTTAGTAGAAATATTATAAAGAATCAAGTATGAATAGATTGACATTGGGGGAAAAGGTAAATTTAAGTCTAAAATTGCATTAAGTTAAACCATGGAACTAAATTTGTGAAAGAGGGAAAGGACTTGCTGGAATATTTAATTGAACTAGAATACAAAAAAGGAGGTGTGAGGAAGTCGAAATAAGCAAATGAAAGATAAGGATATGAAAATATGTGGTTCTTTTGTATGTTTGTTTGTTCTTTTTGGGGTTTTTCTTTTCCTTTTTAATGCTTTTGTCTTCTGACATTGGGGAAAAAGGTAAATTTAAGTCTAAAATTGCATTAAGTTAAACCATGGAACTAAATTTGTGAAAGAGGGAAAGGACTTGCTGGAATATTTAATTGAACTAGAATACAAAAAAGGAGGTGTGAGGAAGTCGAGGAAATAAGCAAATGAAAGATAAGGATATGAAAATATGTGGTTCTTTTGTATGTTTGTTTGTTCTTTTTGGGGTTTTTCTTTTCCTTTTTAATGCTTTTGTCTTCTTTTTTTTTCTTTTTGTATTGTTGATGTTTTGTATTTCTGTATTTATTTTTGTTTTTGAGGTCTTGTAATTTTTTATTGCTCATAATTTTAATAAATATTTTATAAAAAAAAACAAAAAAACAGATCCCCACTGGGCCATGAAACTCACTGGGTGTGACCTTTGGCTACTCATTCACTCAGCCTAACCAACCTCTCAGGGTTGTTGTGGGAAGCTATGTACACCACCTTAAGCTTCTTGGACAAAAAAGTAGGATGTCAACGTAAAAAATGAACACATATGGATGGACAAATACGTCAAATTTTCATTTCCCCCAAAAGTTCAGTTCAGTTCAAAAACATCAGTTTTTGAATTCTTCTGTCATGAAAATTTATCTGCATTTTAGTGTGAATTTATCCTAATATGCACATTTTTAATATGCAGTTTTGCCTAAAATGTACTGATTTGCAAAGCAATCTGCCTTAGTGCAATGCATTTGTGTGTGTGTGTGTGTGTGTGTGTGTGTGTGTGATTTTCATTAACATACTCATTTTTGTACACACTTCCCTTGCTATGTAATTATTTGTACATATCGCTTGGCTGGAGAACTATGTGAATTTTGGAGGATTTCTGTGTTTTGGTTTCTTGTATTTAGTTGAGAAAAAAACCAAACCTGGATAGATTATGCTTGCTGGAAGGATGCTGGAGTTGGTAGATTGAAATTTAATCATCATCAACAACAACATCATCATCATCATCATCATCATCATAATCTGCCTTTCTTTTCAATAAGAAATACCCAGGTGGTTCAGAAATTGACATAACATCAAAATAACAAGAATCAAATTATTGTAAAAAGTACAGCTACCTGTAATTAAAGTACATAGCAAACAAACCCCCCCCCCTACATTAAAGCATCCTTAACATAATAAACAAGCCCATCAGGACAATGTGACAATTTAAATAGCAATCAAAGCAGAAGGTTCAAGTCAGATATTGGGGATGTCTGCTGAAGCAGGTGGTCTCTTCAAAAGCAGGCTTTGTTCTCAAATAACAAAGCAGGAGATAGATGTTGTCTTTTTACTTCTGCCACTGAAGTTCATACTACATGGAGTGCAAACTTTCAATACATGTGAAGTTCTTCAGATTCTATGTTCAAGAAAAGCATCACAAAATGTGTGTGTGTGTGTGTGTGAGAGAGAGAGAGAGGGGGGGAGAGAGAGAGAGAGAGACCTTCGGCATGCAAAGCAAGTGCTCTGTCACTGAATTTACACCCCTCCCTAAATTTGGCTGCCAATAGGTCCTGTTGTTAAGGATTCAGATATTCTTGGAAGTTGTGCAATTTTCCATCTGTCAGCCGTGATTGTGTGGTCACTCAGGCCTAATAGGTTTCAAGATCTATGGCCAATGAGCACTATGAAGATACGGGTGATACTTTGCATCATGTCCTGCTTTCAGGTTTCTGTTCAAGGCATCTAGTTGGCCACTGTTAGAATAGGATGCTGGACTAGATGGGCCTTTGACCTGATCCAGGAGGTATCTTCTTACAGTCTCCCTCCATTGTCGGAGGCAGTATGCCTCTGAATGTCAGCTACTGGGACCCGCAACTAGGTAGGGGGTTGCTGTTGTTTGTAAAGTCCTGCTTGCAAGCTTCCCCTAAGCATCTAGTTGACCACTGTCAGAACAGCCTGCTGGACCAGATGGGCCTCAGTTGGCCTGATCCAGCAGGGAGGCTGTTTCTATCTCTTTATGAAGATCACTCAAAAGTAAATAGTTTTCCTTGATTTCCAAGTTGTGCTTTCACTGTTCTCCTGAAGTCTGGCCTGTTGCGTCTCCTCATCTCAAAAGAGAGCAAGTAATTTGGCGCAGAGAGAAGGGAGGGGTCAAATTTTTAACATAAACATGAGGGGAGGGGAGAGCGAGGGGAGTTCTCATGCTGTTCACAGCGTGGCCTCTCTCCAGGATCTTGATTCAAGACCTGGCATGAGCCCTTCACCACTTGTCCTTGGTCGTGGTGTAATTGGAGGGGAAGACAGTGCTGGATTTCCGGCCTTCCTGTTGAATCAGTCCCCATTGGGAGGCATTTTTTCTCACTGACCGAGGTTACATGACATCCCACTGTGTACAGTTTACAGTAAAGCCTTTGCACAGGGAGGATGGAGCAGCAGCAGGGGGTGAGGGGGCAGCCTTTTCTCTCTGCACTGCTCTTCACTGATGTCATCTTTCCACCATCTCCAGCTGTTTGCTGTCTGTTTATTTCAGGTGTTTACCCAGCTGATGATGTCACACACACACACACACACACACACACAGCACATCCAATATGTATGGCGCCTCTTTGCTTGATAAAGGGAGCTTTTTAATGGGCTTGACAAGATCAAAGCATTCTTCGGGGTAAAATGATTAATCAGCTTAATTTTCTCCAAGTGGCTCTTCTGTTTCTCTCATAATTGTCGTAATTAAAGCGCTGCGGGGATGATAAAATGGGTAATCTGTGTGTACAAAAAAGGGACAGATGAGTGGGGTGGGGGGGAAGGCTGAATCCCCGTAGCATGTTTGAAAACTTAATTGTTTTACAGCCCATCAGACCTTTCTTCTTTTCTAGGTATTTTGCCTTGGTGAATAAGGCAGCTTTTGAGGAGAGCTCTGCAACCAAAGCTGGTGTGTTTGTGTGCAGATAGCTATAGGATAGGCCTTTCAGAGCAGGTGGTGGGTGGCACTGTGGTCTAAACCACAGAGCCTAGGGCTTGCCGATCAGAAGATCGGCGGTTCGAATCCCTGTGACAGGGTGAGCTCCTGTTGCTCGGTCCCAGCTCTTGCCAACCTAGCAATTCAAAAGCATGTCAAAGTGTAAGTAGATAAATAGGTACCACTCCAGTGGGAAGGTAAACAGTATTTCCGTGCACTGCTCTGGTTCTCCACAAGCGGCTTAGTCATTCTGGCCACATGACCCGGAAGCTGTCTGCGGACAAATGCCGGCTCCCCTGGCCTATAGAGCGAGATGAGCGCGCAACCCCAGAGTTGTCCGCGACTGGATCTAACAGTCAAGGGTCATTTTACCTTTACCTTCAGAGGAGACCCATTAAAATTAATGGGCCTATTCTGAGTAGGGCAAGCATTGGATACAACCCATAATTTCAAATTCTGTTCATGGTTTTTATTGTAATGTATATTCAGATGTACATTCCAGTCACTTCTCTCTTGGCCTAACCTACCTCACTAGGTTGTTGGGATTGAATGAGGACAGAGAGGGCCATGTACTCCACTTTGAGCTCCTTGGAGTAAAAAGTGAGATAGAAATGCAAAAAATAAAAAAAATGAATAATGCTTGCAATATATTTACATAAAATCATAAAATTATAAAACAACATTGTTTACACACACACACACACACACACACACACACACACACACACATAAAATCATAAAACAACATTGTTTACACACACACACACACACACACACACACACACATAATATAAATCAGCCAAAATACAAAATAAATGTCCTTTAACAGTGGTTCTCAAACTTTTTTCTCTGGGCCACACTTTCAGAATAAAAGTTTGCTCATGCCACACCAATTTTATATTGATAAATACACTGGAAAACAAAAAGAAACAACTCCTGGCAGTGCTTGATTTATAACATAGAACACAAGTACTTTATAATATGATCATGGGACATCCAGAAAGTATAAATCAACGCAGCTACGTAAGAACGTGAATCATTCTCACAATATAGCGATTCTGGATCACAACTAGGAGTGTCCTCAGTATCACTTGATGCTCTTGCTCTAATATTCTACTAATAAAAAATATTATTTTGACATTATACTATACTATTCTACACTGGAATGTTAAAATGTTTATTTGATTGTCCTTGAATATTCCCACCACACTTGCCATCCTCTCCTGATTAGTGGTGGAGCGTACCCCACCAGCACCTGGGGTGGGTATACTCTGGGCAATAGGGTGGGGGTGCTGGGGGCAGAGCATCTGCATCCTTCTTAGCCGGAGGGACGCAGCAGCTCTGTGCCCTGGCCCTGTGCTGCTTTTAAGTCAGTGTGGAACCTGTAAGGGCACCCTTGCAGCCTTGGGTCCCAGCATCAGAGAGGGGCAGTGCTGCCTCTCCCATGCTTTGGGACTGCACTGCACAGCCTGCCTGGCTGCCCCTCACAGCGCCCTGTAAGCCCAGCATCGCTTTGCAAGAATTGCAAAAATGACGCTGGGCTTGCAGGATGCATGAACTCTTGCAGTCTTCTCAGGCACCCTCCAGGCTCCAACAGGAGGGCGACTGAGGAGGAGGCAACAGGCAAGCATCATCCCCATGCTGCTTTTGCGAGCGGCGCTGGGCTTGCAGGATCCCTGAGCTGTTGCCTCCTTCTCAGGCGCCCTTCTGCTGGAGGGTTCCTGAGAAGGACACAACAGCTAACCATAGGCAGGGCGTCAGGAATGCCCCCCCCTCGAAACAATGCCCGGTGCATCGGCACCCCAGCAACCTCCACACTACGCCTCTGCTTCTGATACACAAGGCGCTCCACACCCTTTGAGAACCACTGCACTAAGCACATTCAAAGCAAAACTGTGATTAAGAGAAAAGGGGAGGGGGGACCAGATTCTTTTTTGAAAATTAACCTTTTTCTTCCCCTCCCCTTTTCATTTACTTTTCCAGAAGCGCTTCAGAGGCCAGTAGCCTCTGAATTTGAGCCCCAGGGCCTAAGTGAAGCCGTCCGCTGGAACTCCAAGGAGAATCTGCTTTCGGGTCCCGGAGAAAATGACCCCAACCTTTTCGTTGCCCTGTATGATTTTGTAGCAAGTGGAGACAACACTCTCAGCATAACTAAAGGTAAGAGATGTATGTCAGGATCAGACTACAAAGTGTGTATGAGACCAAGTGTGCGTCCAGATTGTCATTATTTTCATTCAGAACAGTGCTTGTCCAAAAACAGTGCATGGCCTGAAAGGACAAACTATGGGGAGGGCATAGGGAACAAGCAAACTCAGGCACCAAATCCCTAAACAGTAGCTTTTATAATATGTAACCAGACAGAATTGAAGGAGGTCAATGAGGTTGGTATTCCAGTCTTCCTTCTATCTCTGCAGCAGCCTGCTGATGGGCTCCCTCCTTTGTTCATTCCATCTATATGAACTTCCAATTTGATGCTGAGCTGAAGTCCAGGTTCTTGGTGCTAGTGCTAAACTCGACAAAATGTGTCTCTGGTGTCTTTGAAGGAGCATCTTCTCTCAATATGGGCCTTGAGATCAACTTTGGTCTCTTTGCTCTGAGATGAAGATGTGTGGAGTTTGGAGCTGCCTTGGGAATGGCACCACAGTGGTTCTCCCTGCCCCCCCCCCCCATCACTTCTCTTCATGCAGAAGTTTTAAAACCAATTTTCAGCTCCCATTCCCCATATCAGATCTGTTTCACACGGATAGCAATGTGGGAACCCTCTCTGGAAATGGTGGGTGCCTTTTTTTCCACTGGGATTCTTCCAGCGGGCACACCTGGAACAGTGAAGTTGACCATGTCCATGCTGGTTCCACACCAGGGTTAGGAAAGATTTTTCAGCCTGAGGACTGGCCCACCCTCCACAGGCCATTTTTGGCAGGTGGATGAGGACACCTATCCGGTAATTGCCTGGTTTAAGATGACTCCAGGTGGTTCAAAGTTCAAGTTGCAGGAGCAGACAGAGGCTTGCCTCTGATCTCAGTGCTGTAGTCACACAGCTCTAAAATCAGAGATGACCTTTTGCTTGCTCTTTAAGAGTCAACAGGCAGAGGCTTATCTCCAGTCTTAGCACTCTGGGATAACAGTGCTAAGTCTTTGCTGCTGCTTTTTACCATCAAAGAGCAAGCTGCCTCTTGGATCTTCGTACTTAGATTGGAGATAACAGATCTCTACAGCTGGTATCATATGATGTAGGGTGATTGACAAGTGGGCATGTTTTGCCCCAAATGCCCTTGTAGACCAAATTCAAAGGCCTCCTACAAGATGTGGACCAGAGGTTCCCTACCCCTGATCTACCTGATGACCACTCTTAGCAACCATGTGATAACGCTTTCTGCAATTGTGACTTCTGGCTTCATAAAAATTGTTTCCAGTTCAAAAATTAAGCAGATTCAGATTATTTCCCCCTCTGATGCTTTTAAATTTGCATTTGTCTGTTGGGTTTTATTACCACATGCTGCCTCAGATGCTTGCCTGTCCATGTAAAAATAAACACTGTATGTGCTGTTTTTATTTAATCCATTGATCCATCTTTTGATTATAGTCAATGACCAATATTCGTTCTTTTTGTTTTAATTGTTTTAATGGAAAGGTGAAAAGCTCCGCGTCTTGGGCTATAACCACAATGGGGAGTGGTGTGAGGCCCAGACAAAGAATGGGCAAGGCTGGGTCCCCAGCAACTACATCACCCCCGTGAACAGCTTAGAGAAGCACTCATGGTACCATGGGCCAGTGTCGCGGAATGCGGCAGAGTACCTGCTGAGCAGTGGGATCAACGGTAGCTTCCTGGTGCGGGAAAGTGAGAGCAGTCCAGGCCAGCGGTCCATATCGCTGAGATACGAGGGAAGGGTTTACCACTACCGGATCAACACTGCATCTGATGGGAAGGTGAGAGCAGACCCTGGTTGACCTTCCAGGCGTATCTTATTTATTTATTTTACATCATTTTTTTGCTAAAAGCATGCATGGTGGTTAGACCACTACTGTTCTTTCTTGAGCATTTGTTCTGATTCATCTGTGGGACGGGGTTATATGATAGCAAGCATTCATCCTGGTTTGCTCGCAGCTTGCTCACATGTCTCTCCGTTCATTGTCCATTCATCGGTTTGTTTCTCCATAATTTTCCAAACTACAAAAAAATTGTGTGTGCATGTGTTTGGTATGGCTTTGTTGGGTGAGGGTAGCAGAGCCAAGTACTGCTGGTTTCCAAATGGATCATTGGAAGATTGAAAACCTGTGAAGATGACAAAATATAAATAAATGAATAATAGCAAGAACAAATGACAAGAAAGGAGATTCTGACTAAACATTGGATATGTTTAGCCTGTAGAGCAGAAGACTGAGGGGTGATACGAGAGCCATCTTCAAAAATCTGAGGACTTCCGGGTTGGCGCCATCGATAATGGCGGATTTCCTCTGAGTCTCTGAGGGACCAGCTCCGCGGGATCGGGTCTTACCGCTGCGGCGAAGCGGGGGCCCTTTAAAAATCACAGGCGGGCGAAGCCTGTGAACATGGGGACTCGGCGGGCACCTTTTGTGCCCCCCCAAGTCGCGAAGGGACCCTTTTAAGGGCTCCGGAGCGGGACGGGGTGAGTGGTGCGGTGCTGAGAGTCGACTGCTTCTTCCGCGGAGTGAAGCCGCATAGCCGTTATCGGAGAGCGCTGACTTTTTCCTGGGACAATTTGACTTTGAAAGCAACTACCCTTAAGTAGGATTAAATTGGATTTAAAGGGGAAAAACAAGTTAATTCGGCACCAAAGCGGGAAGGTATAAACAGGAAGTCTGCCTTCCTTTCTTGTAAATAGATCAAAGCAAAGAGACTGTAAGCGGAAACTCGGAAAGACGTTTGAAAAAAGACTTAAATCTTAACATCTGGAAAGAGATCTCCCCTCCGGATTGCAAGAGAGGAGGGGGGAAAGGTTTGAACTGTATTTATCTGCAAAAAAAGGGGGAAAGGAAGTTAAAATCCACTGCCTAAAACCTGGGAACGGACTGCCCCGAGATAAGGAATGCCATTTTGTGGAAAGCCTATCGGTAAGCAGAGGACTTTTGACAGCTAACTCTGCAAAAGAGATACAGTGTTTCTGAACTTCTCCTAGTTTTAAAGTAACTGATTAAGTGCAACTGAAACTGTTGTTTTTATGTGAATTGGGGGACTTATAAGGACTATTTTCTTTTTTAAAAGTTGCAAGCTTTGGCTGTTACTGTGTCCCCCTAGAGGAGGCTTGACATTGCTACAATAACAACTGGGGCTAGAGGGATTTTCCATTCCAAAACAAATTTCCAGCCGTGGGATCGATCTTGAATTCTCATGAGAGTGTTATGGCAGATGGAAGAGGAAAGTTAGAGTTGGCGCAGGAAAAAACTACTAGGTCTGGCAGACCCTATCGGACAGATACTACGTTGCAGTGAAGGGCTTCAACATCTGGACCATCTGGAATACCAGGGGCTGCACCTGCACAGGTTAAACCAAAAGTTATGTCGTCCGAAGACGTTTTGGCACAGGCACTTGGAAAAATTAATGAATCTTTGGAAAATTTAGCTAGACAAGTAGCTGAAACAAATAAACAAGTAGCTGAAGCATCAGCTAAAATTGACCAGAATACTACAAGCATCAATAATTTGGGACAGAAGGTGAATACCAACACAGAGTCTATTGAAAAATTACTACAGGAATCTGCTTCGACTCGAAAGATAGCTGAAGAAGCAAAAGATATAGCAACTGCTACTCAAGAGAAGATACCACCGGTATATAAGCAACTGGAGGACCACGGCTTGACATTGTCTATGATTGAATTGAAAGAGAAACAAAGAAATTTAAGAATCAGGGCTGTACCAGAACGTGAGAAAGACAATTTGGCTGATTTTCTTACACAGGAATTCGCAGATTTCTGGCAACAGGATTTGGGGAAGGAAGAATTTAAGATAGAGAGTGCATTTAGACTTGGAAGAGGAGGAAGGAGGAATAAGGTGAGAGACTGCTTGATTACCCTTCGAACAAAAGAGGAGAGAGACAAAATTTTGAATCTGCATTACCAAAAGACTTTGGAAATTTACGATTCAAGTGTGGAGATATTCAAGGACATTCCAAAACATCTTTTGGACTTAAGGCTCAACTACGGAGATCTGGTTGCCCTGCTGAGAAGAAACAGAATCATCTTTAGGTGGGAATTCCCTCAAGGCCTGTCCTTTAAATATAAAGGAAGAAAGATAAAAATAAGATCAGTCAATGACAAAGATAGGTTTCTGAAGGATCACGGAGAAGATCTACAGAAAGAAGTGGAATCCGGAGAAGAGCCAAAAGCACTGGAAAAGGAATACTAGACATAGCAAATTTATCTTTTGGACTGCATGGTCCAGAGAAAGAGATACCACTGACAGAACAAGAACAGACACTTGGCGCAGTTGGAGGTAAAGTGAAGTAACCCCATCATGGCTCTGCAACTGTTAAGTTGGAATTGTAATGGTTTGAACTCTCCTCGAAAGAGAAAAAGTGTTTTTCATTTACTAAAAAAGGAACAATTGGACTTGATTTGTCTACAAGAAACACATGTAACAAGGTTACACAGGAAACTACTGATTAATAAGAGATTGGGACAGGAGTTTATCTCATCTGACAAAGTCAAAAAAAGAGGAGTTGTGATATATGCAAAGGAGAGACTATCACCGAAATTAATTTTTAAAGATGACCAAGGAAGATTTTTGGCAATTGAAATTCAAGTTCAAGGAGAGAAATTTTTGATAGTAGGAATTTATGCACCGAATGAGGGGAAATCTGAATTCTTTAAAAAGTTGCATGAGACCTTATTGGATTATTTGGATTACAATCTGATTTTGATGGGGACATGAATGGAGTAGTATCTACAAACATGGATAAGGCACAGAGACAGGTAGTTACCAAGGATGGTAGACTACCGAAAACATTTTTGAGATGATAGACAATTTTGATTTAGTGGACACTTGGAGAACAAAGAACCCCTTGGGAAGAGAGGGAACCTTCTTTTCTGAAGCTAAGATGACATGGACTAGAATTGACCAAATATGGGTAACTAGAGGAATGGCACCAAAGATAAAGAAAGTGGAAATCTGCCCAAAAACCTGCTCCGACCATAATGCGGTAAGGATGGAGTTGAAACTAACATCAACTGGCTCCTTCAGATGGAGGATGAATGACACCCTATTTAGAGATGAAGAAGTTTATAAAAAGGCCCAAAAAACCTTGAGAGACTATTTTGAAATAAATATGAACACTAATGTAGAAAAAAGAGTAATCTGGGACGCAAGTAAAGCTGTCATGAGAGGGTTTCTGATACAACAGAATGCAATAAAGAAGAGAAGTCAAAATGAGAAGAAAGATAAAATTTTTGGGAAAATAGAAGAAAGTGAAAAGAAATTGAGAGCAAAACCAAAGTCGCAGGAGATTTTGAGAGAAATAAAGTTATATCAAGTACAATATATGGAAATGATGAATCAGGAAATAGAATGGAAAATTAAACAAATGAGACAAAAACATTTGAATCAGCTAACAAATGTGGGAAATTGCTGGCCTGGCAAATGAAAAAAGACAAAAATTAAATACTACCACAAATTTAGAAGTGGAAGGAAAGAATATACATAACCCAACTGAGATTAGAAATTGTTTCCAGAGGTACTTTAAACAACTATATACACAAGGGCCACAGAAGGAAATGGATATAGACCGATTTCTGAAGACAAATGGATTACAAAAAATATCCCAAGAAAGTAAGTTAATGCTGAACTATAAAATATCTGAACAGGAAGTAGAAGGTGCCATTCAAAATATGCAATTAGGCAAATCTCCAGGACCGGATGGGCTGACTTCTAGATATTATAGATTTTTGAAAGAGTGGTTATTACAACCTTTAAAGGAAGTCTGCAATGAAATATTGGAAGGGAAAAGGGCACCAGAGTCTTGGAAAGAGGCGTACATTATACTTATACCGAAGACAGAGACTGAAAAGACTCAGCTTAAGAACTACCGCCCTATATCGTTACTTAATGTGGATTACAAAATTTTTGCAGACATTTTGGCCAAGAGATTGAAAAAGTATTGATGGAAGAGATTCATAAAGACCAAGCGGGCTTTCTCCCGGGAAGACACTTGTCCGATAATTTGAGGAATATAATTGATATTTTGGAAAAACTAGAAGTGAACATAAATACTAAAGCAGTTTTGATATTTGTGGACTCGGAGAAAGCCTTTGACAATATCTCTTGGAGTTTTATGAAGAAGAACCTACAGGGGATGGGGGTAGGCCAAGGTTTTGAAAACGGTATAAGTGCAATTTATTCAGAACAAAAGGCTAAACTAATTGTAAATAATGTGGTGACAGTACAAATTGAGAGCATTTGCAGATGACTTAGTATTGACGTTACAGGAGCCAGAATCTAGTACCAAAAGAGTTTTAGAACTGATTCAAGAATTTGGTCAAGTTGCAGGATTTAAGTTGAATAAGTTAAAGACCAAGGTTTTAGAGAAAAATTTAACACCAATGGAGAGAGAGAGGTTTCAGAATGGGAACTTATTTAAAGATAATTATGAAAAATGCTGGGCTGAAGTGAAAAAAGATTTAGAAATTTGGTCAAATTTGAAGCTTTCACTGCTGGGCCGTATTGCTGCGGTAAAAATGAATGTATTCCCTAGAATGTTGTTTTTGTTTCAAACACTGCAAATTGTGGACAAAATGGACTGTTTCAAGAGGTGGCAGAGAGATATTTCTAAAATTGTCTGGCAGGGCAAGAAGCCTAGAATAAAATTTAAAATATTAACAGATGCAAAGGAACGAGGTGGATTTGCCCTGCCACACCTTAAACTTTACTATGAATCAGCAGCTTTTTGCTGGTTGAAAGAATGGTTGCTTCTTGAAAACACTGACATTTTGGATCTAGAAGGGTTCAACAATGTATTTGGATGGCATGCATATCTGTGGTATGATAAGGTCAAAGCACATAAAGCATTTAAAAATCACATTGTCAGGAAAGCATTGTTTAATGTCTGGATAAGATACAAGGACTTATTGGAAAATAAAACTCCAAGGTGGCTGTCACCGATGGAAGCAAAAGCTCTGAAAAAGCTCAATATGGAGGCCAAATGGCCGAAATATTGGGAAATTTTGGAACAAGACGGAGATAGACTGAAATTGCAGAGTTTTGAGAAATTAAAAAACAAAGTGCGAGATTGGCTTCATTATTATCAGATAATGGAGGCATATAAGTTGGATAAGAAAATTGGTTTCCAGGTGGAAAAATCAAAATTAGAAACAGAACTATTAGAACCCAAAACTAAGATTTTGTCAAAGATGTATAACTTGCTGTTGAAATGGAATACTCAGGATGAAATGGTGAAATCTGCTATGATTAAATGGGCACAAGATGTTGGACATAACATAATGATGGCTGACTGGGAACAGTTATGGACCACAGGTATGAAGTTTACGGCATGTAATGCCTTAAGAGAGAATATTATGAAAATGATATACAGGTGGTACATGACCCCAGTCAAGCTTGCAAAAATTAATCATTTGCCCGATAACAAATGTTGGAAATGTAAAGAAATTGAAGGTACATTCTTTCACCTTTGGTGGACGTGCCCAAGGATTAAGGCTGTCTGGGACAGGATATACAATGAACTGAAAAAGTATTTAAATATACCTTCTTGAAAAAACCAGAGGCCTTTCTCCTGGGCATAGTCGGTCAATTGGTGCCAAAGAAGGATAGAACTTTTTTCATGTATGCCACAACAGCAGCAAGAATACTTACTGCAAAGTATTGGAAGACACAAGACCTACCCACTCTGGAAGAATGGCAGATGAAGTTGATGGACTATATGGAACTGGCAGAAATGACTGGCAGAATCCGAGACCAGGGAGAAGAGTCGGTGGAAGAAGATTGGAAGAAGTTCAAAGATTATCTACAGAAATATTGTAAAATTAATGAATGTTAGAACGATGTTGGATAGAAATTAAGTGGTTTCCAGCTGTAATGCTTTAAGGGAATATGAAAAATGGGTTGTTAAGAGGTAAAAATCTAACGTTACTATTTTAAGACCAAAGATTAGGACAAATAAAGAGGGTAAGGATTTGCTGAACCAACAAACTGAACTGGAATACAAAAAGGGAGGTATGAGGAGGTCCGGGAAACAAGCTAAGGAAAAATAAGCAATGGAAAAATTGAGTGGTTTTTAATCATTTTTATTTTGTATTTTTTTTCTTTTTCATTTGTTATTGTAATATTTAAAAAAATCTTAATAAATATCTTATTTAAAAAAAAAAAATCTGAAAGGCTGTCCCATGAAAGATGGAGCAAGCTTGTTTTTTGCTGCTCCAGGGGGCAGGACCTGAACCAATGGATTCAAATGACAAGGAAGTTGTTGTTGTTTAGTCGTTTAGTCGTGTCCGACTCTTCGTGACCCCATGGACCAGAGCATGCCAGGCACTCCTGTCCTCCACTGCCTCCCGCAGTTTGGTCAGAGACAAGGAAGTACGTAGATTCCAACTATTAGGAAAACCTTTCTGGCAGTAAAAGGTGTTAAACAATGGAGTGAATTCCCTTGGAAGGTGGTGGATTCTCCTTCGCTTGAGGTTTTTAAACAGAGGCTGGCTATCTGTCAGGGAGCCTAGTTGTGATTTCTGCATTGCAGGGGGTTGGACGAGATGACCTTTGAGTATTCATTTCCTATCAATGTTTGGTTTTTATTATTGTTCTATCTATGTTTTTACAGTTCTTGCTTTTAACTATAAGCTGCTTTGAGTCCCATCAAGGGAAAAGGTGGGGTTTAACAACAACAACAACTTTTTGAATATGTTGTAATAATAAATAGCATCTATTATTATTGTTATTATTATTATTATTATTATTCAATTGAAACCCTCTGAGGATGGTAAAATAAGAAACGAGCACTTGTTGTTTTATTGTTGTTTTTATTATTTTTATTACTAGTAATAATTATAATTTATTTTTTTACCTGCCCTTCACAATAAGGTTCCAGGGCAGGTTATAGCAATTTAAAAATACAATACAGTGGTACCTTGATTTGCATACATTTTGGTTTGCATAAGTTTTGGATTACAAACACGTCAAACCCAGAAGTGCGGGTCCCAGTTTGCAACCTTTTTTTGGATTAAAACCCGTTTTGGGGGGATTACGAATGTGGTTTTTTTGGAGGCCCCATTGGTGAAAGCACGCCTTGGATTACAACCTGTTTCAGTCTACAAACGGACCTCCAGTATTATGGTTGTAAACCAAGGTACCACTGTACTGAAAATATTTTACGACAAACTACAGTCACAAGAACCAGGGTAAAGAGGTATGTCTTCAGCACAGGACACAAACTAAGCAGTGAAGGTGCCCAGTACATCTCTGTGGGGAGAGATTTAGATCTTCTTGCTGACATAAGGCAGTGCAGCATCAGCGACAAGGTGTTCTGCCACTTGTAGCCTGCTCCAGCATTGCGATAAGGCACTCTGTTTAGTCTGGCAGCACTCTCAGTGCCAAGGAATGACCAATACTCGCTATGATAATCAGTTTAGATTTGCGCAAAGCAGGTTAATAGTTTTTCTTTCCATGGAACTGTTTTAATTGGAATTATTGGGAATGGGTACCAGCAGGATGATTTCATTAAAGCGAACAGCCACTGGCTTACCACCAGGAATCTATGGATTTTCATCCTAATTTTATTGTGAAGGGAAGAGAAGAAGACACCAAGAGTCTCAGCAGGCCTAGTTCTTAAACGATCAATTTCAGCCATTTGATAAAAAATATATATCATATGTCCCATGGGGGATGGAGATGGTAGTGGGGAGAACAGACGGTCCAATCCTTCCCGCCTGCTGTCTGGGCTTTTGTGGCTTTCCAAGTCTGCTGTCTCATTTCTCAGTTTGCTGGCAGAATTTAATATCTCACAAGCTCTTCCAGTTAGATCAACAGCTTTGGTGTTGTGTCTCTGTATGTGTCTGTGTAGAAAGTGTTGAATGGTTACTTTAAATGTAAAGGTTCATCATTGTTCCACTCCATGTGTATGTCTTTAAGGGGCCAGAGCAAGGGCCAGAGCAAGATAACGAGACCCAGCTTTACAGCTGTGAAACATAGCAGGTGCTGCTGAGTTGTATTGATTAAGCTGTGTTGGCAATTGGGTGTAGTATATAAGGAGCAGCACCTAGCTCTCCCATCCCCCTGGGGGATGGGTTGGTGGTTGGGTCATGTTTGTTTGTTAATGTATTTAGTGTAAAAGGAGTTTTTGTTTTTGTAATTAAAACCTTGTTTAAGTTATTTTTTAGTCCCTTTTTAATGCATGGTCTCCCCAGCAAGCTCTCTGCAGCGCTACCATACTGCAAATAACCACATTGTGCCACTGTCTCCATCTCTTATAACATTAGCACTTGTGGACAGCCAGTGAAGCTGAATGTTGGAGGTTTCAGGAAAGATAAATGAAAGTACTTATTCACACAGTGCAAGGTTAATAACTGCAGCACTTAACTCCTACAGGAGGCAGTGGTGGCCATCAACTTTGATGGCTCTAAAAGAGGATGTGACAAATTCATGGAGGAGAGAGCAATGCATGGCTATTAGCCACCGTAGTTATTCTCTGCCTCCATGGTTGGAGGCACAAATGCTTCTCATTGCCAGTTGCTGGAAACTACTGGAGTGCTCTTGTGTTTGCATCCTGCTTGTGAGTTTCCCATGGCCTTCTTGGTTGGCCACTGTGAGAGCAGGATGTTGGACTTCATGGACCATTGGTCTGAACCTGCTGTAGGGCTCTTATATCCCCCTCCCCCCAGGTTGGAGGCAGTATGAATACTTCTTCTGAATACCAGTTTCTGGGAATCACAAGTGAGTAGAGTTGCTGCTGCACTCAGGTCCTGCTTGTAGGTTCCTGTTGGGGCGTCTAGTTGGCTTCATTGAGATCAGGGTGCTGGACTAGATGAGCCAGTGACCTGATCCAGCAGGCTTTTCTTATGTTCTTACAACTGTATCAATATATTTTCAGCCCCCTAGACCTTTCTGTCCAGCGCTCAGAACTCTCCCCAGGCCACACTGGTCTTGTTTTATACCCCAAGTGATGATGCGGGTGGTACTATGGTCTAAACCACTGAGCCTCTTGGGCTTGTCGTTCGGAAGGTTGGCAGTTTGAATACGCAATGAGATGAGCTCCTGTTGCTCTGTCCCAGCTTCTGCCAACCTAGCAGTTCAAAAGCACACCTGTGGAAGTACATAAATAGGTACCGCTGCAGCAGGAAGGTAAATAGCATTTCCATGCGCTCTGGCACTTGTCAGGGTCTTCCATGCGCCAGTAGCAGTTTAGTCATGCTGGCCACATGACTTGGAAAGCTGTTTGTGGACAAATGCCAGCTCCCTCAGCCTGAAGTGACGTGAGCACCACACCGCATAGTCGCCTTTGACTGGACTTAACTGCCCAGGGGTCCATTACCTTTTACCCCAAGTGTTTTTGCCTGGCTGGGCTGTGTCCTTGAACTCTCCAGTTAAAGGATCAGAGAGCTTTGTAGAATGAAAGACAGATAGACAGATGGTCAAATATCCAGACTGGTTCAAAGGCAGCTTTCTTTTATTTCTTTTGCAAAATTTGGTATTATAAAAAGAACAACAACAACAAAAACCCACCTCAAAGTGGTTTACAAAAGAATAGAAGAATAAAATTATTGGTAAAATAGATAATGATAATCAACCACAAGCTAAAAATCAGATTAAAACACATGTCAACATTCTACATATCTAGGCAGGCTTGTCTAAACCAAAATGTTTTGTAAGAGGTATTGAAAAGAGTATAGCGAAGACACCTGCCTGATGTCAACAGGCAGGGTGTTCCAAAGTTGTGGTGCTGCCATGCTGAAAGATTGATTTCTTACTAATCCAAAAGCTTTCTCTGATGCAGCTTGTCCAGGACTGGGGCAGCACTGTTATAAAAAAGTGGGATCAGTGGGATCAGTTGAGAAGTGGGATCTGATGGGGGTCTAGACGGGAGAGATACTTCATTTCTTTAAACTTTTACATTTACTATTTGCAAAAGCCTGGTGGGGTGGGGGGAGGCCATGGAAAAAATGCACTCCAGTGTTGTCTGCTTGGCTCAAAATCTTGGCACAACATTTTGGGGGCAGTCTCCTTTGTGGTCTGCCCAGATTGCAAGCTCTGATATATATGCCAGGCTCATATATTGCTTATGGGATCGAACCTGGGCCTTAGAAGGGCTGTAGCTAAGGGATGGAGCATCTGTTTGCGTCTGTGAAAGGTCCCAGGTTCAATCCCTGGTGTCTTCACATAGGGTTGGGATTGTTCCCTCCCTGAAACCCTGGCACGTGTGGATAGTATTGAGCTAGATGAACCTATGGTCTGACTTGAAATAAGGCAGCTTCCTATTTTTTTCAAAATTATGAGAACTGGAATCTTACATACTTCTTAGAGGAAAGGACTTTAGTTCACTGGTAGAGCATCTGCTTTGCATGCAGAAGGCTCCAGGTTCAGTCCCTAGCATCTCCAGGTAGAGCTGGGAATATTCCCTGACTGAAATGCCAGAAGAGCTGCTGCCAGTCAGTGTAGACAAACCTGAGCTGGATTGACCCAATGATCCGACTCAGCATAAGGTAGTTTCCAGTGAATTTGCAGAGCAGCACATCTGACATCAATATGAAACAGAGCCTTCGGTATTATTGGCTCACTCCTGTGGAATGCTCTTCCAACAGAGAGATTCAAGCAGGCGCCTTCTATATTAACCTTCAAACGTTCACTGAAAACTTTCCTTATGCAGATAATTACAGGAAAACATTTTCCTATAATAGTTAGCTGGCAATCTGTTTTAATTTGTGGTTAGCTTTTATTATATTACAGTTGCTTGAAACCTCCCTGATGTTGCTGTTGCTTTTATTAAATTGCAACATGCAAATATTATTTTTTTTAACAAAAGAATATTTATTTATTTTATTTACTGATAAATATATTTATATACTGCTAAGTCAGTATATTAATTGCCTGTATGATAAAAATATAAATATGTAGGAAAGCTTTTAGGAATAACTTAAGAGACTGCCTTATCCCTTATGCACCCTATATATTCTTGTGGTCTGCAAGTTCCAAAGCTCTCGGAAGACGTCTCTGCAGTAACTCTGAGCGTGCAGGAACCTTTAGTGTGGCTGCTCCTGTTCTGTGAAACGGCATTTCTGTCAAGAAACGACAGGGGCCCACTCTCTGTACTTCCTGGAAACATTTTTGTTCTGACAGGCTTTCACAGCTGGACAAAGGCATCTTTTACCATGCATGTCCACTTCTTAGGGTTTTAGTCTTAAAAAAAAAGTGTTCATCATTTGTGAGTTGTTAACTTTTTTATTATCTTAAACGTGAATCACCTTGATATGGTGGTTTGGAAGGTGACAAATAAATTAATTATGATAATAAGTTTTAATTGGATGATTTAATTTAGAGATTTAATTTGATGATTTTAATGTATTGGTTCATTTAACCTTTCATATTGTAATCTTTTCTAACCTTTTGATGATGTTTTATTATTACTATTACTATTACTATATTTTGATGCAATATTTGATGCAAATATATATTTTGGTTTAAGTTATTTTTAATATTGTATTAGTGCGTATATTTTATCTGTGGTTGATATGACCATGGCGGTTGAAACAGCAATAATAAACTAGTAACTGTATAAATATGTGCCATGTAAATGAATAAACATGCAATTTTGTGGTGCATGGAGTTGTGGTGCATGGAGTTGTGGTGACTCTCTCTTCCTCTCTGCTTTTGCTCCCAGCTCTACGTGTCTTCGGAGAGCCGCTTCAACACTTTGGCTGAGCTGGTCCACCATCACTCGACTGTGGCAGATGGGCTGATCACCACTCTGCACTACCCGGCCCCCAAGCGCAACAAGCCCACGATCTATGGTGTGTCCCCCAACTACGACAAGTGGGAGATTGAACGGACGGACATCACCATGAAGCACAAACTTGGAGGGGGCCAGTATGGCGAGGTATACGAAGGCGTCTGGAAGAAGTATAACCTCACAGTGGCGGTGAAGACCTTAAAGGTAGGTACTGAAACCTTTTCTTATCTTCTCTCTTTCTACCACTCTTCTGTTTGGTAGCCACTGCCCTTTTAAAGAGGAAAACTTCACCACGCTTAGAAGGCCCCAAAAGGTACAGACTCCCCCTAATGAAGAAAGGATGCAGCATTTGGGACTTTTTGGTTTAGAGAAAAGGTGAGAAAGAGGTGACATGATGGAAGTTTATGAAACTATGCCCGGCATGGAGAAAGTGGTTAGGGAGTAGTTTTTCTCCTTCTCTTATGATACCTGTGGGAATGCAATGCAGCTGAATGTTGAAAGATTCAGGACAAATAAAAGAAATGACTTCTTCACACAGCAGAGCACAGTTAAACCATGGAACTCGCTCCCGCAGGAAACAGTGAAGGCCACCAACCTGGATGGATTTAAAAGTTGATTAGACAAATTGGTGGAGGAGAGGGCTATGAGTGGCTGATCACCCTGATTGCTATGTTCCACCTCCACTGTCAGAAGGTTTGCACCTTCACTGTACTCTCTTTGGTGCGTGGAAGAAACATTTTTGTTTAGGCAGAGCCCTGATATGTAGAATGTTGACCTGTGTTTTATCTTCATGTTTATTTTAATTGCTTTCGAAGATTTAAAATAGTTTCTACACTCTACCTCCACTGTCAGAGGCAGCAGTATTCCTGGATACCAGTTTCTGGAAATAACAGGAGGGGAGAGTGCTCTTGTGCTCAGATCCTTCCTGCAAGTTTCCTCTGCAGGCATCTGGTTACCCAGTGTGAGAAGATGCTGGGCTAGTTGGGCCCTCTTTTTATATTCTTAGGATTTGCATTTGAACTGCTGAGTTGTTTTCCCACCTCTGATTTGTACCCCTAGAGAAGCAAATTCCTCAAGTCGGCTTTGTGGATTCTTTTTTAAGAGCATATGCAGACAGTGACACCTAGTGTTCTAACCATGCAGATTATAAGACTTTGGGGTGGGGGGGAGATGTTCCTTTCTGATTGCTGCAGATATAGCCTCCATTAACAGATACATTGCGCTCCCTGGGCAGGTGTTTTACTTACTTTAAAAAAACAAAAAACAAAACTGTACTTTCATCCAGAAATCTCAGCGTTACCAGGAACAGTATTCTTCAGTCATCAAATGCAACTAGGTAAATAGGAATGTTTTCAAATTCCTCTCAAAAAAGTGAGTGACAATGTGCACATCATGGGGAATGCCTTCCACAATCTATTAGTAGCAGTAGCAGCAGCAGTATTTAATGTATATGTATCCTGCCTTTCTCTCAAATTAGGATTCAGAGGAGCTTAAAACATTAATAACATATTTATAAAATATGAAACAATAAAAACAAATTAGTTAAAAACAATAAGTAATAATACATCAGAATGTATTGAGAGACAGCAATTAGAATCTAGTTTGCCCAGTGGTCAGCGTTGTCTGCTCCTTAGTTTTCAAAGCTCTGTCTGAACATCTGGTTGGCTGCTGAAAATTGGATGTTGGACTACATGGGCCATTGGCCTGATTCAGCATAAGCTCTTCTTATGTTCTCTGCATCTGATGGAATGGGATCTGTTCTGCAAAGTGCTTCTTATGGTGTAATGAAAATGGTTAGTCTTTGGCTCAGTCTGTGCTATACATCTTAACAGTATCAGACCCCTCAGTCATGAAACCACCACCACTACCACTCTGAGCTTCTATGGGGAGCTGGAACCGCAGAACTTAACATCGGGGAGAGTCTGTAAGGAAGGTAGTGATCTCTCAGATATTTGGGGCAGGAGCTGTGTAACACACTTTATATGTTATTATCACTTATATATACATTTTTAGGAACATTTAACCCAAGTATATGTGAGGGGAATAGGGGGTTTCCTAACAACTTCACATAAACTATGCAAAGGAGGAGGTTGCAGCAGATTCTCCAGGTCTAGTATCTTCAGTTCAGATAAAGGAAAGGAATCTGAACACCCACAAGTCCTTTAGACCTGTTGGTCTGCAATTCCAAATGCCCACTGTATTTCAGCCCTTGACACAGTTCTGGATTGCAGAATTTAATCATGTGAGATATATGCCTCCACCACTATCCCAGTCATGCCATACTGCTTTGTAGCTTTTTTGGGTGGTGGAGGGCAGGCTTGCCATTTCCACGGGTAACTTCCCTCCTCCCGCAAACCACCTCTTCCCGCTCTGGGAAGCTGATTTCTCTTAGATGTTTCAGTTATGCATTCTATCGTAAAATCTCCCTGTTTTTCTGAGTTGAAAGCGGGTACTTTGCCACGCTCCGCCGCCAATTCCTAAACGCCAGATAAATACTTAATGAAGGATGACTGGAAGCTGGGACTAAAATAATATAAAGCGGCTTTTTCTTTCTCTCCCTCTCCCCCTCTCTCTCTGTGCAGGGAGAGCTATCAGAGCACTCAGAGAAACTCTCCCCAAAAAGGTGCAGAGCCTGAAATTATGCATGGCTAAAAACACACTTGAAAGGCAGGTTCCTAATCCACCTTCCTTAAATCCGTCAATCTAGTCTTAGACTGCAGGATTAGGGCGCCTTCTTCAAAGGTGTGGAGAATGCCGGGTGGTGTTTTGTTTTTTGTTTTTTTAAAAAACACCTCATATCTGTCTTTAGACACCAGCAGGGGGAGACAGGCCCTTAGCGGTCTCTTTGCAGGGAGAACTCTTGAGAGGTATAATTTGTCTTCCAGAAAAGAGTTTCCAAAGCACTTTGGGCATCCCTTCCCTCCGCCCCTCGCCGTGCCTGCCCCCTCAGCAAAGAAGATCGACACCTTAAAATAATAACGGGAAGGAGGCTGCCTTGGTAGTTTCAACGGACGTCGCTCATGATGAATTATTCCTGCTGCAGCCTATTTATTATCCTGCTTCAAAGTGGCTGGAAGCGACTCAGTGCGTCTTGGCAAAGTAGTTCCTACAGAGAGGAAAAACGAGGGCTGGGGGGACCCCGTCCAGTGCTTCGGTAATGTTGAGCTCCATAGGGCCATTAAGTAAGACTTCAATTAGCACATTGCATTTGGCAAGAGAGAAAGAGAGAGATCGAGATCAAGGATATTTGACAACCTGATTTGCCCAGAGCAGAATGGAAGGGAACCTCCTTCTGACAATCCTCAATTTAGAACCTAACTTCTCTGACTTTGCAAAAGTTTCCCCAACTTCTGAGATTGCATTTCAGCCTTTAGGACTTGCCTACAATTGATTGAAACCGCCAGCCTACACCCAGAGATTTGGCTTGGGTTGTTTTCGAATTGATACAGCAACTCTTAGACTTCTTCATCTCTGTGGCCCCATGGTCATGCCAGCCCCAGAAGGGGAGAGTGCTCCTGTGCTCAGACATTGGTTGCTGGGACCTTCTGAATGCAAGGCCTGAGCTTTAAGCCTTTGATATTCCTCTTCTCTTCAAAGTAAAGTAAGATTCCAGTTCTTATGGTTATTAATAGAAGGAATTTAAGGGGGGATGCCAGAGATTAAACCTGGATCTTCTGCATGCAAGTCGTAGTTATCTTGATTTCAGTAAGGCTTTTGACAAAGTCCTCCCTGATATTCCTGTGAAGAAGCTGATAAAATGTGGACTGGATGAGATAAATGTTAGGTGGATTTTTAGCTGGTTGACTGACCAAATCCAAAGAGTACTCACTCATGGTTCCTCATCATCCTGGACAAAAGTGGCAAGTGGGGTGTCACAGGGTTCTGTCCTGGGCCCATTGTTGTTCAACCTCTTTATAAATGACTTGGAGGAAGGAATTGAGGGGGTGTTCATCTAATTTGCAGATGACACCAAACTGGGAGGGGTAGGCAATGCCACTGAAGACAGAATCAGGATTCAAGATTACTTTAACTGATTGGAGAAGTGGCTCCAAACTAGAGAAATTGATTTCAGTAGGGACAAATGTCAGCTTCTGGGCTGGCAGGAAGATCCATCAATTTAAGACGGCGGACACCTGGCTTACTAGTAGTACATGTAAAAAGGACCTAGGGGTCTTAGTGGATCACAAGCTTAACATGAGTTAATGGTGTGATGCAGCAGCATAAAAAGCTAATGCTATTTTAGGCTGCATCAAGAGAAGTATCCAGATCAAGGGAAGTAATAGAATAACTTTATTCTGCTTTGGTCAGACCCCACCTGGAGTAATGTGTCCAGTTCTGGGCGCCACAGTTTAAGAAGGATAATGACAAGCTAGAACATGTGCAGAGAAGGACATCCAAGATGATCAAGGATTTGAGGCCAAAGGTTTACAATGTACCGCAGGCCAGAGGTTATTGATATTCTGCAACCTGAAAACATTGAAAACCTCTGGCCTCAGGCTGTGGAACATCAAAAACCTCTGGCCTCAGGTTGCAGAATATTTTGCCCCACAACCATTCCCCTTTTGCAGAGCTTTTGTTGCCTGCATCAAGACAAGACAAGGCCTCTCCATTGTTTTAGCACACAAGAGCTTGATTTCTCTCCCCCCCACATCCCCCAGACTTTCTGTGGTCCTACAGATCTGGCCAGGCGCTTGCTCCATTTCCTCTGATGATGTGATGTGATTGAATCCAGCAGTCTGACCCACCTGGGTGCCTCTGGAGGGTCACGTTTGAGACATCCATCCTGCAGCTGACGTTGGCCACGGCCTCTTTCCAGCCCCAGCCTTGTGGGAGGCTGAAGATCAGTCAGCCTGGAATCTTTTCATGCCCAATAGGCTTACAAACAAATTATTGCCACTGTCAGGCTTCCCCTGATATTTCATGCATGCTGTGGTCTTCCTGGAAGAGGAGGAAAATGAGGTGTACATCAGGGAGCTAAGACAGAGATTCTGGAAGAGGTTTTTCATTGCATCATAGAAGCAGAGGCAGTGTGGTGTAGTGGTTAGCATCTTTGACTAGGACCTGGGAGAGACCAGGGTTCAAATTCCCACTTGGCCATGAAACTTACTGAGTGACCCACTTCCTCCCACCCTAGCCCTCCTCACAGGGTTGTTGCGGGGATTAAGCAAGGAGGGGGAGAACCATGTTCACCAGCATAAATGAAACCAACCAACCAACCAACCAACCAACCAGGAAGTCAGAATTCCACAGCAAAGGGTGAAAGGGAATAAGGATGGAGGAGAAACTCAATTCAGATTGCATTTTAATTTGCACTTTCTGGAACCATGAACAAAACCAGGTGCAAGGTTTTTTCCTGAATTTGCACTTCTCTGAAATTTTCAGTGTGGTTCTCCAGAAAGGTAATGTTTACAAAATGTTTACAAAAATGTGTATATTTGGGCAAAGTGTGCCTAACAATGTATACATGAGTGAAAATAGCATTTAAAAGTTAATATATGACTTGGGTCCCAAATATCTGAGATATTGCCTCCTTTCTTACAGATCCTCATGAGTGTTAAGATCAGTGGGGGGAGGGGCTTTTTGTAGTTTTACCTCCCTCAGAAATTTGGGGGAGGGTGGCAGCCCAGGGGAGGACATTCCCTTGTAATAGCCCCTAAGTTGTGGAATTTCCTCCCCATAGTGGTGCATCTAGCACCTCCATTATACAGCTTTTCGCAGCACCTATTTACCCTGACTTTTTGACACTTGAGATGTGTGTTTTCAGGGCCCACCCCATTCCTGTGGTTGTAATCTGTTTTAAGTGTTCTGAATTATAAATTGTTGGGACCTGCTAGTGAGGCACAGGTAATAATAATAATAATAATAATAATAATAATAATAATAATAATTAATAATAATACAGTGGTACCTCGGGTTAAGAACTTAATTCGTTCTGGAGGTCTGTTCTTAACCTGAAACTGTTCTTAACCTGAAGCACCACTTTAGCTAATGGGGCCTCCCGCTGCTGCCACGCCGCCGGAGCACAATTTCTGTTCTCATCCTGAAGCAAAGTTCTTAACCCGAGGTAATATTTATGGGTTAGCAGAGTCTGTAACCTGAAGCTTATGTAATTTGAAGCGTAAGTAACCCGAGGTACCCCTGTATAAGGCTATAGCTATCAGTCTATAGAGCACTCTAATACGAGTGCTCATTATATCTAGTTTGTGGCACTAGTCATCATCCGACGAATTTTGAGCACTCCTGTGCAGAATCTGGCAACGTATGTTGTAGCAGGGTTGGTATCTGAAAGCAGCAGGGAAGTATAAAATTGTCCTGTGTGCCCTGGATACTTATGCAGTAATGGTAAGATGAGGCTAGTACGAATGTCTCTATAGTAAAGACTCTGGAGAAGCACGTGGTCTGTTGTTTCTATTTGTCCAGAGTCACAGGGGCATTGTCTCTAGGCATCATTGCAATTCAAGAGCATATTCTGGACAAGCAGAAGCACTTAGGGAAGGACTAGGAGGGTTGTGGCCTGGGAAGAGTCCTAAGGGCCAGATAGAGAACGCTGGAGGGCCACATTCCTGAAGTTCCCCATTCCTTGTAAGCTGTTGCAACCCACTGTGAGACCAGCTGGTAATGACAACGAGGATGGTAATAGGAAAAAAAATGCTTGCAAAATGCTAATATTTGACTCTAAAATGCTGTGGAAATGTGGAGAGCTGAACTTAAAACTAAGGGGTGAGGTGAGTGAATCCAGGAGAAACAAAAATTGATAGATTTGCCCAGCTCTAGAAGAGAAGCTGCATTGTAGGGCTCATGAGAGCTGGACTCTGTTCTGTGGTTTCTCAGTCGGTAGCCTCATGCAGATTCCTTTCACACCCTCTCTCTATAAGAAAATAAATGGCTTATTAAGTAAACAGAATGTAGAAGGACAGGAAATCACAGCATGGGGTAACTCTGTCTCTTGACCACCACTCCCAGGCTCAAAGGCTATAAAGCCAACCTGGATTGTGAACCTTTATTTAGCATGCCTAGCCAACATGTCTCCAGAGTTCTGAAGAAGATTCTTGAGGACAAGAAACTTGTTTAGAAGCTAAGATTCTTCACAGCCAGCACTAACCACTAGGTTTCTCGGCTGTGTGATTTATAGCCAGACTTATTTTTTTACCCTTTGCCTTACCGTTCAGACATCAACCTTGCTTACTTTTTATTAGCCCGGTTTCTGTTGGCTAGGGAGAGGAAGTCACCTGCCAGCTGCCAGTCAAACTAATTGGAAGCAAATACATGGATGGGGTGAAAATGCCGAACAGCAAAATGAGCACTGAGCCAGATTTTAAGAACATAAGACGGGCCTGCCAGCTGAATCGTTCCAAAGGCTCATCTAGTACAGCATACTGTCCTCACAGTGGTCAACCAGATCCCTCGAACAGAAGCCTGTAACCGGGACCTGAGTGCAATGGTAGCACTTTCCCCACTTGTGATTCCTAGCAGCTGGGAACAGGAACATCTTTAGTCCTCAGGGCTGGCCAGATACATTCAAGCACCTCTAGCAGAAAAACTCTCACACCAAATTAGAGTTGGTACAGTGTGGTGATTAGAGTACCAGACTAGGACTTGGGAGACCAGGGTTCAAATCACCCACTTGGCCATGAAGCACACTGGGTGTGACCTTGGGCCAGTCACTGTCTCTCAGCCTAACTTTCCTCACGTGGTTGTGGGGATTAAATTGGGGGGGGGGGGCACTACTATGTACACCACCCTGAGCTCTTTGGGGAAGAAGGTGAGGTATAAATGCAGGGATGTACCAAAAAATTTCTTGAAGCTACCAGCATGAGTTTGACCAAACTGCGGGAGTGCCTGGTGTGCTCTGGTCCATGGGGTCACGAAGAGTCGGACACGACTAAACAACTAAACAACAACAACTAAAAAATTAATCTGTGCAAGCCCCATTGAAAAAAGTGGAGGCCACAATCTAGTGTAGTTCTCATTCATTTTACTAGCCCCTGTGCAGGAGAAATTCCAGCAAGCAGGTGGCATTGGGCTGGATCTCCCCTTTTCCTAGTATCTGAAATTCCAAGGTTTCTTCTCCGTTTCACAGTGGTGCTGCCTCTGTGCCATTTTCCCACCTCCCAGTATCCCCTTCTGCCATTTTCTGCCTTATCCCCCACCAATGTTTTGTTTTCCTGCCCAGAAAGAAAGAAGCCCAGGGACAGAGAACAGCATTGTCTGTAAAGGCACAGCCTCCTCCCAGCCGTGCTTTGTAAATGACCTTCTGGCCACCCAAGCTTCTGTTTATCTTGGACTCTACGCCCTGCTGAGCAGGAACCGTACCTTCCTCACTCCAGAGTGAGGCCAAGCCGAGATGGCTTTCTGCTAATAACATCATAATGCAATTTTAACTGTGGCGGTGGAAGACACTGCGGGGAAAAAGAGAGAGGCAGTGGCTTTTAAAATGCAAAACTTTCTCTCCATGGTTCGGGTTCCATTGCAAACTCTGAGGGGGGCAGAATTCTGTGGCAGAAGCTCTTCTAGACTTGTATAGTTGGAATCGGACCCCTTCAATGCAGGAATCACAGCTAAAGAATTCTGCTTGTGCTGTTAGCCACGGTTTCCAGAGAGGCAATGTGCCACTGAGTTTTAGTGGCTGGAGACAAGCAATTGGGGAGCGAATCGGATACTGGACTAGATGGAATTTTGGTTGAAGCCAGTGAGGCCCCTCTTAATACTTTTTAATACTTTTAAAAGCATCTCCAGATCAGGAAGGCAGTGTATGTAGTTCTCCACACTTAATCTCCACAACAGCCCTGTGTGGTTGGGAGATGATGACGACTGGCGAGTGGTCATCCAGAGAACTTCATGGTCGAGTGGGAGATTGAAATCCTGGTTTCCCAATTCCTAGTCTTACACTCTAACCACTACACCACACTGGGTTTTTCTCATTTTGTATTTGTAGATTATATGTGACAGGAACAGTGAACTTGTTGACCCCCCCCCCCATGTCACCCTCTCAACTCCCATGAGGTTCAGTAACCATCATGGTTGGGGATGATGGGAGTTGAAGTCCACTGATGTCTGGAAGGATGGTTGGAACAGGAGTCCAGTGACATCTGGAGGGATGATGGGAGCTGGAATCTAGAGGACTAGAGATTTCTCCACTCTGGTATATGCCTCTGAACTTTTTAAGCTACTGATACATCTTCCCTCTGCGAATATTGACTACCTAATCAAGCCTTAAGTGTCATGTCTCACACAAGATGCAGGAAGCAAGGAGGGAAAAGATTATTAATGTGGGGACGGCAGCAGTTTATGGAATTTATCTGTGTTATGCATAATTCCATGGAAAGAGAACAAGGAAGGGGATCCTTTTTCCTCCATGATATTAAAACTTGGGGTCACCTGGGGAAGTTGTTTGTCAGTAGATCTGGACAGGCAAAAGTGTGTCTTTTTATATAATACTTTATTAACTCATCAAGGTGTGCTGATGGAAACTAGTTTTGATGGCTTTGAACACTGACTAAACAAATTCATTGGGGAGGTCTGTTGGCAGCTTAATAGGTTAACAGACCCTCCACATTCAGGTGTGGCCTGAAGCAAGTCCTGAGGGCCCGATAGAGAGGCCTGGGGGGCCATATTTGGCCTCTGGACTTGCGGTTCCCCACAGGGGATCAGCCAGGAGCCCACAGATTGATTCTTGACTTACTCCAAATTCCAGTTAACCCAGCCACCACCATCCCTGGCTCAGCATGTAAATTAGCCCCTATGATATTTCAGAGGAAGGTGACAATTTCTGAAGTTGCATCGATTTCCACATTGCTCAGCCATTCTCTGGATGGTACCTGTGTGGCCTTTTCAAAACAAATAAAGGGAGAGTTTAATCTGGATATAGGGAATAAAATTGTCTCCTGGAACTGCAGTAACCCAACACCAGCAAAATATAAAATAAAAGAGCTTCAAGCAAAATATAGGGTGGTATCAATGCATTTGTTCCATTAGCAAAGATTTTCGCTCACACAATGTAACTCCTCCCCCCTTGTCCACCCCGTGCATGCCCTGCACCCTTCCCAAACTGCTCCTGAGGATTGGAGAAACCCCCAGATTTAAGGGGCAGTTGTGAGGAAGAGAGAGATGGAAAGGACAGTGTCCCAGTGCATGCTGGTCAGTAATCATACAGTCCAAAGTTGGAGTTAACTCTTTATGAGCAAAAACATGATCTCCACAGACATTGCGCAGTGGCTAATTTCTGGTGGGTCTTATTCCATGGAATCAGTTGCTGAGACTGAAGGTCCCCACCTCCCCACAGCTATCTACGTCTCCTCTCCAGGGCTATTTCCAAGCAATCAGATACTGCGCCTGCATACAGCCAATCTCTCCTCTCTTTTCATACCTTTCCTTGTTCTGGAAGACTTGGGGGGGGGGAGGTGAGCGTGTCACAGCAGGAGGGGGAGACACCCATGACTTTTCACCAGCCTGACTCATCTCTGCATATTGACCTCCCTCCTCCCACTTGCCAGATTCAGATTCAGCTTCTGATTCTTAACTTCTCTCTGCCACAAACACTCGCAGCTCACTAAGCCCAGTTACTTCTTCAGATTACGACACCTCTTCTTTGCAGTCTTATCCCTCTGACCACTCATTGTCATCCCATAACCACTCCCTGGGCTCTAAACCTTCTTCCCTTGGGGGTTCCCCAGCTGGTTCCTTCCACCATTCCTCTGTGTCCAACCAGACCATGACACAGAGTTGTGTAAAAATAAATCCATGCACGGACAAGGATTGGATACAGCCAATTGCTGCGCTGAGGGGCAGGCCTGAGGCCAGAGGTTTTTGATGTTCTGCAGCCTGAGGCCAGAGGTTATCAATATTATGTAATGTAAGGCCAGAGGTTATCAATGCTCCACAGCCTGAGACCAGAGGTTATCGATTTTCTGCAACCTGAGGCTAGAGGTTATCGATATTCCACAGCCTGAGACTGGAGGTTATTATTGTTCGTGCAAATGTAATTTCCAGTGATTCCATTATCTAGAGTCTAGAGTCTAGACCATGTGCTGAAATCATTCTCTCTCTCCCTGTGCTCCCCTTACCTCTTTTCCTGCAGGAGGACACTATGGAGGTAGAAGAATTCTTGAAAGAAGCAGCGGTAATGAAGGAGATCAAGCATCCAAACTTGGTGCAATTACTGGGTAAGTGTCAGAAATACCAAGCAGGGCGACTCAAACCAAAGCCTTGCGCAGCAATACAGGACATTAAGGAGAAGATAAACCACTTAACCACACCAAGGCTTCACAGAGAGACATTTCAATTCACTGGCAGGAGCTGGCAATTAATTTTTTTAAAAGTTGAACTGAGTTAGGTTTGTGCGTCTGTGTGTGTTTAAATCTTCATACTTGTATTTAATCTATAAAAGGCCAGAAAGCTTAGACATCTTTAACCAGCTTCTGGAGGAAACTTTGTCTTCTCTTACCATAGAAAGTTGTTTTATTTCAAGTCAGAGCTTTGAACCATCTAACTCAGTATTGTCCACACTGACTTGCAGCATCTCCTCAGGATTGCAGGTAGGGAGACTCTCCCAGACATACCTCGAGATGCTGGGAATTGAACCCTGGGACCTTTTGCAAATCAGATGCTTTATTACTGAGCTGTGGTCCCTTCCTCATAGGAGTGCAGCACCTCTAGCTTAAAAATCATTCATCCTAGTCATAGGAAGCTGCCTTACACAGTCAGACCTTTGGTCCATCTAGTTAAGTATTGTCTACATTGGCTGGCAGCAGCTCATCAGGGTTTCAGACAGTGGGTCTCTCCTAGCCAGTGTGGTGTGGTAGTTAGTGTTAGTCTAGGACCACCGAGACCAGTATTCATATTGCCACACAACCATGAAGCTCACTGAGTAACTGTAGGGCTAGTCACTACTTCTCAGCCTAACCCACCTTGCAGGTTTGTTGTGGGCATTAAATGAAAGGGGGCGGGGGAAGAATCATAAAAACCACCTTGAGCTCCTTTCAGAAAATTAATCCCTAGGAAAAGGGATTGATTGTTAAACCACACTGAGAACTGTAGTTTTGGGAGGCCAATAGGGGTCTCAGCACCCTTAACAAGCCACAATTCTTTGTGGGAGAGGTTTGCAGTGGTATCATAGTGCTTTAAATGCATGGTGTGAAGATGGCCCGACAATGGATACAACCCAGAATTAATACTGCAAATCATAAATTATTATTTTTCTTTCTTTAGCAGGATTTATTTTTTTTAAATCTAATTTGTTCATTTTTAAATGTTTCATAGGCGTATGCACACGGGAGCCTCCGTTTTACATCATCACCGAGTTCATGACATATGGAAACCTCTTGGATTACCTGCGGGACTGCAACAGGCAGGAGGTGAACGCTGTTGTGCTCCTCTACATGGCCACCCAGATCTCCTCTGCTATGGAGTACCTAGAGAAGAAGAATTTCATCCATAGGTAGGAAAACTTTGTGCTGCTATTCAGAATAGTGCTATGATTTGCTTGCTTGTTTGTTTCCTGTTGAAAGAGCCCAGGTCTGCAAATGGATCCACAATTTAAAAAGAAAAACATTATAGAGCAGTTAAAACATACTTTAAAAAATGGTGGCAGTGACAGCCACTAACTTGGATGGCTTTAAAAGAGTGATTAGACAGATTCATGATGGATAAATAAGGCTATCAAACAGCTCCACTGTAAAAGGCTCTTGTTTGCTGGGAAGTAAAAGTAGGCAGAGTTTGGTAGCGCTCAGGCTGTGCTTGTTAGCTTCCCACTGGGGCATCTGGTTGGCGACTGTGAAGACGGGGTTGTACCATGTGAGCCTTTGGCCTGATCCAGCAGGACTCCGCTTCTGTTCTTACAGAAGAAAATGGAACCACCTCCCCTTCCACCACTAGCCTGCTACAGAGGCTGTTAATACAATATTTCACAGACAGCGCGATGCAGCTTTACAGTAGCACATTAATGTTGTGTGCTGTGTCTTGGAACACACAGGCACTCCTTAGGGAATCACGTCTTGCTTCTGGATTATTTTTCCTGCCAAGGGTATGTTGCATCCCTGCACAGCTTAGCAGCTGGCAAACCCAGACGTTCAGCTATTTTGGGGGTGGTGATGCTGCACACTCAACCCTGCAACTGTGTATAATGTGAACCTGAGCAAGAGTTCACTTTGCAGCAGAGAAAGTGGGGGAGATTTCAATCCTTCCCGTACCAGCTGTTTCCCTCCACCCTAAAAAAATCCTCTTCTCCCCACCCCAAGGAGTGTTACAGATCCACCTTTGTCTGAAACCCTGGGAAGCCACTGCCATTGTAAATGATACTGAGCTAGATGGAGCAATGGTTTGACTCGGTATAAGGAAATTTCATGTGTTCCTATATAAGCCAGCACTTTCTTCACAACCATGAGCCCTGGAATTCTTCTTTTTTTTTTTAAATGATATTTATTGAGAATTTAAAATTACAGAGGGGAAAAAAGGAAAAGGGAAAAAAGGTAAACAAAAAGAAAAATTAAACAATACAAGTAAATAAAAAGAAAAAAACAAAAAACAAAACACACAATACATCAAAACCAAAACCCAAAATAAGCAAAAAATTTAAAAACAAATCCAATATTCCCAAATCTTTATCTTTCGTTAACTTGTTTCATCGACCTCCTCACACCTCCCTTTTTTGTATTCTAGTTATTAATTATCTTAGCAAATCCTTTCCATCTTTCCCTATATTCTGTCATTAAATTACCTTAATTTATTTTAACCTTATCTTACCATAAAAAGCCCTAAAGCTTAAAACTTAAAACTTATTTATAAGTAATTCCTTTTAACATTTCTACTAAAGCCAAATAGTTTCATTCCAACATTTTTCTAATACTTATTAATTTTACAGTGATATTCTAAATGAATTTTTAAAACTTTCTTCCAATCTTCATCCATCGTCTCTTCTTCCTGGTCTCGGGTTTTATCAGTCCTTTCTATCCCTTCCATCTAGTCCATCAACCTGGTGACCTTCTATCCGAGGCTCTTAAGTCTTTTCCATGTCCCTTCTGCAGGTCTTCTTCATGTTTATACCTGCACTTTACTTCTATCTTCTGCTGATCTTATTCGTAATTTCCTTCCTTTCTCACTGAGGGGTAGATCTCGGGGAGACTCCAACTTGACAATATCTTTATCCCTTCTCGACAAGTCAGCCCATTCTCCATAGTCAGCACTGAAATCCAAAAGATATTTAAAAGCATGCTTCAAAGTCCCTCCAAGGTTAAGGGCCCCCACAACTCCAAACTCCCCCGGCCCAAAACCAGGTCCGAAAAGTCAAAACATCCCTGCATAGGGGGAGCTATCCAACTTCCATCTCCAGACCAAACAGTACTCCATCTCTCCAAATCTGACTTTCTCCAGGTTCAGTCGTCAGAAACAACAACTTATGTTCCTGCAAGGCCACAGCTCTCTCCATTTCTATTGCTTGAGGTTCAGCAACAACCTCCTCTTTTATCTTCTTCACAACTTGCCCTGTCAAAGCACATTCCTGGGTTGGTTCCTAACGAGCCCTGGAATTCTTAGGGGAAGGACAATAGTTCAGTGGTGGAATTTCTTGCCTTGCAAGCAGAAGGTCCCAGGTTCAATTTCTGTCATCTCCAGATGGGACTTGGAGAGAGACCCCTGGCTGAAACCCTGGAGAACATTGGGCAGTCATTGTGGACAATACTCTGCTAGATAAACCCACGGTCTGATTCAGCATGAGAGAGCTTCCTATCTTTTTAGTATAATGGCATTACAGTATTGGACCAAATAGATTCTGAGATGGTGTGTGAGGGTCCTGGCTTAAACTGCATGCAGCCCCTGCCTTTAATTGGCAGGCCACCACTTTCTGATCCCCAAGGGCTCCCCTTGGCACAAAGGGAAGCTTACTTCTGCTACTTTTGTTGTACCTCCTATCCCATATCTTAATCATAAAATTGAGAGAGGGCTAGATAACCCAATGCTGTCACAAAAACATGGGATCAGGCCAGTGGCCCATCTAGTCCAGCCTCCTGTTCTCACAGTGGCCATTTGGGAAACCCTCAAGCCCATTATGGGAAACCCACGAGCAGGACCTGAGTGCAAAAGCTCTCCCACACCCTGTGGTTTCCAGCTGCTGGCATTCAGAAACATTGCTGCCTCCAACTGTGGTGGCAGAGCATACACATTGTGGCTGGCAGCCAATGAAAACCCTCACCTCCTTGCCCCTGTGTGGTCATAACCCCCAGGATGCCCTTGTCCCTTCCATCACTCCTGCCTTTCAGTCTTTCTCAGTCCTGATGTGGTGTACCAGTGTTTCTACCTCCTCTGTGATTTTACAATAAAACCTCATGATGAAACCTTCCTTCCTAATCACCACAGCTCTTTGTGCAAAATGAGCTCTTCCCCATCCTTCCTTCTTTCCTTCCTTCCCCTGAGCCAGTAAATTGCCCATAATGACACCCCTTTTCTCTCCCCACCCCGAACCATCATTCGCCGCTTTACAGTTACTGGAGTTCTCAGAAAGTCTCTTTCTCTGTCTCTCTCTCTCTCTCTCTCCCCGCCCCCTGCCCCCCACCCCCCACCTTTTCAACACACCTTCCATCCTCCTCTCTCCTTGTCATCTTGTGCTTTTTAGTGATTCCTTTCTCCTCCTGCTATTGTCTGGATTGTGTGCCTCTCCCGCTTCTCTCCATTAAGCATCTTTGCCATTCTTGCTGTCTGGAGGATTTTGACCTTTCAGTGTGCTGCAATTATTGCTAGCACTTTACATTCTTTGTCTGGGGAAATGGCTTCTGAGCAATCTAATAGCTGGTGGGTGACTTGATCAACTTTTGGGGGGCATTGTCAGTGTCTGTCTTGAAAGGAACTTGGGCTGAGCTTGGTGCCGTGTGGGAGGTCTCTATTTCCTTTCCGGGATGCTTCCTCTGTGACTTAGGAATGTTGACATGCTGGAAACAACCCCAGTCACTGAGCGGGGGGGGGGGGGGGCAATCTGCAAATGGGACATTTGTACATCTCTTTCTCCACCCCACAGGGAAACGTGCACACCCACACCCACCAGAGTACATTTGAAAATGATTACAGTACTTCCAAACCACTCAGAAAACTTCAATTTGGTGCATGTTTAATCAAAGACTAGAATATAGATCATTTGCAGTGCATAGTCATTAAATTCACCTCACAATAAAGGGTAGTATTTATAGCAAATAATGCATGTGAGGCCCTTCCATTTGGGGAAGAGGTAGAGCATCTGTTGTGCATTCAGAAGGTCCCAGGTTCAACCCCCAATGGCATCTTCAGGTGGGAGAGACTCCCATCTAACTCAATATTACCCATAAGGTAAAGGTAAAGGAAAAGGATCCCTGGATGGTTAACCCAAGCCAAAGGAGACTATAGGGTGTAGTGCTCATCTTTCTTTTCAGGCGGAGGGAGCTGGCGTTTGTCCACAGACAGCTTTGCTTTATTGCCTATACTGACTGGCAGCAACTCTCCAGTGTTTCAGGCAGGGAGTCTTTCCCAGCCCTACTTGGAGAAACCACTAGGGTTGAAGCTGAGACCTTCTGCGTGCAAAGCAGATGCTCTGTTTCCAAGGTACAACCTTTCCCCTTTTAATTTTTCAGATGTCAATGTACATTATTCCACTAATTTCAACGTGTGATGAGCCAGCCTTGCTATTTTGGGTGTGTTTGTGCATGTATGCTGTTTATTGTAGTAAGTGGATCCATGCCTACCATCATGGCACTACTGTTCCCCACCCCCGACCATCTCAGACACTATTTATTTATTTATTTTATTCATTTATTGCATTTACATCCCCCCTTTTTTCCAGGAGCTCAAGTGGAACCACATGGTTCTCCCTCTCCTTGTTTAATCCCAACAACACTGTGAGAATGAGTGGCTGGCCCAAGGTCACCCAGTGAGCTTCATGGCTGAGTGGGGATTCGAACCTTGGTCTCTCAGATCCTAGTCCAGCACTAACTACTACACCACACTTGCCCTTTATGTCTGTTTTGCATGACTTTCCAGGTTGTGCCTGGATCAGGAGCCCTTTTTGCCTCACCTTTCTGTTGGTTAAGAGAGAGAACTTGAGGAAGTGCACCACTAGACTCTGCTGGCTCTCTCTCTCTCTCTCTCTCTCTCTCTCTCTCTCTCTCTCACACACACACACACACACACACACACACACACGTTGAGGTCAACTGCGTTTCATCAGAGTGGTGATCTTTCCCACACAATTAGCACGCCCACCAAAGGTTGCCCACCTGCTTCCCCTGTAACAAGCCTGATGATCCCACACTGAAATGCTGACCGTTTATCCCTAAGACACAAGCTTTTTTTCTGCTGTATCTAAAGGCTCATTCAGGCACCTCCATCTCTGATAATGGCACCACCAGTGTCTCATAGAATTGTAGAATTGGAAGGGACTCAAAGGGCAATCTAGTCCAATCCCTCCTCAGTGCAGGAATCACAGCCAAAGAATTTGGCTGCAGATTATGGGAGTTGTAGTCCAACAACATTTAGAGCTCAAAGTGTTTCCCACCAACCTTATCCAATCACTCCCCACTCCAAACACAAACTCTCCCCCTCCCAACCTAACGCTTACTGTCTCAACTGGTTCAATTTGCTCCATGCTGGGATCCTCATCTCCGGTCCAACCCCTCCTGCAAAGGGAACTTAGCTTCTTCTTTTTTAGAGGAAGAAAAAAATTCAAGTATCACTCTCTGTCTCATTCCTTCTGTACTCTTGGGCACTTTGTTGTGCACTGTCAGTGACCCCAGATCGCAGGAGCAGGCAGGAAAAGTGTCTTGCTTCCCGTTCTCTTCTCTTCTTTGCAAACGGCTCACCCCCACAGACTCCCAGTCCCTTCAGGGGGGTGCGGTCGCTGTCCTCCTCAATGGATTTCAGATGCATGTTGGTGACCTCACTGAATGACTGGAGTCGGCGGGAAATGACGGTCGCTAATGACAAGGTGCTTTTCTCCCCTTTATGTGCTGTGTTGACGGCATTCTCGCTGACGAGAACAGGACATGTCGGCAACGGTGTGTGACAAATTAATGTGCCCTTTCAGTATGGCGCTCTCTCATTGAACAAGGAGCTCTTCTGTGGCTCTGCCAGTGACTTTGCAAAGTTCACAAGTCACTGGGAAAGTGGTTCATGTATCTTTCACGTAGGGAAAGAGTTGCGCAGTTGGATTGATTTCCAATTTAGCGTGGCGTTGGGTGGAAACAATTTATTCAGCCTCATCGAACATAAGAAGTCGTGCTGGATCAGGCCAATGGCCCATCTAATCCAGCATCCTGTTTTCACAGTAGCCACCCAGATGCCCTAGTGGTAGATCTTCAAGCAGGACCTAAGCACAAGAGCAGCTCTCCCCTCCTGTGGTTTCCAGCAACTGGTATTCAGAACCATTGCTGCCTCTGACTTTGGAGACAGAGTTATTATGGCTAGTAACTCTTGATAGCCTTATCCTCCTCCTCGGATTTGTCTGCTTTAAAGCCATCTAAGTTGGTGGATATAATCCCCTCTTGTGGCACTGAGTTCCACAGTCAAATACATGCTGCACGAAGAATGACTTTCTTTTAAATGTCCTGAATCCACCAACATTCAGCTTCATTGGATGACCATGAGTCCAAGTATTAGGAGAGAAGGAGAATTCCCCCCCCCCATCCACTGTCTCCACGCCACACATAAAGGAGTCACTCTACCCTTTTGGTCATTTTGGTATTTTCTGAAACTTCCAGCTCTATTTTATACTTTTTGAGGTGAAAACTCTTCCATTGTTTTATGAAGGAGCTGAAAAATTGCATGGAAACAATTCCTCCATTCTCTCTCTTGTGTGTTATGGCTTCTACACCCTTCATTGAGGTTGTTACTTACTCCCCACTCCACAAACTCCTGATGCAGTGGCTCTTAAACCTTTTCAGGCCACCGCCCCCTTGGTTCCACAAACTAATCTCTAGTGCCCCATACTTTACCCTACCCTGTACAAATCATTATTCAGAATAGCAGTTTTCATGACCCACTGAGGAAGATAATAACACAAAAAAGTTCAAAACAGTAATCATTAACTGCACATTTGTTCAGTTACAACTACTCAGTTTAATTCAACAAAATGAATGCACTTGATTCTGTGAAGCCAGCTTTTCAAAGTCTGATAGTCATTAACACCTCCATTTACACCCTCTTGCTACCCCCTTGCTTCTTAGGGCCCCCAGGTAATCCTGCCCACTTTGAGAACGACTGTTGTAATGTTTGCTTTTTCATCACCAGGTGGATGTGTGTTACCAATAAATTCAGCTCCTTGGACCAATTAAAATGATTGGTGAAGGGTTGTAGTTTAATGGCAGAACATCTGCTTTGTATGCAGAAGGTCCCAGCTTCAGCCCTCAGTGGCGTCTCTAGATAGAACTGGGAATATCCCCTCCTGAACTCCTGGAGAGCATTGACAATACTGAGATAGATGTACCTATAAGCTGATTCAAACCAGCTTCTTGTTTAAATCTCTTTTTCCAGAATCATGAAAATTAGAATTTTTTTTATTTTAAGAGAACAGGACCAATTTTTCAGGTACAGAGCATCTGCTTTGCATGCAGAAGGTCCCAGCTTCAATGCCCAGTGGCACCTCCAGATATTGCTGGGACGGTCCCATACCTGAAACCCTGCCAGCCAGGGTGGGCTATACTGAGCTAAATGAACCAGTGGTCTGATGCAGGATAATAAGGCAACTTCCTATGCTCCTTGGGAGAATCTATTGCTCAGTGATAGAGCATCTGCTTTTCATGCAGATGAACTTATACACCGCACTATACCCGGAGGTCTCAGGGCGGTTCACAACAAGACCACAACATAGAAAATCAAACCAAAAGCATTAACCCAATAACCCCCCCCAAAAAAAACCCCCACATTCTAAGAGGGTGTAAAGTGTATCAAAAAAATCAACATTCTAAATGGTGCAAAGTGTAAAACCAACCCTTCAAACTGGGCCCAGAAACAAATATAGTGCAAAGACCTTTTAAAATTTCCTCAGGCTCTGTAGTTTATAAGTCACCCTGATGATACATTGTAAGGGCAGGGTATAAATCCAAATAAATAAATCGTCTGCCATTATTGATTTCCCCCCCTTCCCTCTCACTGAGGGAGTCCTAATGAGCTTCAGAGGAAGTACAGGAGTTGCGGAACACTGTTTGAAAATGACTGTTCTAGATCTCCTTTCATTCTTGACCTCTGCTGGGGAAAATACTTTCCTCGAGGTTGCTTAGTCTGGTGTTCCTTCAAAAGGAAGCTTTAAAAAGTCTCAGTTCTCTGCTAGCATCAGAGCCATTGGTTGAGAGGAGGCAAATCAGCTGGGAGAAGGTAAACCTGGAGCAGTGACCAAGTGGTGAGCAGAGAGTTCAATCCTGCTGGCTGTGGGGGTCTGCTTTGCCAGGGAAGATGCACACAGCAGGATTGAACCCCTCCCACCCATTCTTGGTGTCACCCAGTGACATCAGCTGATGGACAGTTGGGTGTGCTTTTGCAGAGAAATGGCCTTGTGGGCCAAACTGGGCTCCCTGGCAGGCCAGAGGGTCCCCATCCCTGAGGCATATCCCTGATTTTGCTAGTGGGGTACAGTGGGAATATTTGAAGCTCCCTGCAGCAAACAGCCACCGCCACCAAACTGTAGATGGCAGCAAAGAAGCCACAGTTTTCACTGCCATCCCACTCTTACATTCAGTTGGTAGAGCATGAGACTCTTCATCTCAGAGTCGTGTTTTCGAGCCCCACGTTTGGCAAAAAAACTCTGCATTGTAGGGTGCTGGACTAGATGACCCTCGTGGTCCCTTCCAACTTTTGTCAGCATCAACACTTGAAACGTGCTTGTGTAAATTTGATGGAGCAGCCTCTGGTTATGTGAACTGACACTTAATGAGAAGCAGTGAGCACGTAATGGAACAGAAGTTGTATCTGCAGTGAAATGTAGAGAGAGATTTCATAGCCCATCTCCCATCACTGCTGCCACAGGGACCTGGCTGCCCGGAACTGCCTCGTTGGGGAGAACCACCTGGTGAAGGTGGCCGATTTTGGTTTGAGCCGGCTGATGACAGGTGACACCTACACAGCTCACGCCGGCGCCAAGTTCCCCATCAAGTGGACTGCACCAGAAAGTCTCGCCTACAACAAGTTCTCCATCAAATCTGACGTCTGGGGTAAGAGCTGTGTAGTGTGCCTGTGGTGTTCTGTTGTACATGTAAATAATATTGTGTTTGTATATATGTAATAATTTTAGATTAATAAAGTGATATGTGGTACATGCATATTAGGTAAATTGAGGGAAGCATTAGGTTGGGAGGCGGGGGGGGGGGGGGAGTGTGCTCGGAATAGTGAGAGTGAACAGGAAGAACAGAAGGCTAATGGATCAGGCTAATGGCCCATCTGGCTCAACATCCTGTTCTCATGGTGGCCAACAGTGAATGGATAAGCCTTTGAATATTGGTGAGAGACAGTTTGGGATCTAAATGTTGTTGGACTACAATGCCCATCATCCTCAGCAGGCTTAGCCAACAGTCAGAGATGATGGGAGATGTAGTCTAGCAACATCTGTGGACCCCCCAAGGGTGAAGAACACTGGTTCTGACAGACAGTTCAGGGCACTTGGACTCGGGAGTTGGATGTGGAGAGAATGACTGGATGTGCATGGGGTAACTACGTTGATTGTAACCAATTTTTGCATGATGGTTTCTGAGATCAAGGGAACAAGTCTTTGTTTGTGCTTGGACGCTACAAGAAACCATTTTGAATCAAGATGACAGGCTGAACCTTTCAAAACTGCAGTGATATCAGCCACTGATTTCAAAACTGCCTGGACTCCCATCATAGCTGTAGAAAAATCCAGTTTTCCAAGGTGGATAATATGCCTGCATCTGTGGAGGCTGTGGGTTGTTGTTTTTTTAACATCACATTTTCTCCTCAATCTCCCAAGTGCTGGAGGACCGAGCTGTTAACAAAAGAAATGGCTGGACTGGAACAGTCCCTGGTTGTTTCCCATGTAATGCATTGTGACACCTCTCAATACACAAGACGGCAGTGGCCTTCCCTTCATGTTAAGAGAGAGAGGGGTGGCTGAAGTAATTACATACAGGTTGCTGAGCTGATGACAAGAGGCTCTGCCTTGCCTAGGGGAATCTCAAGTACCTTTAAAGCACATTTGGAACATATCCCTACCCCCCAGCACCAAAGAATCCTGGGAAGTGTAGTTTGTCAAAGATGCTGGGTAAATTTCAGTTCCCATAATTCTTTGAGGAGGAAAATGTGCTTCAAATCTATGGTGTGTACACAGCTTTCATTTCCTAGGTGGGTTGCAATGCTTGAGGATTTCGTTCAGTCTTCCATCTTTAAGCAAACCAACCTGATTACTGATACATGTATCACCTTATCCTTCCTTTGGGAAAAAGCCATAGCTCAGTGGCAGAGCATCTATCTTGCATGCAGAAGTTCACAGGTTCAGTCCCCAACGGTATCTCCAAGTGAAGCTGGGAATATCCCCTGCCTGAAACCCTGGAGAGCCACTGCCTGTCTGTGTAGATAGAACTGAGCTAGATGAAACAACGATCAGTATAATGCAGCATCCTATGTTCCTGCTTAAATTGGCCTTTTATTTAGAACTATGAGGACTGGAATCTTGCTTTGTTTCTAGGAGAAGGACTGTAGCTCTGTGTCAGAACATTTGCTTTGCATGCAGAAGGTCCCAGCTTCAATTCTCAGCATCTCTGGCTAGGGCTGGAAATGTACACTCTCTGAAACCCCTGGAGAGTAGCTGCCTGTCAGTGTAGACAAGACTGCACTAGGTGGACCAGTGGTCTGATTCACTTTACTTGTGTTTTACTTCCATTCTTGGAGGAAGTATGCCTCTGAATACCATTTGCTGGGAATCACAGGTGGGAAGAGCACTGTTGTGCTGCTTGCAGACTTCCCTTTGAGGCATCTGTTTGGCCATTGAGGGAACAGAACACAGGACTAGATGGGCCCCTTTTGGCCTGATCCAGCAGCCAGGCTCTTCTTATGCTCTTAGGATAGAAGCGAGAAAGGAGGTCAGAGGGCTTTTTTGGAGTGGGTTAGAGAAGGTGAAGGAGAGCTATTTGATTCCCAGAGAAGAAGCAGCATCTCAATAGGAAAGGAGGTTTCAATTAATCCGCCCTGACGTCTCTTAATTGTGCCTTTAACAGGACTTGAAGGAACTTGAAGTGTTCGCACTGGAGACAAGCTAGTAAATTGAAAATTAGGCTAATTCTGCCCTGTCTTATCTCATGAGACTTGTCTGGATTGATGAAGAGGCTTGTTACTCTTCCTTAACGTCTTCGCAGCCATTTGGCATGGAATGTGAGCTGCCCAGAGCGGGGAAACTGCCAGAGCGTGTTTTGCTCGCGGCTCTCCCACCTCTGGGGAACAAATTTACATGTTGCATTAAAATCAGTTGGGAGTAGGCAAGCCTGGAGTGGGGACTCCTGCAGAGTAGCATTGGGCAGCCTCACCCAAGTGTGAATAATTCTGCAGCATTTTTGCCCCAGGATATGGAGAACACTCCAATCACAGCAGGGGCAGAGGTGTGACTGAGGGACCCACCCATTGCAGAGACTGTGTCAGGGCAGCAAATCACACAGAGATGCACCAGGCAACCTCCTCTGTTCCAGAGGCAGCTTCCATAGGATTTCATTATTTCAGTGGTGTGTTTCTTCTAGCACACTCACAGGAAGGAAACAGGGAGGGGGGGATGGGACGAAAATTGAGAAAATAAATAAAAATAAATACCAGCTCAGACTAGTATGTCCCTATGACTCCAGTGATGTCAGTGGTGCTCCAAGGTTGTAATAAGAGAAAAGACTCCTCCCCCCCCCATGACCTATCCTCTCTTTGATCGGAGATGCTGAGAGTCTTCATGCAAAGGGGTGGCTGCTGAGTGATAGTCCTTCCTCAAAAGAATTATTATTATTATTATTCATCATTAAATTAATCTATGTATCACTTGTATCGCAAAATGACTTCTAAAGCAGTTTACTTTAAAATCAGTACATAGTTAAAATATACACTAAGAGATCCACAGTGGCATTAAAACACCCTTAATTAAAGTATTCAACAAAACATGGAATTACAAAGCACAACAAGTTTTTTTGGTTTTTTTTGGAAAAATAAGTTAAAACAATAAGTTAAAACTCTTCCTTGTTGATGGAGAAATGTTAATGTATATAGAATTGTACATATGGTTGATTTGAATATGTTATTATTGATTATTTACACGCAATGTATCAGCTGCCTGGGGGGTTTCACTGTTTGGGTTTTGGTTGTTGGTAAAAAATAAAGAAAAATAAAGAAATAAATATGAAAAAGAAAAAGAAACAATAAAATTATAAGTTCAGTTCACCGAAAATGGTGTGTCTTCAGGAGCCGGCAGAACATCAACACAGATGGGGCCTCTGTGGCATGCCATGAGACTGTGGCCTCCAGTGAAGCAGCCTGCCTCTGTGTTACCACCAGCGGATAATCTTCACCTTTCCCCAGAGGACCCTTCACCTGGAGGGTGCCAAAGATTTGGGCAGGGATGCTCTGCGAGCAAAGTATCTCAACCGAGGTTTATATATCAATCTATTGACAACGACAACAACCCTCTGAGCAATTTACATACAATTATATGTGAACTATTCATTAAAAGCATCAATAAAATCAAACATCGTAAATCAGATTGACCTAAAATGCATCAAAATATAGACGAAATCAGCAGCTTTACACATTTGAATATGCTTTGGATGCCCCTTTCTTTTGCTTATTAAGTCCAACCCAGGGATAGTTTAGATGGCCTCTTTACCTCAGCAATCATTTTGGAGAGATTTGTTTTGGTTTAACTAGCCCTGGTGGTTACTTCTCCTAGACTTTTCCTTGCCGTGCACGAACCTGGTTTGGGTATGTGCATTGCATGATTAACAGACAAGCTAAGTGTGAAACACACACCATAGCTCTAGTCCCTGTATTTATTGAGGCAATGCTTATTTTTTTTCTTGGCAAAGAAATTGAATGAATGAATGAATGAATAAAAACAATAGTTCAACACAATATAATTGCATGTTAAAATTTCGTGTGGTATGCCATGTTAGCCCTAACTCAGAGTAGACCCATTGAAATTGTTGGGCATAACTCATTTCAGTGGGTCTGCTTGAAGTAGAATTTAGTTGGCTACACCTGTATGTGTCTTAAAATTACATTGGTTTCCCCCCAAATGTCAATCCTACTTAGAGTAGACCCATTGAAATTGATGGGTGTGACTAATAATTATTTTTATTGCATTTATATCCCACCTTTCTCTCCAATGAGCTCAAGGTGGCACATATGGTTCTTCTGCTCCATTTAATCACCACAACCCTGTGAGGTAGATGTGGCTAAGAGGCAGAGACTGGCCCAAGGTCACACCCAGTGAATTACATGGTTAAGTGGGGATTTGAATCCTGGTCCTAGTCTGACACTCTTAACTACTACACCACATGGGTCTGCTTTGAGTAGAATTGGCTACAATGATACATGCCTTAAAATCACACTGGGCTTTGTCAGCCGAATGTTAATCCTACTTAGAGTAGACCCTTTAAAACTGATGGGATTAATTTGGGTCCATTAATTTCAGTGGATCTACTCTGAACAGAAGGTAGATACAACCTGTTGTTGTTGTTTATATGTGTTCCCACCTTTGCCATAACCTCCCATTTAAAGTATCAGTACATTGAAAATGTCTTACTGACTTCCTCTTCCCCTGTAGCCTTTGGTGTCTTGCTTTGGGAAATCGCAACGTATGGGATGTCTCCCTACCCTGGGATCGACCTATCTCAGGTCTATGAGCTCCTGGAGAAGGACTACCGAATGGAACGACCTGAGGGCTGTCCGGAGAAAGTCTATGAGCTCATGAGAGCATGTAAGGTTTTACTTACGTCTACATCTTAGTGGGTTGCTGGGGTCGGCTGCAGTCACAGAGAAGCAGGGAGCTGCTCTTCTGCCCTTACTGACCCTAGTAAGAACAAGCTGATAGATGACAGGCCCAGGTGTCCCCTTGAGAAATGTGAGTTAATTGTTATTCCAAATGAAGATGAAACCATTGCATTGTTTTACCTGGCTTTAGTTACACTCCTTATGTTCTTGTTTATTTTATTTATCGCATTTACATCCCACCTTTTTTCCCAAGGAGCTCGAGGTGGTGTACATGGTCTGCCCCCCACTCCTCATTTAATCTGCAGAACATAATCTGTGGCATAGGTTAGGCCGAGAGACGATGCCTGGCCCAAGCTCACCCATTGAGCTCCATTGCCAAGTGTGGGATTTGAATCCCAGTCTTCTAGGTCCTCATTTAATTCTCACAGTGACCCTGTGAGGTAGGTTAGGCTGGTAGCCCCTATCGCTTCACCCTTATGGCTAGGAGGGAGAACTCAAGGAAGTGCACCTTCTCACCCATCAGGGAGTTTGGCTTCTCCTCCCAAAGAGCTCTTAACTTGTGAGAATGGGAAGAAACTGCATGGTAGAGAGAGTGGGTTTGCACATGTGTTGAAGGTATTTCACAAAAACGCTAACATTCCACCCTTCCTTTCCTACTTTTCAGGCTGGCAGTGGAGCCCATCCGATAGGCCTTCCTTTGCAGAAATCCACCAAGCATTTGAAACTATGTTTCAGGAATCCAGCATTTCTGATGGTAGGTGCCATCACGGATAATTCTCGCTCTGTGGGAGGCGAGATAAGTGCTTTGTTTTCTGCATGATTGCTTCATCTGCATAACCCCACGCATTTTATTTTATTTTTGGAGATGTAGTGGAAATCTTCTTTTGATAAGTCAGGGTAGGGGGCCACCAACAGTTCTGGGTTCAGAAACTCAGGCAGACAAAACCCACTGCAGTCAACTGAAGGCAACCAAACATGCTCTCAGCACCAATGAAAACTAATAAATGAATAGAAAGAACCTACCCAAGTGATGCTGACATAAAAACCTCACATATACACTAAGTAAAAGAATCTAATTTTACTTTCCCCCATCTGAAAATAGAGTTTATGTAGATACTTTTGTAACCCAAGAAAATCTTTAATAAAAACAATTTTAAAAGAAACTAAAGACTAGCACCCAAAATGGACTAGTAGCCAACACAAACACGCGCACACACAGATACTAGCGACTGTGTCCCCAACTCTCTCTGCTCTCCAACCCCTTGCTATTCCTCACATTAACCCCCTAGAGCAGTGGTTCTCAACCTGTGGGTTGGATGTTGTTGGACTACAACTCCCATCATCCCTGACCACTGGTCATGCTGGCTAGGAATGATGGGAGTTGTAGTCCAACAACATCTGGGGACCCACAGGTTGAGAAACACTGCCCTAAAGCTTTCCCTCCCCATGCACCTAGTAAGCAGAGCCAACCAAGGCTGGATCTAGACACATCGAAGAAGCGTTTCCGTTTAAAGTGTTGTAAATTTAAACAGGGAAAACAGGCAGAGAAAACCAGGACTCCACATCACCATCTGGTGGCACAATGTTATATTGCATATACAACACATTCAAATCGCTTTTCCTTTACCAGTCTAGCTGAGTCCCAACTTGTATTTTTGTCCCCATCCTCCTTCTCCCTGCTGAGTTTTACAAGGGGCAGTAGCAAGACTTGATAAGGAAGCTGATGGGCAGGGCTGCCCCCTGAGTTGGTTTCAAGGAAGGCTGGGGTTGGTGGGGTGGTGCTTCACTTGTCCCAATAGAATGGCCTGCACTGCAGTAAAGGCTTAATTTCTGTCAGTTGCTAACTCTGGTTAGTGCCTGTTGACTCTTTGCTCTCTCTCCCCCTGCTCCCCACCCCATCCTTGTGTTTTCCAGAGGTGGAGAAAGAATTGGGGAAGAAAGGAATGAGAAGCGTTGTGAGCACCTTACTACAAGCTCCAGAACTGCCAACAAAGACAAGGACATCCAGAAGAGGAGCTGAATGCAAAGAAGCCAATGAGAGCTTGGAGGCAGGACCCACCAAAGGGCCAGGGGAATGCGGTATGTCCTAGCTCTGGTAGCAAGGCGACTCAAGGTGCCTTCAGGACACTTGAGGCACCTTGAAGAGGCTTGAGGCAGTCTGCAGCACACAAAGCAGCTGGGTCAGGACTCCAGTGCACCATTGGGGTTGCTCCTTCCTAGATTTGATGTGTGTGTGTTTATGAGAAAGAGATAAAATATGGATGTGGTTGTTTTGTATAGCATTATGAGGATTTTTTTAGAAGTATGCTCATACCAGACCAGGGCACAATCTGGATTTTAACATTTAAAAAATAATAATAATAATTGTTAAACAAATTAACAAAATTTATATGCCACTTGATTGTACATGGAACTCCTAAGCACTTTGCACAAATAATATTAAGCAAACATTAAAATTATTGACAACAGACAAAGTTAAAAACAGGAGTTTAAAAAAAATGATTCCAAAGGGTGGGTGACTCTCAAATTAAAAACACATCCAAGTTCAAAATCAGTTAATTTAAAACATCTTAAACAATGAGGGCAAGGCCATCCCCAGAGAGGTGGTGTTAAGGGGGTAGCCCTTGCCCTTGCTTACCTCTGAAGCAGCTGCTGCTGCTTGGGGCGCCCCTGCCCCCATTGGACCAGGCCTTGATATAGCTCCTACTACCCTGGTAGATTGAGCCCAGGTGTGCTCTCAAGCAATCTGGCCAGGCCTCCCTCTGCCAGTGAAATCCAGCTGCTATGGAGGGGGGTCACTTACAGTCTCCGGCTGCTGCACTAAATTGGGCCCCCTTTACCCTGATCCACTAGCCAGGCTCCTTGTGTTCTTATTAGCTGTGGTATTTGGGAAAGATCCTCCATGTCTAAGAGATATCTACCTGGAATTGCCATTTGCTGGTGAGGCAATGGCATGGGCCTTCCAGCCCTGCTTCTGGGGTTGGATGGGCCACTGGTCTGATCCAGCAAGGATGGTTTGCCTTCACTCTTGGAGGCACTATGCCCCCTGGTGCCAGTTGTTTGGAATCCCAAGTGTCCCTGGTGATGCTGGCATGCTGAGATCTTGCTTGTGGGCTTCCCATAGGGCATCTGGTTGATCACAAGTGTATTTCCCAGTCCTAACTGGGAATTGAACCTGGGACCTCCTGCATGTGAAGCAGGTGCCTTGCCACTGATCTGTGGTTCCATGTCTTAATGATAAAGAAAGATTTCATTCCTCATGGTTCTGAATTAAATAGGGGCATAGGAAGCTGCCTCATACACAGAGCATTGTTCTATCATGCTCAGTATGGTCTACAGTGACCGGCAGTGGCTCTCCAGGGTTTGAGGCAGCTGGTCTTTCCTAGCCCTACCTGGAGACACTGCCAGGGATTGAACCTGAGACTTTCCACATACATAGCAGGTGCTGTATTGCTGAGCTAAGTTTGCAGTTTGACACTTGAGATTAAGAGGCAGCTACACACAAATGGCCACCCAGCTCCAGAAAGCCTATTCAAATTGGCCTACAGCCCAGAGATTTTTGTTGCAAGTTACTGGAGTGAGAACTTAAGAAGGGCCATGCTGGTTCTTCAGACTCCAAACCTGTCCACCATCCTCTATTCCAGCATCAGATAACCAGATGCCTCTGACCATGTGCACGATGCAAGGGCACTGGCATGTTGCTTCCCAGCAGCTCTCAGATAAACTGCCTCCAAACAGAGAGGCTGCACCTAACTATCATGGCTAACAGCTGCTGATAAATAAACCTTCCCATTCCTCCATGAACGTGCCTGATCCGCTCTTAAACTCAGTGGTCGTCACTGCGTCTCACAGTAGTAAATCTTTAAAAGTAGCTACTTAAGAGAACGAGCTGAGAAGTCATTTGGTGTCCTTAGATAAGCTGCTCTCTGCCCGCCCCCCGCCAAACAAATCTGCAGCATGGCGCGGGATAATCATGCTGCTGTACCTTATAAGAGTTACTGACATAATTCATGTGAAGCACTTTGAGAGCTTAGAATAAATACCAGGTCTTATTATTATAGCAGTGTAACTTATGCCTGCCATATTTCAAATCAACCTCCAGACAGGCCCATAAGGCGAGGAGATTGGTTTGCCGGTTAAGCAAGTGCTGTCTAATTCTTGACTTTCTATTTTTCCTGCTCTGCAGATCCCACAGACCACGAGCCAGCAGTGTCCCCCTTGCTGCTGCGGAAGGAGAGGGGCCCTGCAGACGGGGGCTTGAATGAGGATGACCGCTTGCTCCCGAAGGACAAGAAGACCAACCTCTTCAGCGCCCTCATCAAGAAGAAGAAGAAGATGGCCCCCACCCCGCCCAAGCGGAGCAGCTCCTTCCGGGAGGCAGACGCCCACCTGGACCGCAAGGGAGGGGGTGAGGAAGAGGGCAAGGAGGGCAGCAACGGGGCTGCTCTGGCAGACACCGAGGACCGCTCCAGGTTCCAAGGTGCCATCAGCGAGGCTGGAGTCACAAATGGGACTGTGTCTGGGAACTCAGGGTTGCTGTCGCCCAACCCCTGGAAAAAATCTGGCCCTGCCACCAATAGCCGGCCAGGGGCCAGTGAGGAAGAAAACAGCTTGAACTCTGCCAGCAAGCGCTTCCTGCGATCGTGCTCGGCCTCCTGCGTGCCCCATGGGACCAAGGACACAGAGTGGAAGTCCGTCACCCTGCCCCGGAACCTGCAATCCACAGGGCGTCAGTTCAACTCGTCCACCTTTGGGGGGCACAAGAGTGAGAAGCCTGCCCTGCCTCGGAAGAGGGCCAACGAGGCAAAGGCAGACGTGGTCACCCGGGGGACAGTGACCCCACCTCCTCGGCTGCTCAAGAAGAGCGATGAGGCGCCTGAAGACGTCTTCAGAGATGCTGAGTCCAGCCCGGGTTCCAGCCCGCCCACACTGACGCCGAAACTTATCCGGAGGCAGCAGCTTGTGCCTCCCACCAGCCTTCCTCACAAAGAGGAAGGCATGAAATCCAGTGCCTTAGGAGGTGGGTTGGGAGCAGAGCAGAGCCCCTCTGCCAAAGCTGGCATCTTCCTCAGCAAAGCTCCTGCTGAAGAGCCCCGGCTGAGGAAGGCAAAACAGCCTTCGGAGAAAGACAAGGGGAAGCTCTCCAAGTTGAAACCAGCCCCGCCCCCTCCACTCTCCTCCTCATCTTTTTCCATAGGGAAAAGCAGCAAAGGGGGTCTTAGCCCAGGACACGAGGAGACACCCATGCCAAAGGGCAAGCAGCCAACTCAGGCCACAGACTCCTCGAGCATTGAGCCCCCCAAGTCCAGTCTGTTAGCAGAGGGGATGAAAAAGCCTGCGATCTCCTCTGTACCAAAGCCCCCATCCTCCACAAAACTGCTGCTGATGGCAGCCTCCGCCTCCTCCACTACTTCTCCCTCATCTGCCCCAAGTGTTGACCAGCCTCCCTCTACGGCCTTCATCCCCCTCATCTCCACTCGTGTCTCCCTGCGAAAGACCCGCCAGCCCCCAGAGAAGATCGCCAGTGGTGCCGTCACCAAGGGGATGGTCTTGGAGAGCTCTGAGGCTCTGCGGACGGCCATCAGCAAGAACTCTGAGCAGATGGTGAGCCACAGCGCCGTCCTGGAGGCAGGCAAGAATCTGTACACTTTCTGTGTCAGCTACGTGGACTCCATTCAGCAGATGCGGAAGTTCACATTCCGGGAAGCCATCAACAAGCTGGAGAACAGCCTCCGGGAACTCCAGATCTGCCCTACTGCAGCCACCGGGGGCCCCTCTGCCACCCAGGACTTTAGCAAGCTGCTCAGTTCTGTGAAAGAAATTAGTGACATCGTCCAGAGGTAGCAGAAGCCACTGGATACCTGTAACTGGGGAAGATGATGGGTTGCTGCACAGCTGAGTGCAGATGCAGGACTTGGGGGTGGGGTGGCATGGGTGGGGGTGGAGGGCATCAGTTGGAACTGGCCAAGGCATTTTGTGGCCTGGGGCAGAACAAAACAGCCCCAAAATCGTCACACATATTAACTAACACAGGGTGATGTCTTCTGCGCTTGACCCAACTGAAACCAGTGGGTCCCAGGAAATACAATTCAAGGGGTGTGTGAGGCTATGAAGCTCACTGAAGTGAAGCAGGTCTGGATCTGGTCACTGCCGGAAAAGGAGGCTTCCCAGGAGATACAAAGGTGCACCACCTGGGGTCCTGTGATGGAAAGAAGTCAATACACAAACAGACACAGAAAGTGTGCAAGAACAGCTCTCCTCAATTTTAGCCAGGGGTTACACAGGATCCTCTGAGGGTTTCTACCTCCCTCCCTCCCTCTGTGTCACCCTTAAGGGCTCTCAGAACCCTCTGCCTCACCTTGAACCACCCTGTCCTATCAGGTGTGGGCACAAAGCTGCCTGTTCATTGCAAGTCTAGCCCCTGAACCAGAGACTCATTGAGAGATGGTCCACCCATCCACATCTCTCTCCCCCTCTCCCTTTTCTAACCCAGATTCCCTGCTGTCTTGAAATCCTCTTATCTGTGGAGTTCTCGCCTTAAGCGGAAATGACTGAACAGTGTTGAGCCTGGCATCATTTCCTTTTATTCCTGTTTAATGTTTCATTTCTTTTGGACTAACCTGTACATTGGAGGCTGTGCTTGATGGACCCTGCTACCTGGACCAGTTTTCCTGGCCAAAAGGTCTATGGAGGAGGTGTCTTCAAGTTCCTTCCTCCTCTTCTCCCCTGTATGGTGTTTTATTCCATACCTGCCCTTCTCCACTTCCCTGACATGTGCACCAGATCTCTGTTTTTTTCCAGTTTGGAACTGGCTAGCGAAGGGGACAGAGGGAGGAGGAGATATTGGCAATGATGCAAAAGCCCTGTCTTGCCAGGAGAACCTGAGCAATTATTATGTCCCTTTGCCCCCATGTTCCCACCACTACCTGTATCCACTGTCGATGGGTCCTTTACCTTACCTTACCTTACCTTAGACCTATTCTGGTGGTGAAAAACACCACCACCACCGCATTCCCATCTCTCCAGTAAATAGCCTAGCCAAATTATTTCGAAAATGGCATGATTCAACCAGGGCATCAGTTAAAGCAGAAACCTCCCTAAATGTATGCTGGTGGTGAATTGCAGCATCTGACTAGAAATTAAAATGGGAGCTGTAAATCTCTCCCCCTCAAAAAAAAATATTATGTAGCACTGCCCTGCAAAGAAACACTTTTGGTGGGTTTTCAGAAAATTGTTAATTTTCATAGAAGTGGGGCTTACTATCAGTATTTAACCAGAGGCAGAAGAGAATTTTATCCTCCCTTTATCCTAATTTTCTTCCTGAAACAAGCTGCAGTCATTCCCACTGTAGATTAACTTTGTGCTTTCATATTTGGACTACAAAGCACTTTGTTCAGGGCATGGATAGGAAACCTGTGGCCTTCTGGATCCTGTTGAAACTCCCAGTTCTCAGCAGCCAGCATGGCCAACAGTCCAGTGGGGAAGGGAGCTGTGAGCTGTGAGCCCAACAATGAGGGACTGGCAACTAGTTCTTGTTGGATGCCTGGCCCCTTGTCAGGGATTTTGGAAGTTGTAGTCCAATAACATCTGTAAGGGCACACAACCACTGACTCTTGATTTAATGAGAATGAACTGCAATCCTTTGTGTTCATAAACCCCTCTTGACAAAGGCTCATCTTACAGTAGCACTACTCCTAACAAGTGCCAAGAGGGGATTAGATGATTAAATGCAAAAGATAATTCCCTGCAGATGCCAAACTAGGCATGTCAGGAAGAAGTGTGCAGGAAGAAGGCATGTCACATGCTGTCTTTGTCTCTGTAGGATCCCTCATCCTCAATTAAATAGATAGATATATAGATAAGATAGACTTGGATGGCTTTAAAAGAGGAGTGGACAAATTCAGGGAGCAGAAGGGTATTGGTGGCTACTTGCCATGGTGGCTAAGCTCTGCTTCCATAGTCGGAGGCAGTAATGCTTCTGATTTCCAGTTGCTGGAACTCTTGAGAGGGGAGAGTGCTGTTTGCCTGTTTCCTGCGGGCATCTGGTTAGCCTCTGTGAGAACAGGATTCTGGGCGAGATGGGTCATTGGCCTGATCCAGCAGGCTCTTATGTTCTTAGATAAACAGACACGCACAGGGGAGCATTTGATCCCATCTGCACAGAGGGTTCTAAGAGCCAAGAGCAGTTTTATCCAATGAGACATTCGTTGACAGAATCTCCTAATCCAAGCGCATAACTAGCCCCCTGCCCTTTTGCAAAGCGATTAGCTCCCCTGTCTTGCTGGCTTCCCAAAGCCTTGTCCCATCACCTGCTCACCAGTCTACTGTCACATTTACTGCCCAGGAGGTTTCAATCCCACCTACTGTCCCCTTGGCAAAAATTGTTGTTGTTTTTTTAATCAGCTCAATGCTACTTCACCCTGTTAACTGCAATTTACCGCCACTTGATTTTTTAAAAAGCGAGGCTCAAGGAAACCAAAACCGATTATCATTCGCCCCTTCCTTTTCTTCTTTGGCCTCGCGCTGTCCTTATCCTCTCTATGTGTCTTCAGCACTAACCACTTTTAAATTACATTGCTGCCTTCCTCTTTGAGGGTTCTTTAGCTGTGATTCCTGCATTGCAGAGGGTTGGACTAGATGACCCTACCAATTCTATGATGCTACAATTTCCTTTTTTATACGTTGGTTATGTCGCTGTGACATTTCTGAGACTCTTTCCTCTTCACTCCACCCACAAAACCCACTCGCACACCGCTTTGCAACATAGTCATAACATTTTTTTTTGTACATGACAATAAATATGGGGATGTAAATGCACCACTGCCAGCTGCCTTTGTGGACCCAGATGTGCATGACAAAAAACAAACAGTAGACCAAAAAAGACTTGCACCCCTAAACACTCACATACACACCCAGAAAACGATCTCTCTTTTCCAGTTGGGCTCTACTGTTTCCAGAGGGTACCAATTTCGTTTTTGTGGATAATCTCTTGTTGCCACTATAGATATATGTTTGTAACTCAATATTACACACAGTTTTTGTAGGTCTTTCTGTCTGTTTCGTTTTACAACATGTGAATAGTTGTGTCTCTCTTTGCACCCCCACCCACCCATGCAATAATACTTGCGGGACTTTGTAGTTTTCCTCCTTCAGCTGATGATTGTCCAGTTCAGAATGCGGGGGTGGGGGTTGGAGGATACCTTCCCTCCCCCCTGTAAATGGCTTTTTCTCTCTATCTTTGGCTTTGTGTTTGTTTTTTAAATAATTCCAGATTTTTCTTCCTTAGCATTTTTTTTTTAAATAAATTGATGTCAAAGAAAGTAGGAGTATTTTCTTCCCTGTCAAATGAAGTCAAACTCTCTCCGGTTTCAGATGGATAGGAAGGTTGACACCCTTCAACACCTGACGGTATGCTGCACAGCCTCATTGTGGGATCCAGCATGGAAGCAGCACTTTTATCTCTCCGAATTTCTGGGGAGGGGAGCCTTCTACCTGCTCAGAAGTCCACACACACAAAATTGACTTTTTTGGATAGACTAAACAGGTCTCAAGATGTGGTGAAGCTCCTCCCCAGAAAGAAATTCTCACACATAGAAAGCTAGTGCATCAGTGAGAAGGGCAATGCTAGAGCTTTGGTAACCTTATATCTAATTCTGGGGCAAGCATAAGAATCTCTCAGGAGTTGGGAACCCCCCTTAGGCCATGGACCATAATCCGTCATGAGCAGCATTCCAGGGATGAGGAGGGCCAGAGGCAAAAGTGTGTGAAGGGGTGGCAACAAATGCAACTCTGCCTTTGAACAATAGGCTATATTGGACAGGGATAACTTGGCCATGGTCCTCCATGCTCTGGTAACTTTTGGACTGGATTGTTGTGGTGCGTTCTCTGTGGGGCTACCCTTGAAGATGGAAACGTCAACTAGTCCAAAATGCAGCACCCACATTGCTGGCTGGGGTTCCCTTCAGATCTCAGCTGTATTGGTTGCCAGCCAAGCCCAATTCCAGACACACACTATTGTTTAAAGCCCTAAATAGCTTAGGTCCCAAATATTTGAAAGACTGCCTCTTTCTCTACTGTCCCTTCCCCGGCTTGAAAATCGTCAGAGAAGGGGCCCTCTTGGTAGTTTCACCACCTTCATAGATTTGGGGTGGTGGCATCCCAGGAGAGGGTCTTCTTTGTGGCAGCCCCTAAGCTGTGCAACTTGCTCCCCACAATGGTATGTCCACCACCTTCGCTATACAGCTTTTGACAAATGCTGAAAATGCACCTCTTTACCCTGGCCTTTGACATCCAAGATGTGTGTTTTCAGGGCCCACCCTGCGGCTGATCGTAAACTGGTTTTGATTTGGAAAACCAGTTGAAAACTGGTCTAAAACTAGAACGGGGACATCCAGTGAAACTGGGTGTTGGAAGATTCAGGACTTTTTCACACAGCTCAATGTATAGTTACTGTGGAATTCACTCCCACAAGAGGCAGTGATGGGCTCCAACTTGGATGGCTTTAAAATATAATTGGACATATTCATGGAGGAGGAGGAGGCTATCCATGGCTACTAGCCATGATGGGTATGCTCTACCTCCATGGTCAGAGGCCGCATTGTTTCTGAATATCAGCTGCTGGAAAACCACAAGAGGGGTTGAGTGCTCTTGTGCTTGAGTCCCGCTTGTAGACTTCCCCTTGGGGCATCTGTTTGGTCACTGTGAGAACAGTGCTTGCTGGCCTAAGATGGGCCATTGGGCTCTACTTAGGTTCTTATGCCTGTGCCCCTTCAAGAGATGGGAAGCTGAGCATGATTTTCATTTTTATATCTCTGGCATATAAGGCCGGCAGGGAGAATTTAACA